ATTGTTTGACGGACCATGACTGCGGAGATATCGGTAGTACCATCTAGGACGCCAGACTTCAAGTAGTCATCTGCCTCGGTTTTGGCCAGCTTGTACTGTCTTAGTGTTTGATGCATTATGTCTTTGTACCACAATGCGAACGGTCGTGCAGAGGTGTACGGCTCCTCGGTCGATAGTTGAAATGTGGCGAGGTTGGCCCAGGCTCGAACGCTGACTCTACAGGCCTCGCGGTGAGAGCTTTCGTGATTGACAAGATCACGAATGTGATCCAGTTTCGGACGACAGGTTGGCGGCGCAGCAAAGTAGAGAGTGGAAAGTAGGTCATGATGATTGCGGAGTGCTACCAGATTCTCTTCGTCTAGAGGCTGATCTTTTGGATAAGCACGCCCGTGGTTAGGTAGAGACCGAAAGACAAAGCTGCGAATCTTCTTCTCTGGATAAGCGTTTGTCATACCCTGGAGGCCCAGAGCAAGACATATCAGTGCGATGTGGAAGGAATTCTCGTTTTGCTCGACGACGAACGACGGTGATGTTGCAAGATTGTTGAGAAAAGGTACCGATCGGTCCCCTGATTCCCGTCGCAGGTTCTTGAGGCCATTCTTACCGAAAAAGTCCAACACGGCATTAAGCATCAGCTCCGGACGACTCCAATGCCAGTGAGTGATCAACCGGTGGCATCGTGCGAGGTTAGCACGAACATAGTCGTTGAGTGACGCGCTGTGCTTCCTATAGGTACTCGGATACAGTTCAAATAACCGACGTAGGAGATCTCGGATACACGTCCAATTATCCTTCTGGAAGGTCTCTCTCCGGCTTTTAAGCGGAATGCCCGATGCATCGATCTCGTTGTAGGGGAGGAAAGTGAATATCGAAGCCCACGTAGTTTCGAAGGTAGGCAAAGATGTGGCGTTGGCGAGTCTGGAGCACAGGTCTTGGCCTACCAAATCCCAGAAATTACATGCTGGCATGTCCATCTCATCCAATACATGAGTGCAGATGACTACACTTTCAACGACAACTTCATTCTCTTGTATCCCCTTCTCGCGTACGGAATGTCGCTTATTTTGGTCCAGAAACTTGCCTAGATTTGGTATACCATGTCGCACCAGCTGCGTGATGATAGTCTTAGACAGGTTCTTGACAAGACCAACAAGCTCGACTCGATTGCCTTGATCAACAGTAGGATGTTGAGCAATACAATGAACCTGAAAGCTCGCGACGAGGATGTAGGCCATGGCATGTATGACACCATGAACGCCGCTAGAATTCTGACAAGCCGTAGTTCTCTGAGCAACCGACAAGCTGTCAAAGAGCGATTGGTAGAGCCGCATTAACTTAAACACACAGTCGTTTCGATCGATCGGGTCTAAGAAGCTGAGATGATCAGTTACCCAGTTGATGAGTGACCGTGCCAACCGAATCAATTGCGTCAAACCCTCATTGACTGACGATGGGATATGACGTTCAGCTTCCTGGTCTTCCAAAGGCTCAGACGCCGCTTTTACAAGGTCTTGCAACTTTGAAAACGTGTCGTCATTCCATGGGCCGCATCTGATCGAAAGAGCACCATGGGCAATAGTGCAATGACCAGCCGGATCATCAAAGCTGCGACCGTCGGGCTTGCTGATGACTAAAGCTCGGCGAAATTCGTCAGACCCGATGAAAGTAGACGAATGAAAATACGTATCAGCCGCTAGCGAATATACATCGAATGTGACGGGGTATCGAGTACCATAAGGACCCAGGCCATGGAGTATGGGTGAGCCTTGTTCAGTCTCAGCGTCCTGTACTTGAAGAACATCAGCAGTCTTAAGTACCTCCTGGACTGCCGGCTCGCTCGGCTGTCGATATTCCCGCGCATCGACATCAATTCTTTGCGCTTGGACCTTTCGCTTCAACCGTTTTTTGGGTGGAGGGTGCTGGTGTCTCGAACCTTCTGTTTGGCCTTCCCCTACCTCGTTTGCAGAAGGGAGGGGTGGCAGTTCAATGCCGTCGTCTGCGAGATATCGAGCTAACTGTGGATTTACGAAAGGCTCTTTGCTAGGAAGCTGAATACCGAACTCCTGATCAACACGTAACAGGCCCTTTTCGAATGCGATTTTCCGGTGACCTCGGCCAAAGTCGTTCTCATCGCCTTCTAGTTGTGCGGTTCTGAAAGGAAAAGGCGCTCGACGTACAGCCCGTCCTGGATCCCTGTTTGGTTGAGCACGTTTCTTCCCTGTTTTTGTGGACATCTTGATCTGATTCTGGGTTATAGAGCGTTGGAAAATGTGAAGACCTGTAGGAATAGATTTACGGGAGCGTGAGCGAGAGACGTCGGTCGCAGCTTCGGATCGCATGTCGAGCTCTTTCAAAGATCCTCCATCATTCACTGGAAGCTGCTCTGCATGCTGCTGATTATCGATCCTATTGATCAAAGGATGTCGTGATTTTTGTTGTTGCGATGCGACATTTGCCTTTAGTCTAATTGTGCCTCGTTGCCATTGTTTGAGAGTAACATTGGCCTCTTCTGTATCTTCGGCATTTTGGAGTCGTATTTGTTTGTTTCGCGGCTTTTGACGGGCTAGATCTGGTCTTTGGAGCGCTTGCCGCCTGGCAATGCGGAGGAATTGCGGTATTGCATCGCCTTGCCGAGATGGCGAGAGATCAACATCTATGACACTCATGGCAGGCAAAGGAGTCTTGCGTGGTCTTCTGGAGTTAGCTTGCTTCTTCTTTCCCGTCTGCCCGTTGAGCAATCGTCGTTCATAGGCTACACTCTTCCCCAGACCGTCCGACGATCTAGCTTTCTTAGACTTTCCAAATGCATCTGTAAGCTTAGTCTGTCTTTTCCGTTTTGGTCCGGTTCCACCAAGTGTCGGAAGGGGAAGATGATCGTGCTCCATGTCCGATAGATTGTCGTTAGCATAACGATCCTCAAACAGTGCAGCTAGTGCAGAAGCGTCAGCCATGGAATCGTGCACCGTTTCCAAATGATGGCTGACATGAGGTCTTGGCTCGTCATCTGAATCGTCTGATATGACAACGGAAATTCTTGATGGTGTTTTAGAAGCTGCATCTTGTCGGGGTCGGCCGGCTGGTCTCATGATCCTTTGAGCAACCCCACGCACAGGCGCAGTAGGCTCGGGAGAGGCAGCTGCGTTCGTACGCACCCGGTCTCGCTCGCGTTGCTCAGCCTGCCGTCGCTCCTGTGCTTGACGATCTTGTCGCAACCACGAAGCGGGCAACACTCCCTTAATCTTTCTGCCCACATATCTGATTTCATTGTCGCTTTTCTCCGCTTCACTGGCAGACTCGGCGGCCGAAGATGAGCTGTCCGTTATCACTACCCTGGTCGGTCGACGAAGCTGTCCACCGGACCTCTGCATATTACGTGGGGCCTGCTCGATGTCTGATCCCATCAGGATTTGAGGATCTTCTTGCATGACTGATGAAGTGGAAGGCGTAGGCAAGTTGGGGGCTGGGGTCATTGCACGTAGCGTAGCTGAACGACGAGCTGACATGTTCCCGTTCAATGGCGGACTGCTTGAGTACGGAGGTGAGTTCGGAGGGATGGACCAGATATCGCGTCGCATGTCACGATCTTCGAAGATACTTGTTGGTGCTGCGATAGTCTGAGTGGACGAGATGTTGAGCTTTCTACGCTTGGCTGCATGAGGGTGACGGAGCTGTGTAGACGAAACTCGTCTAGCAGAACTGGAGGCAGGGTGACGAAGATCGTTCCTCGGTCGTGGTAATACAGGTGTAGAGACTGGTATTTCAACATCTGGGGGACTGCTTGTAGGACTTTGATTCGGATCAAACTCTTGCTCCTGGGTTTCATCATTCTGCTGCTTACGATGGCCCTGGGGTGATCGTGACCGCTCCCTTCGCACCGGTCTAAGTCCTCTGCTCTGTACTTCTCTCCGGTACATCTCACCCTCCAACGCATAAGGATGCATCTGAATAGGCTTCCGTTGGCGGAACTCACGTCTTGCCCTGTCGTCGGCAATCTGCCTCTGTAGGGCGGTCGAGGCTGGTATGACTACTTGAACCGCCGTGCGACGATGAGGCGCAGCGAATGCCAGCGGGGGCGACTCCATATCCGTTGGTGGATCTGAGAGATCTGAGGTATCATCATCGGAATTGTCGGACAAGGGAGTAATGCCGAACTCATGAAATAGGGTTGGAACGTGTTTGGGACTTCGTGCATCACCCACCATGGTCGACTGTATGGGAACGGTCGAATTGTCGGAAACAGGAACGGCATGATTGTCGTCCAGCTGAGGTATGGATACGGCAGAGCTTGGCTGAAGTATTGGCGATGCTAGGCGTAGGGATGATGGAGGTGGTACATTCCGTCGAATCTTTGGCGTTTGCGAGCCGAGTAGCGGATCGGGGCTCTCAGTGAGCTCGCGTCTGAAGCTGTGCGTTGACCTGGGCGTGAAGGGAGATGGCGTAGGACGTCTGGGCGGGCTGCGTTTGGTGGGCGTGGTAATAACCGTCTCTTCCTTATCTACCCCTTCGCTACCTTGAGCAGCACAGTTCTTCTCTCTGTCTTCGTATACAGTCGCCTGTTCCTTTTCCGTGGCTTTTTCATGCCGTCCGATCGCGTCGACGCCTTCTTCGACGCGCTCGACGCGTCCACTCAGGCCACCATTCTGCCTGGAACCCTGACTCTCAAGCTGAGACTCGTCTTCTTCCTCATCCGAGTCCTGTACAAAACCTTTCTGTCGCCATTTGGACATTTGGACGCGCCTGCATGTCGTACCGGAGTTCGAGGCTGACGGAGTGAGGTTTTGGGTGATTGTTGAAGGCATGGCGCGTCGTCCCGTGCTCCGCCTAGCGTGTGCCGGGGGCGGAAGAGGGCTGAACTTTTTGCCCGCGGGAGTGCTTTCGTCATACACCCCAAATTCGAGAATCAGCAGTACACACAACGAGCAAACAGAATGGCGGGACGCATCCTTCCAGTCGCGCTGGCGACGATAGTCGGCGTATCGATTGGAGTGGCTACTTTTGATGGCGAGTTTAAAAAACAGCGAATAGCACGATTGGAGGCAGAATACAAACGGTACGCCGGCTCCACATGCGCTTTCTCTTGCTTTCACTTACATTCATACCAGGGAACTCGCTGCTGCTGCCGCTTCCACAAGTACAGCAACTCCGCCACCAGCAGCCCCGGTTGGCAGAGCTTCCACACAGCTACAGACTAAGAAAGAGGATATCGTCACTTCTGCGCCTGCTGATAATTCGTGGTCGAACACGCTCGGACTCTGGGCATGGAAGAAGGACAACAAGACGGAAAGTGCGACTGCGCCTGCGACTAGCAGCGCTGAAAACTCCAAAGGCAAGCCCTGATGGTATTGTAACTGGCATTTAAAGATCAAGTTGACGCTCGAGATCGCTCCACCGCCCCTGCCGCAGCGGATCCAGACGCTTCAGCTCGTCCAACCACGACTTCATGTCCTTTGTTGTAAACGACCCGGTTCCTGCGTCCACCGCTAGGTACGCCTCTGCGAGCCCGAGAAGTGCCTCGTATATCCACTTGCAATCCTCCTCGTCCTCTAATATCTCCCTGATATACTCCATCTCGTGCTCGTAGTACTTTTGTCGCTCGCCGTTGGTCAGATCCTGGACAACAAGCGAACCAGGTGGACATGACGGAGACAATATCGAGAGGAGGTATTGGTGGTAGAACCATATAGACTGGTCGAAAGGATCTGTGTTTATGGCTTCGCATATTAGAGCTAGTTCTGAGTTGAGGAATGCGCGGCGAGCTTGGGCGTCTGCATCGCGCTCGCAGAGCATCTTGGGTATAAGCTGGCTGCGGTTGTGCCAGGCGGAGAAGTTGGAAAGATTGGTCTTGATCATTTTGGTTGTGTACTCGAACTCGGACTCTGTGAGGCTTTTCGGTGTAGTGCCGGTCGTGGGGATGTCTTCAGACGCGGCCAGCCGTTCGATCTGCGACACGACGAATCGTCTATAGCCCCAGGCATGAAAATTGCGGCTGTCCGCGTGTAGCATCTTGTTTATGAGTTGCAGTTCTCCCGACCAAAGCTTATGTGATGCTTCCACGCCCATCAGCGCCTCCCCTTCGCGCAGAAGCCAGTTTCGGTGGTTCCATATCCAATAGCACTTTGGGAATTTCCGTAACAGCGCAAAGGTGAGATGCAGGTCGCCTTGCAAAAGGTCTTCTGGCGATTGCTCAAGAGCATCTGATGTCAAGAGCGCCATCAGGACGCGTCTCCTGTGGTTCCATATCGTGTAATACTCGGGGTTTTCGTTTAGGAGCTTCGTGACAAGGCCCAAGACTTCGATGGTATACTGCTTCTCTGCAACCTGAAGGGCGACTGTCAGCACCGAACGACCCAATCTGACTCTGAATTACATACCTTCGCATTCACCAGATCGGCTAGATCTTTGTAATCCGCAATCTGTTGAAGCTCCTTCTGTCGCGCCTCTTCTGACCGAACTATCGGGCCTGACCCACGCGATATACCGTGCTATACATGTTAGCGAGTGTCGCCGACGTATCCTCATGTCAACATACGCTTGCCATGTGTTCTTGCGCGGTTGACAAGGCTTGGCTGTTGTTTCCTCAGACTGCAGCCTCGGCGGGATGTTGCCCCACTACACGCGTGGAGCCGCTGCCCCTCCGTCATCTCGCGCGGAAGGTTGCCGTCAACACTCGCTGCATCTGTCACCCCTCAATTTGCTGCCAACATCCTAAGACCTTGACCCATCATTGCATTACTAACCTCGCAGCGATAACACCGGGACAGCAGGCAGTACCTCTCGTCCCTTAGCCTTTTTCCTTCGAACGACTTCACATGCGCTGAAACTCACAACTAAGCTCTCCAGTCCACTCATCTTGACGCAAACCGCTCCAACATGAGCGACACTGATGATGAAACATCTCCATCTCAGTCTGGCTATCTCACACCGCCGCTGTCTCCCACCAAGACTGTCTGCACTGAAGATTGGTCGTCACCTAGGACACCCCAGTCTCCTCGCAAAAGTCGCAGCTGTCTCTTCTTTAGTGACAACAACAATAACAGTGACACTACCAGGTCCAGTCTAATCTCGCCATCTTCTCCTAGCAAGTCAAAATTCTTTTCCCGTCTTCAGGCACTGTCTACTCCGGACCTTCGTCCGATCAAGCGTGAAGCTGTACTGGAACAATCAAACGATCAGACTTGTCCAGATCATCGCAGAGTCAACGATTTCAATTCTTCCTTTTTCAATCGCTCTACCACGCTCGCTCACTCAAACGTTCCCTTCGCATCTACTACAGCTGCATTGCCTCTTGATGAGGGGGACCTCGTTCCTCAAGGGGACCTCGTTCCTCAAGGGGACCTCGTTCCTCAAGGGGAAGCCTGCAACTCCAATCCGCCTCGAAATGTATCCCTTGCAAGAAAATCAAGGCGCACAGATCGCAGCTCTTCAGATAGCCTGGTTAGCATCTTGAGTCGCGGCCCATCTCCTTCGCCAAATCCTATAGACACTGCCACTACATTTGAAAGCTCGAACTTCACACCCCTGCGCTACACTGACGCCTCTTCTGGGGAAACTTCTCGGCCTGCTAAGCTTCGTCAACTACCTCTGCGCTATGCTAGCTCTCCTTTGAGACCCAGTCAATGGGTCGCGCGAGGCGGATTTTTACCATCACCTCGTCCAAACCAGACCAGTACGCCAGATCGCTTCATCGCCAGCCGCCGGCTACCCGCGGTTACTCGAGAAAGCTTCGAGCTCAATAGCCCTGCAGAGCGAAGGGACAAGGAACAAAACATGAACCGCGGTACTCGCAGAGGCTCAGATGCTTTCAGTCGCCGACTGCGCAGAAGTGGTCGCATGAATGAGGAACTACGCGGGCTCAGAGAGGCACATTCCGTGGTTTCAGGGCGTGCCAATGCAAATAGAAGGAATGTCAACTTCAGGCGCAATCCTCTAACCTTGGGCGCTCGCCAGATCAGCGCTGGTGCTGTCTGGAACGTTGGTGGGCCTTCTGCTGTGAGCGACACAGTAGTTGCAGTGTCCACTGGCAGAGGTGGAATGCTCGGTAGTGGAACGAACGCGCCACTGTACAAATCTGCTTTCTTGAACCGAGCAGATCCAGATGCCGAGCTTGAAGCCTATGAACGACGTCTCGCACTAGCACTTGACATTGATCAAACTGATCGCATACTTCAGCACTCATCATCTGCAGCCTCTCCGCGCTCACAAAATAGTGGCCCTGCATCACAGACGAAACATGTCTGGCGAGACGGAGCTTGGCTAAGGGACGGAGTTGATCCGAGTTCGTTTATATTCCTTACGAACGTTTCAGCATTGTGTTGTTGCTGACCACAAGCTCAAGATACCCGTAAAACGCCGCCAAAGCGGAGACCTGTGCCCATTCTACCTTTCAGATATGTCCTTAACCCACCGGGGTTTTTTATACTAATCTGGCCTACAGTCCTTGATGCCCCTAACCTCCGCGACGACTATTACTGTACCTTGCTCGCATATTCTTATACCTCCAAGTGTCTTGCTGTTGGCCTAGGGAACTGTGTCCATCTATGGTCCGAAAGAAGCGGCGTCAGTACGCCAAACTCGCTGAACGCCGTGCCGCCAAATGGACCTTCAGATGTTCAGCATGTTACGTCGTTGGACTTCTCCTCCACAGCAGGTGGGCAAGCAATTCTTGCGGTTGGACGGGCTGACGGTCGTATCTTACTGTGGAGCCCGCTTGACTCGGAACCACGATTCGATGCTACGCAACCCAAGCCTGTATCATGCGTGTCTTGGAGACCGACTGTTGTACAGCGACCTTCACTCCGGGATAGAGCGATGAATGTACCAACCGAAGAATTACTCATCGGAGATGAGGTTAGTCACATCTACTTCTACAGTGTTGAGTGGCCTTCGGAGACACACAGTGCACTCTTCGGCTGGAATGGTGCCATGACATTGCTCGCTCGATTATCCATCCATAGCCAACAGATTTGCGGTTTAGCATGGTCGTCGGACGGCGAGCTTTTTGCAAGTGGAGGGAACGACAACAACTGCAATCTGTTTGAGACAAAGAAGTTACTTCGACCAAACGCTGCTAGCGAGAGTACAGCAGCCATATTGGATGTGCGTGAAGGTCCGCGTGGTGAGTCCATCTACACCGTAACCAACCGCAACAACAACCCCGTCTTGCACCTTGCGCAATCGGCGGCGAAACATACATGGACACTCAATGCAGCTGTGAAAGCCATGGCGTTCTGCCCCTGGCAACGCGGACTTATAGCCGTCGGCGGCGGCTCAAATGATCGCTGCATCCGCTTTTATCACACACGCTCAGGCACTTGTCTTGCTACTATCGACTGTGCAGCTCAAGTCACAAGTCTTATCTGGTCTCAAACTCGCCGTGAAATAGCAGCAACGTTCGGCTTCGCGCAACCCGAACACCCATACCGTGTCGCTGTCTTCGCTTGGCCTGGTTGCGAACAAGTCGTTGCCGTGCCGTGGTACGATGAGAATCGGGCTCTGTGTGCAGTCGCTTACCCCGGCGGCCCATTGAATGGTTCGCACATAGATGGAGACCGCGATGGTGGAAGGGCCAGGGGTGAAGATGGAGTCTGGTCGAGAAGAGGCGCCGAGGAAGGTTGCATCGTCGTTGCAGCCAGCGACATGGCAATTCGGTTCCATGAAATCTGGAGTGACAGACGGGGAAGTGTGGGTTTCGGTACTCTGCTAGGCAGTGAGACTACAGGCTTGTTAGGAGGAAGTAATATTCTTGGGGGCCCCTATGCTGGTGACTTTGAGCGGCCAGGAATGGTAATCAGATAGATATGAGATAGTCCTTGAGGAACGAGTGGGGCAATAGCATAAGGCGAGCAAAATAGCTTCTCAGTCCAGGTATAGCAAGGTCTTGGTTCTGATCCAGAACTGGCTTTGTGTTTGACATGCTACTACCAGGCACTTTTCGCTCATAAGAGAAGAATGCCAGTGGTGTTCTAGTATCGTCACCGTCTTCTAAGGTCTTCCATCACCCCGGTCCCCTCTTTCACTTTTCCCGAGTCTTTCAACGTGCACCTCTCCCAGCCTTAGCCGCACTCTCAGATTTGCGCCTGTATCTTACGCCCTCGGTATCCTCGTTTGCTTATCCTGAACTCTTCTTTCTCTTCTGCCATGTCGCTAGCATCTTTCCACAGTCGTCTCAATGTTGATAAGTTGATCTGGGCTGCCTACTCAGCTTTTGCGCCTCGTTCTGCTTCTGGTCGTTACACAAGTATGTTGTTGACCTCAAGCCATGCGACATCCCTTCACCATCTTCCGCCCCATCTACTTTATTCTCTCAGCAGCGTTTCTCGTTGGCCGTCCTTGCGCGAGAGCGTCCGTCTGTGCTGTCTTTCTCTCCAATTTCTTTTCTTTGCTTACGGCTTTCTTAGCTGAACGCTTTTGCGCGATGGCATTGATCTGAATTGAGCGATGTGCTTTCAGAACCGCAGTGAGAAGGCTTGTTGAGTGTTGTGCGGTAGTCGTAAGATCGGTGTCGGAAAGCAGGGTAGAGAGTTCTAGATGAAGGCCTTGGAGAGCGTGTGTGAGTGCATCTTCCTTGTTCGTCTGTTTTCTAAGGTCTGGACGTTTTCTGTGCGGATCTGGAAGCGGTCTATGACTTAGGATAGGCGCCTTTACTTCTGACTGAGATTGTTCGTTTTGCTCAATCTGTTCCAAAGTTTGTTGTTGGGCAGCGTCTTCGTCCACATCAAGTTCGTTTAGTCTTTGGTGTTGTTGCGCCGACTGTGAGTCTTCTTCGAAAAGATGGGCTGAACTTTTACCCCGATTCTCCAGCACAAAAGCTAGGCCCAGGGAATGTTTACCATTGCTCCCGTACAGGCTGTCACTTTTCGTAGCCTCTTCCCTCTTGTCAGTCTTGTCCGACCAGAATGTTTTTCCTTCGAACAGCCTCTTCGCAGTTCTGAATACCGTGCCACTGACAGGGTAAAGCTTGTTTTCTGTACCCATAGTGGCGTTGACCTGCAGTCGACCGCTTGCGTGACCTATCGTGATTGCGCCCTCCATCAGAGGTTCAGGGGCCAGCATTTGCTCAACGATGGTGCCGGGAATACGCGCAGCGACTGCTGATGTCAACGCAGCAGTCAAGGGAATTGCTCGATGAGGTTGTGTATCAGAGAGAAATCGGAGGACTATATCCATCTGCGATGACTTGAGTGTTTGCCCTGACAACACAGGATGCGAAGACGATTGGGATACGAGACCGATCTTGGGTATGGTACGAGGAACGTCGTCTTCCGTAGGCGCAATACCCATGGCAACGGCAGCGGTCTTACGTATGCTTTCGAGCAATGCAAGCTTCTCTGGGAGTTTATTGAAATCGTTAGGTAGTATCGTGCCATCCACACCGACATCGTCTGCTCGGATGAAGACACATGGGTTTGCACCATCCACGCAAGACACTCTGTAGCCCCCAACTTTGTCTACCCTCCTACCAGTTGGTAGTACTTTGCCGGTCTTGCTACCGTATGGGTGTTTGAAGTCCAACTTGATCTTGGAGCCAGATCCGGTCACACCGTCAATTTTGTAGTCGCCTGCCACAGCAGCCTCGGCTCCGATGACCTCGAAGGTGGAATCGATCAGTTTCCCAGTATTCGTGTTCCGTATCTTGACAGTGACCTCTCCATCACCTTGAGCATATATTCTGGCTGGGAGAAGTCCAGCATTGTAAGCATAGGGACCAATCGCACTACTCATGTTTCCACAGTTGCCTGCGATGTCAACTTCGTCATTTTCAATACCCAAGCCAACAAAGGTGTAATCAATGTCCAGATTCTGCTCTTCCTCCACCCCCTGTGCCTCTTCCTGGGTTTGTGCAACCTGCGCACTCTCACGTGCTGCATCAATGCCGCCAAATCCAGTACGGAAACGGGTGCCTCTTTCAGGTAGGGCAATCCTCCTCCCGTAGGGTTCTACAAGGCATATTTTGCTGAGACTCGATATCCCCGCGCCCATGCCATCAAGTTGTCGGCCATAAGGATCGCCACTGCCCATTATCTGGCGGAAGATGGCCGGCCATTTTGCGCGGTGCTTAGGCAGAGCTTGCGGTTGTATGATTACGGCTCGCGACGTGCCTCCGCGGTAATAAGCTGCCTCAATGGGCTTTTGTACCGTGGCGTCTGGTGGAACGACATCATGTCGAGAGACGAAGGAGCGTATGCGGAGGGAGAAGACTGGCGAAGGACGCATAACGCATCATGGCATGGACTTGTCGAGAAGCGTGCCAGAGACGTGCGGCCGACAGATGGCAATGTTCGGAAAGGATCCGACCTCGGGACGGAAAGACTGGACCCTGTTTGGGAGCACAGGCAGCTGCTCCGAATTTTTCTCGAACATCCTCGACATCATCGCATCACACATCGGAATTACACTCTCGCCTTCGTACATAACTTGCATCTCCTGCTTCTCCATATTATACACTACACAATGTTGCAAAGAACTATCCTCCGCGCCTCAAGACAGCAGACTGCCCGCCAAATACGGGCTTTTGCGCCACTACGTCAACAAGCACCCATCACAAGAGCAGTAGCCACACCTGCTATTCGATGGTATTCGGATGCTGCGCCCGCAAAAGAGGGAGAAGCCGCCGAGAAGAAGGAGGATGCGCCCGCACAGAACAACGAGGCAACACAATTGAAGGAGCAGCTGGAGAAGAAGGACAAGGAAGTCGTCGAGCTCAAGGTACGCATATAAGCCAGTTAGATGCACAAAGACAAGGGAATAACAATCGGCTGCAGGACAAATACCTCCGCTCAGTCGCCGACTTCCGCAACCTCCAAGAACGCACAGCACGTGAGATCAAGGCCGCAAAAGACTTCGCCATCCAGCGCTTCGCTCGCGACCTTGTAGAATCTGTCGACAACCTTGACCGCGCCCTGGGTACTGTCCCGGAAGAGAAGCTCAAGGGCGACAACAGCGACCTCATTGCTCTCCACGACGGTATCAAGATGACCGACACCATCCTCATCAACACGCTTAAGAAGCACGGCTTGGAGCGATTCGACCCCAGCGAAGCCGCAGAGAAGTTCGACCCCAACATTCACGAGGCCGTTTTCCAGGCGCCGCAACCCGACAAGGAGGACGGTACTTGCTTCCACACTCAACAGAAGGGTTTCAAGCTCAACGGACGGACACTGCGACCAGCCAAGGTTGGCGTTGTCAAGAACGCCTAAATGCACGATTGAACGAGGCCTGAATGACGTTCCATATACGCGGATAGTGGTGTTCATGACCTATGTCACTGCCGCAACCATTTCATTCGCATGTGTATGACTACTACGGTTCGGCTCTATTGACTGGTTGACACGGCGGTACAATGGAGGTATGGCGTTTTCGTGCTACCCACAAGGTGCACTTTGGTTTTTCATCGGACATTGTACAAATATTCCCCTCTCAGACGCATTTTGGAAAAGTTGAGCAAGCACAATGATGAAATGGCTTTGCATGTATTGTAATATTAGATATGACAGATTACGAGCGAAAGAGCAAACTCAAGAGCAGCAAAGCAGTATCAATGAATTTGCTTCAACTTATTCTTGATAGCAATCTGCACCTTCTTTCTGTGCCCAATGTTAATGCGAAGGATACGATACTACGTTCCATGGCAGTTTTGCAGTCTGTTGACGCCCACCCTTTTAGAACGCCAGCCCATGCAATGTTGTACACCCAGACATGCCCATACTTGTCTACCAGTTCTGTCCGTATGGCGTAGCACCGTACGGCGTAGCACCTCCTTGTGCCGCGCCACCCCAAGAACTCGCGCCGCCGTATCCCGGTGCTCCGACTGGAGTATATCCGCCGGCATCACCATACCCAGCACCGTTCAGTGTTGGGCTCTGCGCACCGCCAAAGTCCTCTGGGCCTCCAATACCGCCGGATAGTTCTTTGATAATCTCGGCGAGCTTTCGTTGTAGGATAGAGATTCCTTGCGTGACAATCTGATCAGGTTCAAGACCACCGACTGTTTCGACGTCGTAGAAGAAACGGGTTGGGACAGCGTCGTAGTTGAAGGGTTCATCTGGGTTAGGGGGACCGCCGTCAAGGTTTATCCGAGCTTCGTCTTTGGGCCTAGTTGCTGTCAGATTGTTCCTGCCCGTAATCGAGTACTCAACAAGGAAAAGAGCACACATACCATTCCTTATCCGCGTCCTCCTCGTGCCAGTAGTCCAAATGATGCAGCTTGTTCGCCGGATCATACTCGAAACCGATGGCCGCACTAGGTGCCCACTTCGCATGCTCCTTTGCAATACCCTTCTTTGCGATGCACTTCATGCTGATCGCTTGACCTCTCCTCAGTTTGACAATGCAACTACCCGTCTCTTCTGAATCAGTGATGACCGGCTTGCCTACATCCTCATTCGGTGTCCGGGATTCAATCACCAGATCGCGCGCATACACTTTCATAATCTCGCTGCCTGTGCATTTCGCGTTGAGGGTGAGGACAACGGCGCAGTTGTCGCAGTAGCCTTCGCAGTCGCAGTCGCGCGAGTATAGCAGGTCTTCGACACCTTTTGAGCACAAGGGCACGAGGCCGAGACGGTGGCAGACGAACTCGTCGGCAAGAACGGATGTGTTGTCGAAGACTTCTACGACGTCGATGGCAAGGGTGGGAATCTCAGCGAGCATCACACGGCGCAGCGAGTTGGCGGTTTCGAGATTAAAGTTCTGGACGATGAAGTTGGCGCGCTGGCTGTTTGCCTACGCATGGCTGTGTTAGCTCGACGTGTTGCGAGGTAGCCAGAGCAGACGGTGTACCTCGAGGAAGCGGACGTTTATTGCGCCGCCATCTGGGTCGTAGTCCATCGCGTCGTCGTTTCAGGGAGGTGAGAGCTGGGTGCTTGCGGCGTGGGAGATGGAGCCGAGGTAGCAAGGCGATTAGATTGTGAGGCGGAGAGAGACGTGTTGACGTGTATGGCGTGTGCTGGCTAGGGACGTCGCCGTGATGGAGATTCTTTGAGGTGAGTCTGGAGCCAACGTAGCCTAGCGCCGGGATGCATGCGCCACACCTACGCCACACTTCCAGAGCTGTTCCACTGTCATGCCTTTGTGGTCATCGTCATGCAGGTCAACAATCGGCGAAATTGCACCGCATCCGCAATGATACGCAAATTCATCTCCTTCTGAATCAAGTTTACCGAGCGGCAATGTTCTTACAACTTGTTTGCGTGCGTCTACTCAATACCTAGGTATGTCATGGCCTGGCACAAACCAAGCTGCTACAACATGAGCTATAGGTTTGGATGTGCCGGATGTTTGTGCAAAACAAAGGACGTATGAAGCAATTACATGCTCTCAGAGCCCGCGGGTGTGTCCGGCATGCGCGGAGCGTGAGACAGTCACGAGACAAGACGTGACCTTCGATCAGCCTTGCTCCTAAGCACATGAGACACTCTTGTAGGATGATGTACTTCAAGACTACTTGCAGCGTGACGACAAGACCAAGACGTGAGGGTGTTATCGGCCGACAAAGGTCTCGGGTGCAAAGCGCCTATGGCTGTGCTGCAAAGTGAGCTGACTGACTTGACAGTTGTCCTCGTCGTATCGTCGCATGCATATGGCAGATGGGGATTGACGAGTCTGCCGCCGAGTGATGACCTATGAAATGCCCAGTCGGACAAGATAACGGCCCTGATAGTATTGTGTGCATGCTGTGTAGTCCTAACATGGATAAGCCGGACACTAACAGTCGACTCGGTGCTTGAGTAGCCTGCAAACTATCTTCTGTGGAACCAGCGAGACACTGATGGATGTTTCTTTCGTCGACATGAGGCTGAGTTGAGGGCGACTAAGCATCAGCGAGGCTGAGGGCCTCTCCTTTTCTCTGCGTGTTGTGCTATCGTCAGTTGAATCCGTCATTGACGCGTCCGCCGAGGTCGGGAGACCTCTAACAGCACAGTGCGTTGGGAAGCAACATGGCGGGGCAGTGCAATAACGCCCAGGAAATGGCGCGAAAGAAGCAGAACATGGGACGTGGACGCGGGAAATGTCATGGCCGAAGTTCTGGCCTTGGCGGATTGAGGCGGAGCAACAGTGTGCTTGCATGCGGAAGCTGGAACCACCAACCACCGCGAAGGCGAACTTTGATATAAGACACACGCATTTAAGACATTGCACTTCAACTCATCACAGCAACTCATCCACACCAGACGCCTAAGACTCTTTGCGCAACACAAATGATCGCAAACATGCAAGCTACTCTGCCATCACCACAGCGCTCGCGCGCATCATCGGGCAGCAAGTCGCCACTTTCTCTCGACTTCTCAGACCTGCCACCACTGGTCGAGCCATCACCACCCTCAAACACACTCATCATAACCGTAAGCGTTGCACTCGTCAACTTCAGCGGCAGCATCTAACAGTATCCAGAACCTTCTTGCTCCCGAAATCTTCCAACTATCAACCCTTACCGAGATCCGCGAAACCATCGACCAACATGCAAAAGTACACACATGGGCGCCGCTCAAGTCCTTCCGTCGCATCGTGGTATCCTTCTTCGACATTGACTCTGCGATACAAGTTCGACAAGCCCTCGATGGCGAGCAGCTCATGGGCTATCGCATCCGCGTATATTTCGGTGTAAACACACCCATGAACCCCTCAGACCAGCACCTCGCCCTACCCAAGTCAGACCGCCTATTTTTCATCTCGCCGCCACCTTCACCACCGATGGGTTGGGAAATGAAGGAAGAGGATGCGCCCAACAAGATTGTGCACCCTGAAGACCTCGCAGCAGCGCTGGCGCGGTTGCATGCAAATCACGAGGCGACTTCACCCGAGACCGATCACGGAGGTGCTCCCATTACAAGGAGGCGGACCGGCAGCACGACTGTAGTTTACCACCCCGAAGACCACGGCGATTCACCGAACCTTCCAGCTATATCAGTTGAAGACACAACAGAGACACCTGAGCCTTTGACCCCCATCGATGCGATGGAAGGGATTGAGGGACCGATCGCGTCGCAGAAGGCACAGGGCATGACAGTCAGCACCGCGAGGCCGCCGGTCGAGCTCATGCAATAGACAGTTTAGTGGTCTCGCGTATCATTTCTTTCCTTGTGTTTTCAAAAAAGGCTTCTTGTGTCCATAATGATATGGCGAATGCATAGTTCTGGCGTTGGTGGCTTGCTGATTTGAGGACGGCTCTGCAAGCTAGGGAATGCGAGCATTTGGGTTTGAGAATACCTGAGCAAGACTTTAGCCGCAACGAGTCTAATGGTCAGGGAATGGCACGGCATGGAATGATATCCCTCTTGAATAGCATAAACACGTTAAATTTTGCACATCCAATTGCTTCACGTGCTCCGAAAATCTGGTGAATATGTATACGCAATGTAAGCTCCGCGCTGCTGGGCTCGAAACGCTGCTGAATGATGCGATCTGCGAAGACGAAGGCGATAGACGCACTTTTGTACGAACCAACGCCCAAGTCTCAATCGTGCTCCTCACGGTGAAATGCTCGTGTGCCTGCGCAGATTGGATCCGGACTTCTTGCTGCAGAATGAACCTAACGATTCAGCAGGATATAGATCATGATGCCACTAGAACGCGAGTCATGCCCCAGGCCTCGACAATTCCCCTCAAGTTTGTGGATCGCGACTGCCGTACCTGGAAGTCGCGCTAGCACGTGATGATGCCAAACCCGATTAGCGCGCACTGGCATTAAGCGAACCGCATTCCAAAATGAATTTCGACCCGACGACCCTTCAACACCACGACAATCTACTAACGTTGCAGCTTCCACACGCCGTCGAGACGCCGCAGTCAAGATGAAGCTCAACATCTCCTACCCCAACAATGGAACCCAGAAGTTGATCGAGGTCGACGATGAGCGCAAGCTCCGCGTCTTCATGGACCGCCGCATGGGTCAAGAAGTCCCTGCCGACAGCATTGGCGACGAGTTCAAGGGCTACATCGTCAGGATCACCGGCGGTAACGACAAGCAAGGTTTCCCGATGAAGCAGGGTGTCATGCACCCAACTCGTGTCCGCCTCCTCCTCGCTGATGGCCACTCCTGCTACCGCCCCCGCCGCACTGGTGAGCGCAAGAGGAAGTCCGTCCGTGGATGCATTGTCGGCATGGACCTCTCTGTCCTTGCTCTCAGCATCGTCAAGAAGGGTGACGAGGACATTCCCGGCCTGACCGACATTGTCCACCCCAAGCGCCTCGGTCCCAAGCGTGCCACCAAGATCCGCCGCTTCTTCGGTCTCAGCAAGGAAGATGATGTGAGTTACCTCATAGCTTCTTCGCCAATCCTGCTTCGCATAGCGGATTGAGTCTCGCTCGTCCTGCTACAAGCAGCGTATTGAGTCTGAGCAACAAGAAGTGAGCTAGTAAAGTTTCAAGGTTTGAAGACTAATCATTGCATGTGTAGGTCCGCAAGTTCGTCATCCGCCGTGAGGTCCAGCCCAAGAAGGAGGGCGCCAAGCCCTACACCAAGGCCCCCAAGATCCAGCGTCTTGTTACTCCTCAGCGTCTCCAGCACAAGCGTCACAGGCTGGCACTCAAGCGCCGTCGCGCGGAGGCTTCCAAGGATGCTGCCGTACGTCCATACCCTACTATGACGTTCAGAACAACTACTAATGCCAATACAGAACGAGTACGCTCAGATCCTTTCCAAGCGCATCAACGACGCCAAGGCCGCACACGACGAGGCCCGCAAGAGGAGGGCGTCTTCCATGAAGCACTAGAGAGTTATCATGAATTCATGATTGGGTCGTGGAATGATTACATTGGCGTCGGCACGAAAATAACGGTGTGGGCTCCTGTATCTGAATGAAAACTTCGGGCATTCTAGGGAATAGGCGCTTCTCATACCACTGACTGCTTAAGGCAGTTGTCTCAATAAACAATTGCATCACTTCACCACCGCTCCACAATCTTGCCGTATCCGACAGGCATTCCACTCGAACACTTCCAGATCTTGTTTGGCTACGAAAATCTGATTGGCAAACATGTCTCTTATGTCCCTCTCCATCGCGTTGGTCATGGCTAATTGACCATGTATATTTGCCTCACACTTTGTGTCTTTCGTATTCGCCTCCATTTGCATTACATTAAAGCGAACGTCGGACCTTTCTTCAAGTACTGAATTTTGGTTGCAAATAATACTCTTGGCCCCTCAGCCCTTGCATACAGCTGTTGCCACCCTACCAAGCTTCTCCCTACTTTCGTCGTCGCATACGTGTTGTACTGATCGAATCCTCTCAGTGCGCCTCGCACTATCTACAATACACCGCAGGCTTTTGCTGCCCTACGCGTTGTGGGTCGCTTTATCAAGAGTACTTGAAGGAAAAACCAATGGCTAAAATGGTCGTCTTCTTCTATGTGCAGTGTCCTTTGAAGGAGCTTGTTCAAACTTGTGGCATATGCGACGAAGCAATCATGATCACATGTGCATGTAATCATTCCGTTTCGCGATCGATCATAGTCTTTTGCTATACCAAGACAGTGAGCCGCACCCTTCTATTTGTCTCCAATGGCTTCTGTAGATGCAGGCGAGAGAAAGAACCCGACACCCTCTCATCTTCACCATTGATATTCGCAACACTTTATCGAAGCAGCCAGCGACGTCCTCGTCGCTCCGAGCAAGATGAAGGGTCTTGGGCAAATGAATACAAAAGACAAGGACGATGCCATCATCAGTGAACTGTCCCCGAGACCAGACAGAAATCTCTCTTTAATGCCTACACTTCCGAGCTGATTTCCCGCCAGATTTTCCAGTAAAACACCTTTAGGGCGAACGATAAATACAAGGGGTACATGCTTTGGGTGGCGATACAATCACTTGTGGTCAAAGTCGAGAGCCAGATGCACAAACCCTTAGAAAATTGAATACCTGATAGAGAAAAACGCATGGGTCCAGTTACGGTCATCTTGGTAGATAAATGCAAGGCGATAAATGATTACAAGGAGAAAGGAGCAGAGATTAAGCAGGTATTCGTACATCATCGTTCGAATCTGACAACGTGGGGTTGGTGCTCGAAAAAGTCTGCGCAGTATGAGATACGAGGCAGGGGAGCAATCCCGAGGATTTGAAAGGGCGTGATTCAAGCCTTTCGAAGGCATGAAGCTGAGATCGCCAAGATGAGACATCAAGCTACTTTGCGCAAAGCATATAAAATCCCAGTGCGGCTTATGCCTCTGAGGCCAGTGTCTTATTGCATTCTAGTAAAGCTATTTAATCATTCTAACCAAACAAGACAGCGCTAGATGACCTCAATCAACGCATTCAACACGCCTCAAATACTAAAGAGAATCATCCTGTTACTCCCGATAGCTCTTCAACACACTGGAGAGCTTCTGGCGTCTAAGCCGATACCTGCTCGTCGAGATCTCGAGGAATAAACTGGATGTAAGGGCCATGCTTCTCGCTCGTGAAGTGTCCTTTGATCTCGAAGTTCACAGCTCCCTTTGCACCACTCCGCGTCTCCCCAATCGTACCCATTGGGCCTTCAGCACGCTTCCAATCCGCTCGGAACATTATCTGAGCCAGGGCTGTGGTAAGCTCCATATAAGCAATATTTTTACCCAGACAACCCCGAGATCCCAACGAAAAAGGGATAAATGCTCTCTTCGCCAACTTGAGCGCCTCCTCGCTCTGGTTGTCCGGCAGCCATCGTTCAGGGATAAACTCGTCGGGATCTGGGAAGTAGGCAGGATTGCGCTGAATGGCGTAGCAGCAAGTTGCAACATCCACCCCCTTTGGAAGGACGTTCCCAGCTATCGACTCTTGCATCCTCATCTCCCTCCACAGCGGGGCGGCTACTGGAGGCGCAAGCCGTAGTGCTTCGTCAATGCAAGCCAGAAGGTAGGAGCAGCTTGTCAATCTTGGGCCCGGTGCGATTTCCTCAAGGCTCGAGAAGGTCGATCGGATTTCAGCGGCCAATCGCTTGTAAACTTCTGGATGACGTGCGATGTAGAAGAAAAAACCAGAGATGGCAACAGAAGATGTATCGGTACCTGTAACTATTAGAATGACGAAGCACAGAGAGCACGGTAAAGTTGGTTCATCTTACCTGCAATTACCATGACTAATGCATCAGCCATGAGCTCCTCGTTAGTAAGTCCTGAGCCTTCTTTGCCTTGTTGCCCAATCAAGTCTCCGAAAATATCGTCCACGTGCTGCTTCTTCTCTAGTTCTATTCTGCCCATTACAAGTGGCCAGATCCGTTCTCCAAGATTCAAGATCTTCTTGGTGAGTCTTGGTGCAAGGTAAGTTCTGAGGTTCCGATAATCGACTAGTCGTGGTTGTATTACTTCCATACCAGCCATCAACATGCAGTTGTCGATTGTTTCAAGGATAGGTCGAGCGTGTGTTTCGGTCATCATATTTTGTGGACTGTAGAAGACGATGTTCGACATGATATCGAAGGTGAAGTAGGAGCCTGTCAATGTTAGTGCTATGATCCTCACCGGGCTTTTCGACATACTTATGTGGCCGATGTTCAACCCAGGACCCCAAGATCTTGCTTTCTCGCTAGATTCAGGGCTCGCTAGGAGAGTGTCGCCGAAGACTTTGGCTGTTCTGTAGATCACTGGCTCGTATTTTTTCAAGGCAACAGTAGAGAAAGCTCGGCTCAACATCTTCCTCCTTGGCGCATGTTCCTCTCGATCGAGCGCGTTGATGATGCTAACTTCAGGCTTGCCATTTCTGAAGCCTATATATCCTCGTGCCTTCTGTGTCTTGGAGGGATGCATATATATGTCTATGATGATTAGATGCATCCAACCTTAGCTTTGCTCAATGATATACCTTGTAGTCCTTCGACAGTGTTGACAATAAGACCGTTCGGCTTGTAGCGTACCACATCGCCTACTGCACGTCAACATTCCTGACATCTCATTGCAGGATCTGTGTCTTACCATACTTCTCATGACATCTCTGGACGTCCAGATGGATGTTCCCAGTGTACGACTGGTATGCTCCATACCAAGACGTGCATCTTGCTAGAAAGGGTCCAGGGTACTTGGCTAATGGGTGGAAGTAAAGCCGATAAACGACCTGCAAAATCTACAAATATATCAGTTGACATTCGACTAAGGTACTGGGGCAGCCTACAATTATGAAAGTGACAGTGCAGGAAGAGTAGAAGGCGATGTCGATGGCAGTCATGATTGTTTGATCCCAATGGACGTATATGAATTGTGAGTGATTGATGTCAAACTGTGGAGGTGGACATCACCTTATAAGTGAACCAACACTCCCATATACCCATTGCTGCGGTATTCGGAGAACTTGGCGTTGTTACGTAGACCATAATATCTACCAGGATCTTAGACTGGAGATCGTCTCGTACGAAGCGGATACGCATGATTGTGGATTTGTGTCGGATTTTTGACAAGGTAGATGAACGGCGGTAAGGTTTCAGTCGGGCTGCGGTCCTGCCGCCGTACTGCACTTTCTACGGCCGTAAGTCATTCCATCACAACAGTCGCAGTATGGACACACGACCCACTATAAACTCACCCCGCCTAAAGGCATACGTCATGAATCTCCTGCATCCTACTCCTATTGACTTTTGAGTTCGTTCCGAACAGTGAGATTTTGGCGTCCAAGAGAGTTTGGTTTGGTTAATGTTTGTTAGGGAAGCACAACAGCGCGTTGAGAAACATTGTGGCGGAAGTGTATACTTCTCTTTGGGTTTCAAAGATTCGTACAGGCACAAATAAATCGTATATATATCGGCTGAAGTATCGAACCGTGGTCTATGATTTCGCGCCGCAAAATGCTGTCAGCGCCAAACGCCCGCCCATGTGGTATCATTCGTCTTGTCGCGTACCCCAAGATTGTATCAAACACATGCGTATCTATGCTGAGCCTCTTTTGCCTACTCAAGCTTCTTCAGTTGCCGGTAGACCTTCTTATGTTGCTCCAAAAACAAGAACGTGAGCACGGTGTGGGGTCCAACACGGATGAAGCTCGGTACCCAGCCCTTGAACATCCAACGGAATCCTTCTGCTCTCATAGTATCTGAAACAGTCTTTATGAGCCCAACGTTCTCGCTAGAGCTCATGACTTTCGTCTTGATGACATCTACCGGCGAGCATATCGTCGTAGCTACGAATCCAGCCAAGAACGATGCGGTGAAGTGTGTTGCGAGGTTGTCTTGCAGCGGCGTGTAATTCAGCAACACGCGCTTAAATCCATCGTATGTTGCTAGTTGACCCACAGTCATGAGCACAGCTCTTGACGAGTTGGGCCAGACGCCTTTCCACAGACTTGCTACTCCTTCTTCCCGCGACATTCGTATTATCCCGTCGATCGCATTCTTGTATCCTCGTCGCTTCTCTCTCGGTAATGCTGCATCATGTTGCATCCGTACATTCAGAATGTCTCCTGGGTTACCGGCGAAGCCTCCGAGAAAGCCTGATATAGAGGCCATGCCGACGAGTGTCAGGAACGAGGGTTTCGAGTCAGCGGTCGTCATGCGGTCTTTAAGGGCTTCGTAGACACCGAAGCGTGTCATGCTGTAGGTTCCTTGGCGAAGTTGGGCTGCGGATATCTGGTGTCGCATTAGCTGGAAACATGTGAAAAAAGACCCAAGACCACGTACGCCTTTGTACAGCCCCAGTGCCCCATCAGTCTTTATGACATGACCAAACATTTGCATCATGTTTAATCGTACGCCAGATGTCGCTTGTGTTTGTAACCGGACCTGAACGAGTGAGTATGTACGAATTGGCGCACGCGACAGCTGAAGAGGCTACCTTGACTGTTCAGACTATTAGCCAAATGTGCAATGTTGCATGCATAGCTGTGGGAGACTTACCAAGATCCAGCGGATGCGTAAAGAAAGTCGCAAAACAACTTGCGCTTCCACCAAACCAGAACGGATAATGTACCGGCGTCTTCTTGATAGGCTTCACATCCTCGCTCTTCCGCAGTTCAGCCACGCTCACTTTCTTAGTGACGTCCGCCATTTTCAAGGTGAAGGCTGCGCAGCGACAGCATGTGTAGTCTGCAGGGGCAGGGAAGCTGTCGCCTTAAAAGTCAGGAAGCTTGTGAAGCGTCGGTGGTAGTTGAGAGACCGAGAATTCGGCACGCGGACGTCATCGGCAAAACGTGCTGCCTCCGGATTTAAGCTCGGAGCTGGTGGGCAGGGCTTGGCGTCGCGTGCGGTTTTGTGGACGCCACGGTAAAGAGCGAACATCACCATCAAAGATGCGGATACCCCTTTCCTCTACGGCTCTTTGCCGTCAATTGTGCTGGAATGCCTCGCTGCGCATACCACGAAGCTCAGTGTCGCCTTGGCCGTCGCGTCATGCGGCGAGGCACAATTCTTCCGGTGAGTTTGTCATCATGTGATGCGGCTCCTAGCTTTCTGTACCGAATCAATCATAGTCACACCCATCGATACAAGATCCGGGATCTGTCGTATCAAAGATACCACTACCTTTATTCAGCTTGGTCGTCGTGCTTAGCTTGTATTCGAACGATGAACCGTATAGCATCTAAGTATGAACAGGAGCATTCCCAAAAGAGATCAAAATAGAAGGTCGGACATACCAAACTGACGAATGGATGAATACCCCTTCAACAATCCTTGACGCGGTAACAAGACGCCTGCATCTGCAACCAGATCACCCTTTGACCATCACACGGAAACTCATCGAGTCCCGGTTTCCAGGTTACAAGACTCATAATGACCTCTTTCCTATCGTCACAACTGGACAAAATTTCGACTCGCTTGGCTTCCCATTAGACCACATAGGTCGTAGTAGGACGGATACATACTACCTAAACAAGAACACTGTGCTACGAACACATACTTCAGCGCATCAAGCCGACACATTCCGCAACAACGAGAGCGAGGGGTACCTCATCAGTGCCGATGTATACCGAAGAGATGCGATTGACAGAAGTCATTATCCCGTGTTCCATCAGATGGAGGGAGCGCGAACTTGGGATCGCCAACAAGCAGAAAGAGAAGGCAAGACACTGGCGCAAGTCATCTGGGATGATGTGGAGAAGATTCCTAAGCACAATGTTGCAGTTGAAGATCCAAATCCTCCTTTTCATGCTGAGCGCAACCCACTTCAAACAGGTCACTCAGCAGAAGAGGCCGAAGCCATGGCAGCACATCTTAAACGCAGTCTCGAAGATATGGTAGTTACGGTTTTCAATGCTGCAAAGAGTGCTACAGATACGGAATCACCAAATGAGCCACTGAAGGTACGATGGGTAGAAGCCTACTTCCCCTTCACCTCGCCCTCGTGGGAACTCGAGGTCTTTTGGCAAGGCGATTGGCTCGAAGTCCTCGGTTGTGGCATCGTCTCACAACCCATCTTGAACAACGCCTCGGTCCCTACACGCATAGGCTGGGCTTTCGGTATAGGTCTGGAACGCATCGCTATGTTGCTCTACTCTATCCCAGACATACGCCTGTTCTGGTCAAAGGACAATCGGTTCTTATCGCAATTTAGTGAGCAGAAAACCATGTGCCGCTTCGTGCCCTTCAGCAAACACCCTGCATGTTTCAAGGATGTAAGCTTCTGGTTGAGAAGTAGTTCTAACGCTGCTGGTGGAGCCGTAGCGGTTCATCCACCTGCAGGAGGCATGTCAAACAACACGCCCACAACATCATCCGGTGCACCAATTCCACCAGCGGCTCCCGCGCCATCATCCTCCAGTTTCCATGAAAATGATGTGATGGAAATCGCGCGAGAGGTCTGCGGTGATCTAGTGGAAGATGTGCGTCTCACGGATGAATTCGTGCATCCCAAGACTGGACGCAAGAGCTTGTGCTATCGCATCAACTACCGCAGCCTGGAACGCACACTCACGAATGAAGAGACTAATGAGCTGCACGAGCGGCTGAGGGGCTTGCTTGTGGAGAGGCTGGGCATTGAACTAAGATAGCGTCGGTCGCGGAGGACTGTTACGGGGCATACGGTACGAGTTTGAGATGTACTGATCGGGAAGGCGGAGCTGGTGGAAATCCTTTTTGGTGTTGGAAAACGGTGCGGGAAGGAGCTCGCCGATATGGAAAAAGTAAGGATAGGAGAGGGTGTGAAGGCAGCACGGCCACGTGAAAGGTAGGGATGGCGACCATGGGATTCTACGATCTCGATCGCAATATGGAGTTTCCAGCGGAGTGAGTGTACGTGTGTGGTAAAGGGCGGAGACGAAGGGAACGGACGACTGCCGGATGTGTAGGTGTGTGTGCAGGAGAAGGGAACTAATGTCGGCTATCGACCCTTTCCCTCCTCACGGCGATGTCCACTGCATGAAGTGGTACTTTGTGGCAAAACTATGCACGACGTTCACATCCTCGGGACCCTAGCCACGATATCATCTGCCGTGCTGAATGCCCGACATGCAGAGCGAAGGAGCGGGCAACGGTTGCATGCTTGCGTCTTCTTGCTCGTATCTCGTAAACCTCGCAATGTACAATAGATGTGTAGAAACATGTCACCCCAGCGCAACTCTACTATAACGATATCTATTATTACATCTTGACAACTGGTACTCGGTACCGTTGGGTCCCATACTCGGTGCCTCCTTTCTGCATCACCGTTCTCTCTGGGTGTCCGCCTTATGCACGGCACCCCGCATACTCCGGTTAAGAAGGGAAAAAGCAGGGCACGCAAGTACCGTGCAGGAAAATCCTGTTTCCACACATAGCTAAGGCATCTTTTTGCGCATGAACGTTTGACAACACTACACTACGCTTGATCTTGGTGATGGGGCAAAAATAGTACCATGTCAGCAAATGCGTGTCTCATGAGGTGCTCGCCCAATATGCGGGAAGCAATATGGTTTGCACACATCAAGTTCAATGTATCTGCAGGCTGCAAGCTGGTGGGGCACAAGGACCCTGTTCAATCCTTCAATCCAGAAAGACCAGATTCGACACGGGATGCGCCGTTCAAACCTACACATGCACACACAATCCGTCACCTGCAGTTAGTTGCGGGATTTCGAGTACCAAACCCTAATTGCCACGGCGCCAGCGGCTTGCTCACTTCCCTGGAAACGAACACATCGCTAGCTAAACTAGCTCAACGATCTGAAGACGACATCTTGTCTTTTTGCATCTAAGTTTGGCGCAGGTTTGGTGTAAGTTTAGTTTGCTGACCAGCGACACTCCTAAATTCCGAATTCCGAAGCTAGAAGATGCGCGGGATAGAGCTTCTAGCTGCCGTTCCAAGGTGCTAGGAGGATACTCCGGAGAAAGAAAAAAGGGCCGTACGAGTCTTAAAATGGCGGGCTTTTTGGCGTCTTAGGGGTTTCTTGCTTGTGTAGGGGAAAGTGTGGCGGGTGCTTGCGCAATTTTGCTGTTGCTTTTGCGCCTCAGGCTTCCACGCGTCTTCGAGAAGCTGTTTCTCGTAAGCTTGCCTGTGCTTTAGTATGCCAAGCGGCTTTAAGCTCTACTTTGCTTTGTACATCGTCGATTTCGTGAATCTCCTTTCTTGCTGTGTGGCCACCTATGCTCCGCTCGGAATCATATTCTTTGTGTCAGATCAGCCTCCAAGAGACGTGGATACGTGTTGACAGTGTTGTGGGCCCACATTTGCAAATTCCGCACGCTATACGAGGTGTTCACATCCCTATACCATGACGATGAGTGTCTCCAATGATATGGTACTGCATGACAATGCCTATTCCAAGTGACCTACCGCCGAACTTACTCAGAGCGGCGTTTTGCATCTGCTGTACAATGTAGCATAGCCGAGCGGCTGCTAAGGGAGGTCGACGATCAAGCTGTGATCGCGATCTATATCGTAATTCACCACCAGGAGATGTCTCATACATGGGTGATCGTAGTTGAGGCGTATACTGACATGGATTCCCCGCGAAAACCGAAAGTGCCGAAAAGAATGGCTCACACAAAGTAAGGCGATGTCGTTGATGGAGAACCACCAACGGGGATGTATGTTGTTGAATACTGAGCGACAGTAAGGGGTCGATATTTGTTTTTCTAAGTCAGAAGTGTAGACTCTGGATTTGTGATTGATGCGAGGCAACGATCCGTTGTAAGCATGCAAACCCTATGGGATTTTGAGCATCAGTACGAGAGTCAAGCTTTTCAGTCTGGCTCTACTTGCCAGTCATGTTACCCTAACGTCTTTTATCGTATCACTCGGCGTCACAATGATTTTCCGTGAAAGATGCCGGAAATAAAATCAAGTCATTACCCGAGGTACTGATCAATCCATTTGTCTGGCTCTGATATAGCAAGAACATTCTCCAAGCCGAGCATGTTCGGTGTCTTTGTGTGGCTGTTGAGTGTATGATTTGAGTGGGGCCATATGTGCATTAAGCTCGCGTCATGACAGAAGCGACATTTGAACACAGACGTTTTTTGCTTGGAATCGCGAAATGCCCAAATTACTCAAGGTGTACGTCGGAGATGATGGTAATGAAGATCCGCAGTAGCAATGCGGTCGCGATTACTACAATGATGTGCCGTGTATGTTCAACTCGTATCTCGGTTACGGTACAACTCGCGGCGGGTTTGGTCATGGAATGACTCGAAAAGACAAGTCAATGGGTTCGGCGCAATATCGCAAGGCTATGACGGACAGTCTCCGTATGATGTTTGATCGGAGACAGGCCTTGTGTTTTTCCTTGGTGATCAAGCGACGCGTGCCGACACCCGCGCCTTAGATGATGGAGTGGCGCGCTCTCGAAACAATCGGAACCGGCACACGTTCACCAAAACAAACACACAAGTTGTCGACTTGACCCAGCAATCCTAACGAAGGATTTAATGTTCGTATGCACGTCGATGTGAATTGATGTAAATCCATCTACTTTCGATCAACTAGTGCTGTTGCGCGAGGTGACCTAGCCGTCATGGACCAACTGTTGCTGCATGGTGAGCATCGTTCGTTGCCTGCGAACCGACCGAATGTGACCAGACGCAGTCCCCACTCAGAACAGTTAAGAGCCACACTAGGATAAGCCAAGACGACCCCTTTCAGGAAAGGTGGTCCAGGCAAAAGTCTGAGCAGCAAGATGAACCGCACACAGAAGTTGCTTTTGATAAGGAACAGGAAAGAACGTAACCGCATGTGGTGCAAAATCGGATGATAATGACTCTGTGAAAAAGTTGGTGGCCCTCATGCAGCAATTCCTTGCTGACACTGGCCCGTTCACTGCATCGCTTGGCGTGAAGTCGGAAAGCACTTGCATGCGAGCGGAGCGGGAAGCCGAAATTGAGTAGCGCAGCGTACCCAGTCATAGTTACATGCATATTGACATGATGAAGCTTTGTCGTTGAAGACAGCAACGTCGCTATCATCTCGACCAGATGTCAAAGACGGTGGGCACATATGTCTTTGCATGATGTTTCGTGGGGGTCTAACGCTCGGCTACGGCATGTGATGACCAGCCACCGCACGGATAGTAGAGTGAAACGGCGTACCAGACTCGGGAGAAAGAGGCAGATGCGGATTGACGCAAGTCGTATCCAGAAGTTGGAACTCTAGAGCGGCCCACGGCAGACAGCGATCGCAGCAGAAGGCGCAAGGCGGGTCTTTCAGATTCGCGCTCGTGATCGCGTCGGCGTCGGCGTCGGCATGGCAGAAGCAAGTCAACACGCAGTTCGCGTCTAGGAATGGAAGAGCTAGGCATGCACGAGTATAGTGCAAAGTTTAAAGATGGAGAGACAGCGTCGAGGGCCCACGGGCAGCTTGGACCTCTCTTGATCCCACGCAACCGTCGAGGGTAGTTGGCAAGTGAATATGTAGCGAATGAGTTAGTAACAGTGCGGTATTAACACGAGGCACGTTCGCCATACGAGACTCTGCTATGTTTTCCTCACACTAACTGAATTTTTTTGGGCAGCTGTCGCATACGCTTAAGCGACGGATGACGGCTATAAGCCTATAAGACTGGACCTCGCCTATAACTGCTGCGTGGGACATGGTGGCTCTATTTGCCCGACTCTCTTTGGGATGACGGTGGAAGTGATCGGAGGGGAACGACGGCTAGACGTGATCGTCTTCGTCTCGAGTGTTCGCTAGGAGGGCGCCCAAACCTGAGTGTCAACAGGGGAAGCAGTGTCGGTGGAATATGCCGTCTTTCTCACGATATTTGGCCGCTCGTATGAGCTGAAGGTTGAGTGCTAGTAGTGGAGCAGATGCTCATACCAGTGTTAAAGGGTCGCACCAACGCATGCGATAAGCTTTGAGCGTCATCGTCTAGAAAAGCTCGTAGTATTTACGACTCGCGGCGGCTGCTGCTGTGCCGTGATGACCCTGTTTCCGGCCCAGGGTTGCCACGAGGCCGCTTCCGCAACCAATGACTAACCCCTGCTAGTTCTAAACGTTCGCTTCGCACCTGCCTTGTTCCTGAGGCGCACCTTCCTCGCTCCTGCCCCGAACTCACCAACGTTCTCGCGGCATGGCGGAGAGGCGCGCACCGTCTGCACAACCTCACCGAACTACCATCGAGTCAATTGCACTACGACAGCACAGGGCACATGTTTTCTTCTCAACAACACGTCCTTCACAAGCGCGCATCACCTCCTCACCAGTAGCCAGGGCCATTATTCAATCGCCAGCGGCCCTCTGCTGCCTCTCCCTGCTGCCCACCTGGTGGGCCGGCTTTCCTACCGCTTTGGTGCAAATCACCGGCATTGATAAACCACCTGGCAATTGAGCAGCCGGTCCGTAAGAGTAACGATAGATGATGATGGCCGATATGCTGCATCAGGTCCGCTTTACATTGCGCTAGACGCGAGCACCTGATGCTTCACACCAGCTCTGCTACTCGCCTCCGCACTATCCTGCAGATCGACATGTTGCAACCAAAAGGCACCATCCGTCGCGACCATGCGCTGTGCTCGATGCTAAGGGTGGTGCCGCTGCGCACATCGTGCAGATCACCCTAGGCATTAATTGCGTGACGATATAGCCTACCCCACGAATCGCCAGACATGCGAGGTTAGGCCCGCGTTTCATCCAGCTCCCACCAACCCCATCTAGGACGCGCCCCGACAGCCTAGATAGTTTTGCTGTTATTGGTACTTTGCCTTTGCAGGGGCTCTCCTCGTTGCTGCAGGTATCAACACTAGTGCCTGTGAGCCACACTTAACCCGCTGCAGTGTCTTTTTTACCACATACATGCAGGGAAAGCCTTCATGTTTGACGTGCCCGCCTCCCGAGTCTCACCAACCTTGTACTTCAGACAGTGAGCCACGGCAACCTCAAACGTCCGTCATGGCACACATTGCCAATTGCATGCGCTCCGATTCCGACAAGTCTTCTGTTTATATAACTCTAGAAACGTCCTCCAGGATGGTAAGCCACTCAGCTCCACTCTCCATTGCAATGAACTATCATTTGCCCCGACGTTCACGCTCACTCAGAGATATTCAGGCTGCCAGAGATTCCCAATCGCCAAGTGCTTCTTCCCACACCAAGAGTCCTTCGCTAGCAGCCCTACATCAGCCTGCTGCATCCAAGTACCAACTCTGGCCTTCTGCAAAAAGCCCAGTAGGATTGTCTAAGCCAAACCAATCTTCGGACAAGTTTGCCGCCCTTTCTGCTGGCCGATCTTCTACATCTCTTAGTGATACAGCCGTGCTGCCAGAGAGCAGTCTACCCTTTTGGCAGCGAACTGGATCCTTGTCAAGAAGAAGAAAAGTCAGTGTGCCCGAGCTTGGAAGCACTATGACTACTGTACAAGAGATGTCCATCGACTCCCGTAAGTTTCTCCTCAAATTCCACAATGTTCGAACGATTGCTTACAATGTCATCAGCGACCATCCCTGGGAGGCCACCCCTTCGTAAGCTCTCATACGAAGCTTTTGGCCATGAGAGATCGTGCAGTGCTCCGGGTACTAACTGGAGGACCGGACCTTTTGGGGATGCAATGATGGCTTGCGTAACAGGTCCTTCTCACGTTCCAGCTCAAATCATCAACGCCCCTCCTTCTTCTGATTTACCCAACGCCTCCGGAAGACCACTTTCTCCTATCCTTAGTCCTGGTGCAACACCCAGACCCTACCTCAAGGTCCAGACCGCCAGTATGGATGAAGAAACCCGTCCACAAGTACCACCTAAATCACCCGCTGTCGAGCGTAAAACTTCACCAGCCCCGCTGATCCTCAACTCGAAGACAAGTCGGCCACAAATGACAACTCCCGCCTCGACGACTTCGGGAGGTAACACACCATTGAGTGCGATGGACCTTCGAAGATCGCCCAATGGTAGTATCCCACTGCCTACTCCACCGTCGACTTTTACCAATCCTTTCTATGCATCCTCACCTGCATCCAACAGAGGTTCGCCACGCACCGAGAGGAGAGATCCTATCGCAACACAATCGTTAGCTCACAATCGAAACATGTCAGAGTCGTCGATCATGGAAAGAGGCCGACCTAAACGACGCAACAGCAAGAGAGAACGCAGCAGGACTGTATCAGAGGCCGACGGTGCAGAAGCTATCCCAGACTCTTGGAAGCTGCCCGAAGGCATGCGCGTATCAGAGGCTGCGAGACGAATGAGTGATGCCGACAAGAAGCTTCTTCACAAACAGGCATACGATCAGGCTGGCAATTTTGAGGTTCTGCACAAACGCGATGTAGCATCATTATCGAGAGTAAGCTCTTTACATCCTTGTCAAATCGACTAAAGCTGACATCGCTACAGGAACTCAGAGCTCTCGACGAGCGCTGCGATTACCTCCGAAAGACCTACAAGTCTTTGCGAGCGGGTCGCCAAAAGCTGCACGGTCGTATGATCGCTTATCTCAGGCGCGGAGAAACAGTCATCTTTTCACGCGAATCACTCCTCAAACAAGAAGAGGCCCTAGCCGAGCTGGACATTTCGATCGACGAGTTCATCCTGAAACTTGAGCAGGCCGAAAATCGCCGCTTGCGACTTCGGCAAAAGTTACTTGAGCATGTCGCTGCTGCTATCGTGCTCAACCCTAGCGCTCGGGACCAGGTAGCCGAAACTACACCACCACGAAGTCCTGTAAAGGTCGATAGCCCTTCTCGACATCAACGAAAAGAGACCGAGTCAATCAAAATTTACGCCGATGGCCACGTTCTAAATCTCTTCTCTGACATCGAGAAGGCCATCGGCAAGATGTGCGAACAGACATGCTAAGGGCCTCATGAGAAACACATCTTCTATTCCACCAACTTCGATACCCTCTTCCTTGCCTTTGACGGCCTATCATTAATTTCTACCTCTGGACATCTCACGACTTCATTTATTTGTACCATAACGACCTGAGCACACGCTCCTCTTACCGCTATCTCTTCTATCTTTCTGGACTGGCTCGACTTGACGTTTGTGTACACAAAGGAACGATTACATCATCGACATTCTGCTTTATCGTATACGTTGGCATCTATACCCAAGCTTTTGCCCATCCTTTCAGTTTTTTTCCAAGTATTCTTTTGCACATCAATACTTTCTCTTACATCACGATGTCAAAAATGGCGATGACCATGCCGGGGTGGCGTTTCATGTTTGAGCTTTGACAAGGGCAGGACGCTGTTGTGGCGTACCATGTATGTATCTAGATACCACCTGCAGGGGTGGATGAATCAAGAATGACATCTCAAGTCAAACGTTTCAGTCTTCTTCCAGTATTTCTTGTGGCACTGATCCTGCCCAGAACCAGACTCGAGACATCGTCATGCCTCGAGCACACGGCTTGAACCTGGTACGAGATATCACACTGACGACCCTGGTAGGTACGGCGCCCAGCTTCCTTCTTCTGGATAGGCCTGCGACAGCAACTGTCACGACGATAGTAAGTAATTTGCCCATAAGTACAGCGGAGCAAGCGGTACTTTGCGCGACAGGAATTGTGTATTCTAGAGCTCAAATTGTTTCATTGAACTACGTACCGCACGTGGCCAGGCTGGAGCCCTTGTGATAACATGGCCATTATAGTCTGTTTCAACGGGGGCATCGCAACGCCTTGAAAGGTGCCCAATGAAACGGAAATACGGTGGGGCAAGAACATGAGAGGGGACTTTGCCCAGAGTATCGTTTCTATAGGTTACCAGGGGGTCTATACGTGCTACGCGAGGCTGCACGCACATCCGCGCAGCAGTCATATCAATTTTCTTGATCCCACCCTTGTTTGATTGAACCAGCTTTTGCAGGTTTCGCGAGAAACATGGCAGCAAGAATTGAGGACCCGTCCGGAGATGGAGGACACGCCTAGAACACCCCGCGAGCTGGACACGGATCTCGGCCGCCGTCAAGTTTCAGAAGGCGACTAAATGACTGTTGGGTACATCCCAACACACGGCACGCATCGAGTATCCGACCTGAAAGACCAGATGTATATTTGCCGTTTAGCAGAGATGAGCTCTCTTTGAAGGCGCGAAAGTGGATTGTGGTCGAGATGCCGCAGATAAGTGTAATCGGTGGGGTCGGCTTGCTCTGCCGCGGTAGGACTATCCAGAGTCTTTGTGCCGGCGCCACCTTTCTCCGATCCTTCTCCGCACGGGCCGTTGCCCGCGTTTTTGCGCGAAAAAGTTCACTCTTTGGGCGACGACGTGACGAGTTTCAGAAATCGACATATTTCCCGCCATTACTCTCACCACCATGGCTACCAACAGCATCAAGTTACTGACCGGCAATAGCTATCCTGAGCTCGCAGCTCTAGTAGCTGATCGGTACGTTCAAGTTCTTACCTCTTGACGCTCTTTGAGGCTACGACTTGGCATGCACATGCCCAACGGTTGTCACGCCTTCATCACTACCACCACGCAACAGATATAGCTATCACCAGGCTTGCAAAGCTATAGAGCACATTTTTAGACGACCATATCATTTTTTCTTTTTCGAGAGTCAAAACAGGGTGCTCGACTGTCGCGCACCTGCTCGAGCAAGATCGCTAACGGAATCACAGACTTGGAATCGAGCTCACCAAGATCCTCGTGCTTCAATACTCGAACCAGGAGACTTCCGTGACTATCGGAGAGTCGGTCCGAGACGAAGATGGTATGCATCATCTTTCTCTGGGAGCGAGCACCAACGTGTCCGGCTTTCCTCAGCTTACCATAACGCAGTCTTCATCCTGCAATCTACGCCACCAGGCGATATCAACGATGCGCTCATGGAGCTGCTGATCATGATTAATGCGTGCAAAACGGCTTCTGCTCGCCGCATTACTGCTGTGATTCCAAACTTCCCTTATGCTCGCCAGGATAAAAAGGACAAGTCACGCGCGCCTATCACGGCAAAACTCATGGCAAACATGCTTCAAACTGCTGGTTGCAACCATGTCATCACGATGGACCTCCACGCCAGCCAGATTCAGGGCTTCTTCAATGTGCCTGTAGACAACCTCTACGCAGAACCGAGTACGCTCAGATGGATTCGTGAGAATCTGGACGTCAAGGACTGTGTTATTGTCAGCCCAGATGCAGGAGGTGCAAAGAGGTAAGATCACGCCACATACGTTCGCCAAACACTGGTTCGACTATCTGGTGCCGAGTGCGAGAGTGCGCAACCATGCAACGGTGCAAACTCAAGACCCTGAAGCGTTCCCTTGTGCCATGTTGGAGCGTCGGACTGCTCTCCGCACCACGGCTTCGAGAAGGTACTAGTGCTAATGCATTTTCAGGGCAACTTCGATAGCCGATGGCTTGAACCTTGGCTTTGCCCTCATTCACAAGGAGCGAACACGCCCGAATGAGGTTTCGCGAATGGTTCTGGTCGGAGATGTACGAGGCAAGACGGCCATCCTGGTCGACGACATGGCCGACACATGCGGAACGCTCGTTAAAGCGGCGGACGTGCTGATCTCCGAGGGTGCAAAGGATGCGCTCGCAATTGTCACACACGGCATCCTGAGTGGCAACGCCATCGAAGCTCTCAACGGCAGTAAACTCAAGAAGATTGTTGTCACCAATACCGTACCTCATGAGGATAAGAAGGAGCTGTGCGATCGTATCGAGACGATTGACATCAGTCCTACTGTACGTAACTCATGCCTTCGAAGATTGCCGCTCTAACAACAAACAGCTTGCCGAGGCCTGCAGGCGTACCCACAATGGCGAGAGTGTTAGTTTCCTCTTCAAGCACGCGCCTGTCGACTAAGGAAGACGCTACCGTTCTACCAACGGCAGTCCTTTAGCATATGAATTAACGGCGTCACGGGCGGTATAGGCGTTAGGATCAACATCACGATATGAACTATTCTTCACACGACAGACATGATGAGTCTATGAAGATCTGCAGATCGCCTTTCAGATCACGCAACTAGTAGTGAAGCCACTGCTGCAGCACGTGGCGTCGCACTAAGTGCATAAATTAAATTGCACGTTTCTATAACATCCTCTTCCCGCTAAAACGTATGGCAGGTGCGTCTAAACTAAATCCGCTGTCAGCCGGGTTTGACATGTTGGCGCCAAAGGACGCCATGGTGAGGCACTTGTCTAGTCCGTCACGTTGCGTGATGCGAGCTACCAGGTTAGTCTGCTTTTAGCCCGGAGCAGTTCAAACTTTATGTCATCGTCAAACTACATACTACCATCCGCAAGGAGGTTTCACGGCTTACAGGATCTCTGTGATCAGTACCCTGCATGTTGAGTACGAATGATTGATCGCCGCTAAATATCGCTTGCGGACGTCTAGTGGCACCATGCATACGCGACGTATTGGTCTGCATGGTGATAGTCACAGCATGCAGCCACAGTCAGCGCCCGCGAACTGACATCAAACGATGATCGACGAACTCGCGTAGGTGGGCATTCCGGGCTAGTGTTCTCCGACAAGTTTGCTCGCCTCCGCTACCTCCAGACGCTCCACATATCACAACGAGCATACCCGGACGGAGATCGTGCAATCAAGACTCGGCGGACTCCGTGAGCTCCACTTCCCACTACTCAGCGGTTTCCGTTCCCATAACTCGAGTCACATCATGAGTAATCACACTAGATTTTTCCGAGTCAAGATGCCTTTATTTCCTGAAGATCTCCTACGACTGCCGGAGCTATTCAGAGACCTCAAACCATCTTGGAGATCACGATTCCCACTTGAACCATTTTGATCTTCCGCTCCGACCCGATGCGTGACTAAGTTTATCTTGTGGGTTGACCGGAAAGGCGATCTGGGGACTTCCGAGAAAGATGGGCTTTTAAACTTTCAGGTTTCACGATGTCGGCCTTCATTGGCGCCGCATGTGCCGATGCCGAAGTTCAGCCACTGCGGTAGCATGTCTAGTGTGTGGCTGAAGAACTACGTGTAACCTGGGAAGCCACCGCTGCTTGTCTAGAAAAGGACAGATCCGAGCGATGCGGTGAAGTATGAGTTAGCTCGTAGCTATAAGTCTGCAAGCGGTTACAGAAGTAGACGACCGAGTTGTGCAACTATACTAAGCACACGATCATGGATCGTGATCAACATGTGAGTCTGAGAGAATTTTGTTCAATACGACATGAACGAGGAAACGAAAAGTTTGCCCATGAGCAGGAGATCGCCCCATCTATACGCCCTTTTACTCAGTCGGTTGACTCCTGCACTTTATGCGATGCTTGCTTTCCAATTCACTATTTTCATACACATGCTTTCAGCCGAAGCTGATGTTTATGTCTAAAAACCCCCAAGCGCACCCCTCTGTATCCACGAAGGGAACTGCACGCCGCGCAGTCAAACAAGCTATAGTAATCCACTCCTCCTCCCCTCCTCCATACATGTCCGGGAAAGTTTTCGGCACCCCGAGCTGCCTCATAGATTTACATAGTCCGAGTCGTCGCATCATGTATTGTACCGTATGCATACAAACAAGTAAGCAGGCTTCAAAGGTCCAACGACCGAGCAAAGCACAAGGGTCCCGTATCAGCCATCGCTCGAGCGAAAATCAGCGTCAGAAGAAAGCTTCAGCGCAACGATCATATGCACATACCCCCAGCCCCCCATGTCTCGCATCGAACATCACTCCTTGCAAATGGTAAAACCCCGCGTCCAAAAACCAAAAGTATAAAACCCTCCTCCCAGCGGTCCGAAAACAAACCCTATGTTGCGCAATTCAGCTGTACGACACATCCCACTCCACCGGGTAAAAATGCCTCGTTACGAGTAACATCTCAAAATACTGGAAACTGGGCAAGGGTTCATGTACTGTGATACAAACAGCCTTGCGGTCCGAAAAGGTGAACTCTATCATGCGATTTGGACCCTGAGGCAAGATTCGGGTCTAGTCTAGATCCATATCAGATAACGGCCCGAATAGGCAAAGTTTATGGAGAGACTGGGAAGGTGACGCGCTTTTGGGGGCGTGCGGAGCACAGGTCGTGATTTGTAAATACTAAGCGAAGGGGTGGGGGTTCAAAGTCGGTGTGGTTTGATGTACGCCCAGAGCGTGCGACGCGGGAAGGTGAGGTAGTATCGCCAGTGGCTTGGCAGCTGATGTAGGATTTATCTTTGTGAAAAGTCTGGTTCTCGGACGCTCAAGATTTGAATAGTTGGCGTGGTATTCTTTCCAGACATGTATGGTGCATAGACACTAGGATGATGGTCGGGTGAATGGTTAAACTATCGGTATTGGTGAGAAGCTATACGTCGAACCCACAGTGTTTGCCAGTAGTTGTAGTAACGTTACACTTTACAGATACGTGACCCTTTTAGGAGTAGCATCTGTGAGTTAATTCGCGCTGCAAACATGCACCAGTTTGTGCGATCCATCTCGTCCATTCAGTGACAAGAGTGGCATGCGCCTAGACGAGCAATTCGTCGTTGGTCTACCTACACCATTTTCTTTATCTATTCGCAGGTATACGAAGAGGTAACTTGAGCTTCATTTGCTAAGTCTCAAAAGAATTCAGGTCGTATGCAGTGGATACAAAATATCTAGGCATACACTGTGGCCATTATCATACAGTACTACTCAACAGCATTTTGTTCATATCGCAGCACTAACATGTTGATCACAGCAATCAAGCAACAATGTACGTAGTAGTTATAGGAGATTTACATTCGCTCACAGTCCTCAAGCAGCTATGTTTTCAAAGCACTGCGCTATTCTTATCCGACTCTTGTCCGCCTCTTACCAACCTAGCTCACCAGCAAGAGCTTTAGCCAAAATTTCCGCCATCGCCGCATGCGTCGCCGCATTAGGATGATAGTCACAACCAACATCTGAACCTTGACTCGGGATATCCACTAGGCTGATGCTCGTGCTGTTTTGGAGTTGCGCAATAGCAGCATTCAGCGCGTTCTTCTGTGTAGTCTTCTGCGCATCTTGAGTGGAGGGATACCCGTCGTTGAGCATAGGCGAAGTCAGAAGGAAGAATGCAGCGTCTGGGTAGTGTTTCTGGATTGTCTTGACAAAGTTTACCATGGCGGCGGTGTACTCTGCTGGGACGATGGGATCCCGGATGCCAGTTTGGTAACCAAAGTCGTTGGTGCCGAGATTGATAACCACGGCGTCTGGTGTGGCGTTGGCGGGGAATGTGTAGCTATTCAAGGGGTCGAGAGCCCCGTACCGAGTCCAGCGCTGAGGCATAATGTCGCTGGTGTCTGGGGTTGGAGAGACGTAGTTCCTCGTCAGGCCGATGCCGCTCCAAGCGATGATGTCGTAGTCGGCATTCAACGCATCTGCGGCGAGGGCAGCATAGGTCTTGGGGTTGTTTTCAACTGCGGCGGTGTTCACGCATGGGTTCACGCCGTCGAGGCCATATCCCACAGTAATAGAGTCGCCAATGACCTGAATCTTGCGAGAGGAGTACATGTCCGGACCGAATGTGCCATCCGTGGTGATGTTACCAACAGAGATGGTGCCGAAGAGAGCCTCAGATCGTTTACGCAATTCGACGGTGTGGTTGCCGTTCCGGAGGCCAGCGGGTGTTGTGATGGAGGTACCATTTACGTCCGGGATGACAGTCGCCACACCGTCGATGGTCAGCTGAGCACTGTTGGTACCAGTCGTAGCTTCGATTTCTATACTAGCCGATGAGCCTGTGAAAGTGAAGGATACGCCGGTTCCAGGCCATGTCAGTTCTCGAGTATCCGGATTAACGCGTCCGAGAAATCTTTCGGCAGTGACAAGGTCGATAGCAGCCAGTAGTACAAACGGAGAGATGGTGAGCTTCATGACGATGGATAGTGAACGGGTGCGCAGTGCATCACGGAGACGCATCTACGGGCATATAAATACTATACAGCATTGTGGTTGAGCCTCCAATCTAACACGGAAGACCGTTCCTAGCTTCGTGCAAGTAGGAGTCAGTTCCGACGCTACCTGGATCGTGGGTTCGGCATATATTACGTGCTGTATGGGAAAACCGGGGTAAGCTCTCAGCGAAGATCTCGTTCTTTCTACAGCCGCAATAATACGCCGTGTGGCAACACTATGATTGGCTAAGCGATACCTGTATGATGTAGTGCATGACACTAGAAGAATGCGTAGCTATAAACATTAAAACAATGCGGGGATATAGTGGTGAGCGTATGGCAAGAAGAAGATTGTAATGACGATCGCGGATGAACTGACTGGTACACTAAGCTTGAACGGGAGTGGTGCGGGAGACATAATTTCCACGAACGAAGGCTGCTCTCATCCATTTGTCCGAAGACACGACTCACAAATATGAAGACTAGAATATTGAGACAGCATGGGTGATGCAGGATCATAAGAGACGTCAAGATGGGTTGGGGATGGAACCTGATTGTGGGCAAGCGCAGAGCCATCTGCCACAACAGCAGGGAATCTTGAAGTTGGTATCAACGATACTTACCAACAGAGAGCTCTATAACCATGATTTTATGGCTGAGTTGTTGAAGTATTCCGATAGATATATCTTCTTCGACGTGAGCCTTGGCCACTCCTCCATCACGCTCCTGTTCATCACAACGGAAGTAGAGAATTGAACAGTGAGTATGGTTTCTAGAAGATGTGCGATGACGAATGAGATGGGCGGTCTCGAGGACGCTTCCCTTGATCTATTCTGCTAAAACATGATAGTTGAGTACAATAATAGTGACAAGTCCTCTCCGTGGTATCATTCGCGCTCCGTTGACGCAGTGCAAACAAGGCGCTGTAACGCTGACAAGACGCCGCCGCAATGCATCGAGTCCAATTGCACCAAACTTTTGTGATGGTCTAATAAAGCGCAGGAATCAAAGAGATCTGAGATAAGATGGAGATAGAGGACGAGCGTACTATGACGCCGTCGGCCTTTCTGGTATTTCATGTCGTTCGGGTTCGTATGTCGTCTCTCCTAAGGATTCCGTAGGTCCAGAGACAGAAGGTGCTGATGGAGCAGCAGCACTTGGGCCTCGAGATGCCGCTGCGTTCAATCGCGCATTCAGTGCTTCCAGAGCCAGAGCACGTCTCCTCTCTGCTTCTACACGGGTTGATCCACCGCGACCCCCCCTGCTGTTGGGGTTCATGATGCTTGGGAGACCTCCTTCGGCACGGGCGCTTGCCTGTTCGTTGCCCGCATCGATGTCTCGATCTGAGAAGGGCGTGCACACTTTGAGTGATACCAGTGCGTTGTAGATGCCGTCGGAAAGTGCGCCAACGGGTGTTTGTATGGGTTCCGGGAAAAAGTGAGCAAAGGAGAAGGTGTCTGAGGCGTCGCCGCGGATGACGGATCCGTCGCCAGTTGCCGTGGACGATAATGATGGGCTTATGCGGTAGAAGCGAAGGTAGATCCAAGCAGTGAAGAAGCCGAAGTATGCTAGAAACATGGCCGTCTCAGTACCCAGTATCATGCCAGAGATTGTGTTGGCGAGGAGAAAGATGGCGGGGAAGTGCTTGACGCGCATGCGGATGAGGCCTTTGGCGATGGCAACGGTGTGTTCGGGGACGAGCTGCTTGAAGGAAACGAGAAAGCCAGCTTGGATGGCAATGCCGCCGGAGATTGTGGTATGTCTGGACGGCGTCAGTACAAAGTACAGGGAGGGGTATGGTCTACTCACAAGATGGAACCTTTGCTCGTGAGGAGGAAGCCAACCATGTAGAGCAAGTATGTGAGGACGTTGGGTATCATGGCCACGAAGAGCATGAACTTGGTGAACTCGTGTGACGCCCATGCTCTTTCCAAATAGCGTCCGCCGTAGAAGACGGTGAGTGCGGTGGTGACGAGACCCAGGACATTCTGCTCCACGACCGTCGCCAATGCAAACACCCATGGATACCAAGGCACCGAATAACCAGGGACTATGGTGAGCCACGGCACGCCATTGCCCACGCCGATGATTGGCTTCTCGACCTTTTCCACCCAGTCGGCGTGTGGACGCAGTGCGAAGTTTATGAGCGTAAAGAATACGACGGCAGCGAGCACGCCCCGAGTCAGCGGGGGTAGGTTGATCCGGGCCATGGCGGGAGGTGAGAGGGCAGCCGGGAGGGGAGGAGAGGAGGAGGAGAGGAGGGTCGGCCCGGGGGATTCCAGACGGGTGGTGGAAGTGGAGAGGGTGAAGGAAGGCAGCTGGCAGGGATCAGCAACGCTCGGACGGAGATCTGTGGGGACTAGCTCGAGTGCACAGTGCACGGTGCTCGAGCGCTGAGTAGTTGCAGTTCGCAGGGCAGGTAGCCTTCGATTCTCCGACAAGCTTCGAGACCACGACGGCCACGGATCGCGCAACCAAGACGCCCCGAATCCCAGCGTATACACCCTCTTCTCTCCACGGGCGCATGCAGCGCGTACAGGATGCGCCATGGCGGAGACTCTGAGCAGCAACGCGATGAACTATCTCGGTACCCTTTCCCCCCCTCCCATTCGACGACTCGATTGGCCTGGCCCTTCTGACTTGTGTGTGCAGTATGGCGATACCTCCAGGAGGCCGGCTTCGGTAACGCAGCCCTGCAACTCTCGCGATGCTGGATCCGCGACCCCGACACGCTTCCCTTTGCGAAGAACATCGAACCGCACACACTCATCAGGCTCGTGCAGGATGGCATGTGCTTCGACCAGCTACAGGCCGAGGCTTGCAATGTACGTCGCATACATGCGCTGCAGAGAGCAGTACTGACGACCGCAGACGGAGCCGCGATACAGGTTCGGCACCGACCACGGACGACCATATTCGGCGCGCAATGGCAACCTCTTGACCCTCGACAAGGGCATACCCGCCCACCAACTCGCCGCCGAAGCCAACGGCGCCGTCCAGGAACCCCCACCAAAGAAGACGCTCAAGCGCAAGAAGACGAAGCCCACCAACGGCGTCGAGCCGCGCCCCGAGCCCCAGGTCAACGGCGATGCCATGGACATCGAGCACAACGGCGCCGCACATGTCACAAACAGCACGAGGGCCGAGTCGGAGCCCATGGTCTCGGAAGCAGAGTCGCCCTCGCTTGCTGACATCCCCATATCCACGCTTAGCATAGGCCAGGACGCTGAGATCCAGACCGAAGCCATTGCCATTGCTGATCTGAATTCCACCACCGTCTCCATCCCTCCGCCCTCGGATCCCGCACGAGTAATCGAGCATACCCTGTGGGGGCCAATAGAGTCTCCCGTACTGCTCGCAGCTGGCAAATCCCTCCTCCAGCTTCACGTCGTGAGCAAGGAGCTCGGCCATGAACCCCCTACCCAACATTTCGACATACCTCTGCCCGTCGACAACTTCAACGTCACGGCGCTGTGCTGGCACTCGGATAACGAACTTACCGTCTCTGTGCGAGAGCAGAGATCCAATGAAGTGGGGGAAAAGATGATGATGGATAAGCTCATCAAGCTTACCGAAGGCGGTCAGGCCTCCCAGGTCGTCTCTTCTACCGCCGGCCTCATCAACACACTTCGCTGGAATCCGGTCCGGAATTTGCTGCTATCCATTTCGACAGACGGCGAAAAGGGCTCCATCAAGGTGTGGAAAAACGACAGCGACTCCATCCCAGCCTGGACAGAGTTCACCGACACAGCCATCTTCGACGCGCACTGGATAAGCGACTCAGCTTTTGTCGTTTGCGGTATCAAGCTCTTCAAGATCTACGAGGTCAATGAATCCTTGACAACCCAGCAAACTCTCGAGACCTCAGTAACATGGGAGACGGTAAAATATGACGCTGCATCTGGCATCATCGCTGTCTTGGGCATTGAGGATAGGAAGTATTATCTGGGCATTCTCCACCCCAACGATTCGCTGCAACTGCAGACCCATGAATATCCCGACGAATACCCTACCGATCTTGGCTTCCGCGTCAAAGCAAAGAACAATCATCTCACCAATGGCTCCGCTCTGCCCTCCGTCTTGCTTGCAACAAGCTCCATGTCTGGTGCGACGCGCATCTGGAATGCCGACGAACCATTCAAATGCGTCAAATATCTGCCTACCACAGATGGCACACAAGCCTTCAAAACTGCATTTTCCCCAGACGGTTCGCTCTTAGCAGCTGCGGGACCTGATGCTGTCACCATATGGGATATAGAAAAAAGAGATGTCCCAATAGCCTCGTGGCGAGCCAGTGAAACTCCAAGCGACAAATGGAATCCTGGTATAGACGGAGAGTTCAGTCTTGGTTGGGAGCCAGACAGCTCCAGGCTATCCATTGCACTCGGAAATCAGGTATGACCACCCAGCTCAAGAAATACTCATCTACTGACCTCGACACAGATTGCCATCATCACGGTTCCAAGGTAGTGCCAGGGGTCGTCCTTCGAACGGAATCACTTCGTTGTGCAGCGCGTCGCAAAACATTGTGGACCCTCACAGGGTCGCAGCGGCATCGTGCAGGAAGAAGGAAAAACATGTCGGGTCGATTGCGCAGGCGATTGCGGGGGCATTCCGCGCATGCAAGATCGCAAAGAGCGCGAGGCGGGACGCATGTGGAGTCCGGGGTGGCGCCTCCGTCAGATGCGGAGACCTTCGCGCCCTGATAGGCTAAATCTTTCAGTCAAGTCGTCTACCGTGTGTTGAACCCGGCCTTTAGCCTGGTCCACATCTTGACGTCTCGCTAGCGATGGGCCCATTGCTTCGGCAATTGCACCTCACGGCCAACCTTGACGATGGGCGAGGGGCATAGTCAGCGGCGTCCGTAACTATGACGGTTCGCTGTCGCCCTTATGCGACCGATGTCTTCTAATCCTTTCTCTGTCCTACTGTATACTACCCACGTCGGAGAGTGTAGCCTCTAAATAAACCTTAAGCATTGGATAGGTGTCGCGCGACAGATCTTGCTGTGCAACTCTCTCTTTCCTATTGACCATGTCGGCTATTCCTAACCTTCCTATCGACACGCCCGGCATCCACACCAACGGCGGTGCGAATGGTGTTGCTGCAGACTCGTCTTTCAAGCTCAATGATGCGCCGGTAGAGAATCTTCGACGTTTGAAAGTTGTCGTCATTGGGGCTGGCTACTCTGGCATCTACTGTGGGATCCGTATACCAGAAAGACTGAGAAATGTCGACCTGGTAATCTATGAAAAGAACGCTGGCGTTGGGGGGACTTGGTACGAAAACAGGTAAGAAACACCCATCTCCCAAATCTTGGTAGGCTAGTATCACAACTATATCAGCCATGTTAGTATTGGTTTCGGGTGATCCTGTTGTAGATACATTGCTTGGTCTTTGGTTGTCTCCGTTTTGCACAGTGCTTACTGACATGATTGCAGATACCTTGGTTGCGCGTGCGACGTCCCTTGTAAGCATCGGGTCCCACATTTACCAATGCGTACGCTGCTGACTACCCCTAGCACATTCTTACCAGTATTCTTTCCAGCCGAACCCAAACTGGTCGTCGCTTTACGCCCCGGCAGCGGAAATCCAGTCGTACCTCCAAGATGTCGCGCAGAAATTTTCCGCGGACAGGTTTATCAAGTTGCGTCACCAGATTGAGGCATGCCACTGGGATGACAAAACTGCGAAGTGGAACATCACGGTAAAGAATCTTGCCACAGGAGAAGTGCTGGAAGATCAGGCGGACGTTGTTATCTCAGGGAGAGGTAATCTGAATACACCTTCCTGGCCTGAGATAGACGGCCTGAAAACATTCAAGGGCGAAGTCATGCATTCTGCAGTCTGGAACCAGAGGTATTGCGCATTCCCACAGTGCGTCTTGAGTAGCAGATTGACTGAATTGGTTTATAGGTACGACTTCGAAAACAAACGAGTTGGTGTTATTGGCTCCGGCTCTTCTTCAATCCAGATCGTCCCTTCGCTACAGCGTCTACCAGGTACCCACATCAGCACCTTTGTGCGTAGCAAGACGTGGATATCACCTCCTTTCGGCCAGGACTTATTCGACAAATACGGTTTCAATGGCTCAGCAATTCCCCAAGAGCTCCGCGATCGTTTTGCGAATGACCCCGAGTACTACTACAAGTTCAGGCTTTCAGTCGAAGAGGATGGAAATGGTATCCACGCTGTCACGATGAAGGGAACTGAACTGCAACTCGGCGCAAAGGATATGTTCCACAAGCACATGAAAGAAAGACTAAAGAGCAAGCCGGAAATCTTCGAAGCCCTCTTACCGTCATTCTCACCGGGATGTCGCCGTTTGACGCCAGGCCCGGGCTACCCAGAAGCACTGACGCAGCCCAATGTAGACTTTGTTACATCACCTATAACGCGCATATCCGAATCTGCGATTCACACTGCTGACGGTAAGACGCATGAGATTGACGCTCTTGTGTGTGCGACAGGCTTCAAAGCATCTGCCCCACCTCCGTTTCCGTTGACCGGCAGCAAGGGGCTATCTCTTACGGAGAAGTGGGACAAGCGCGCTGTCAACTATCTCTCGCACTCTGTTGCCGGCTTTCCAAATATGTTCACGATGCTTGGCCCCAACGCTGCCATCGGCTCTGGTAGTCTAACTACCATGATCGAAACAGTAGGCGACTACATCATCAAAGCAATCCGCAAGATCCAAAAGGACAACATTGCAGCCATGACAGTCAAAGAGGCGCGCGAAAAGGACTTCATAGAGTATGTTGATGCATACTTCCAAGGCACAGTCTTCGCCGATGAGTGCAGAAGTTGGTACAAGAACAAGGGTACTGGGGAGGTCGTCGGACTTTGGCCCGGTAGTACACTACACTGCGTTGAAGCAATGCGGAGTCCGCGCTGGGAAGATTTCGACTACGTCTACCTGGATGAACTAGAGGGCCAAGACGCTAACAACGACCTACATGGTGTGGGTAAGAAAGCGAACAGGATGGCTTGGCTAGGTAATGGATGGAGTATCGCTCAGATGGAAGAAAGGGATCTTGCCTGGTATCTGTACCCGGAATTTTTGGATAAGCCTCTTGCACCACTACCGGAGAAGAAGAGCGTTTATAATGTAAGACCGTTTTCATATTGATAAGAGCAGGAGCAAGGATAGTGTGAGTTACATAGCTATCGTTAACGTCTTTCTATTACCAATTAGCACAACAGCACAATGCACATAAGCTCTGGAAACATCTTAGCGTACATCTTATATGCTATGACAAGGCTAGCCAATTACTTGGTCCCAACCTCATCTACGTGCCCCAAGCTCACGCAATATTGAGACTAAGATGATGCTGCGGACTGCAAAGTATTGTTTCTTCCCGTCCGTCAACCTAATTTTACTTTTCATCTCTTCGTATATGGAATAGATCTTGAACATAGCTCGAAAAGCACACAAGGCTGAGAACGCCTGGGGCTTTGCCAAGTCTGCGTGGCTGGAGCGAAGATACAGAAAGCATGTATCATTGGGTAGGATCAGAGTTCCGACCTCGGATGGATCATCTGTGGCATTTCGGTGCGTCTGTTGGGGGGCCGACCCCTTGTATCATAGACCTTTGCAGCAATGGTCAAAACGCCTAGGATCACCTATAGCTTGCTGAGCTCCTGTGCTACTTGAGCCTTTTTGCATCTTTCATCCCATCTTGAATCACCTTGCCAACCAAAGGCAATATATCATCATGCTGTCTGTCGTATTCCTACATATGTGGCTCACGTGTCTTTTGACAGTCGTCACACGTACCTCCGCGCAAGACGAGGTCGGATGCACAGGCAACATCAGCACCTACAATGATGCTGGCTTGGTGGTTCCATTTCAAAACCTCTGCGGCAAAGACATAGGCGCCGTAGTCGACTTCCTGGATCCGACGGACGAACAGACTTGGTACGATTGCATGGCTCGCTGCGTCAAGAAAGAGCCGCTATGTTACGGATACGACTTCAGACCTTTCGGCGACGTCAACAAAAACTGCTGGCTCATGAACGCTACGTTCGACGCTGACACGGCGGTGTATCCTGGCTACGTGGTTGATGCCGCCATGTTGGGGCCTGACCTCTTGAACGAGCTGTCTGATGACTGTTTAACGTTAGGATTGTGGGGTTGCTTTCTCAAGAATGGTGGAATACAGAACGAGACGACATCTACATCGCCAGCTGCAAGCTCGACGACTTCTGTGACCTCGACGCCTTCCGCTTCCTCTATCACGAACGCGGCTCCTTCCAAATCTAACGGTCTTTCTGCCGGCGCCAAAGGCGGTATAGTGGCTGGTATCTTGGCTGTTACGGTGATGCTAGTAGGCTCGCTCGTCGCCTTTGTTGTTGTCCGGAAACGAAAACAAAGAGTGCGGCATGCCCCTGATGCGAGTGCTGTGGAAGTCTCAGCTCAGAACCAAAGGATAGAATTGCTAGCACATAAGGGTTCATACAGCACTGCAGAGCTTGCGAGCCCAGATTCTGTACACGAACTTGGTGGGTCTGGGCCTGACAAGTTGCCTGTAGCGATGGGGGAGCTTATGGGAAGTTCGCCAGAGCGGCATGAGTTAAGTGGCACTGAGAAGCGCTAGAACATATATGGTTTAGATCAAGAATGCATCCTTTCCAGAACCGTTTCCCTCTGTCGCTTTCCCGTAAAGGACAACATGTGAGACCAGCAATATAAAAACCCTTTGCAAGAGCAACCCTTATGGAGGCTGTGCAGACAAGGCTGCGCATCGTTCTCCACATTGCGTCCAGACATGGCCCCCAAATCTCGCCCTAGCGTAACATGATCGCCGTTTCTTTGCCTTTACACTGGTGCTTACTTGCCTTCATACTATGCCATCCCAACAGCGTTGCACTTGCGGCAAAACGTTCGCAAATTACACGTGGGACTAATGCGACAGTAAGCAACAAAGGTGTGTGTGCTTGTTGAAAGGATCGGTGTTTCGCTCGTTGTTGTTGTTGCTGCTGCAGTGCGTGAGGCGGAGCTTGTAGGATGCACAGTGCGGCTGAGCTGGAAGCCTGATGGGTGAGCCCTGGGGATCGCCTTATTGTATGGTGGCCTCGGGGCTGAACGAGATTTGTAGGTTTCTGCTATTTTCCCTTCTTTTCTACCTTCTCGTGGTTTCAGTCAAGCCTTGGTTGTCGGGCTTGGATTCCTGTGAAGATGGTGCTCCACTCGTTCCTGGATCCAAGAGTTCCTGGATTTGGAATGCAGATGACACCGACATGTCGGGAAGACGATGGATGTTTCGCGTTTCCTACACCTACCTCACAAGGGGAAGTCAATGGTATTTCGTCGACATGGACGCCGCAAGAATCACAGCTAGATCCCCAAGGAGTAGACGAAAACCAAGGTCCATTGTCAACTCCTGTCAATGGCGTCCTCGAGCCTAGCAACACACAATCCGTCGATCCCAACCTTTTTCAACCTGATCTTACTAGCATCGCGACTACGGTAACAGACAACGCGGGATCTACCATGACTATGAAGACAACGATCAATGTTACAGTACCACCGAGTTTGAGTGCCACAGTCAGTACATCAACGTCAATAACGCCAGATCCAGGTCCAGCAACTGTTGGAACCGTGGAAGCCGCGGAGAGTGGCCACAACACCAACAGACTCAGCGCCGGAGAAGTGACCGGTGTCGCTATGGGAACCTTCATCCTCGGCGCAATCCTGGCGTTTATCGCTGCATTCTTCCTGTTTAAGCAAAGAAACAAGCACAAAAGTGCCAACGTCAACAGGAAGGATTATCCAAGCTATGGCGACTCTGCGCCCGATCTAGCTATGATGCAATCCAAGAGTGCCAGCAGTCTAGTAGGGCGACATAGTCCCTACGTACAGGTTTCGCAAATACCCCTGCCAGCGCCGCTGGCTGCTCACCCACCTTCTCCAATCCCTGCCCCTGTTTTCATACCAGCAAGTGCGTCTCGAGATATCACTGCTTTCTTACCACCTGCGGCAGACAACGAAGAGGTGTGGAACGAAGTCTCTCATTTGTTCGCCTTGATGCATGAGCATGTAGAAAAGTATTACCGAGACGTCAATGCCATTATTACCCCGAGTATGGAACCTGAGATTGCCGAGTTTGGAGCCAAGGAGGTGGACATGGCAGAACTTCTGCAAGAATGTACAAGTTCAACAGCGGCGCTGAAGCATGCCCTCGTAACATATGTACTGGGTATAACGGAGCCGAGGCAGAAAGACGACGATGAAGGGACATTGTTTCCCAAAGAGCTTTACACAGCGCATGCTGAGAATCGTATGAATGTTGTCTCTGGTAAGCTCCTTATATGCATCTTTCACTTGAGAAGGATTGCAACTAACACCACAGATAGATCCGGATCTCGTAGCAGCTACCTCGCTGCATCGCCGCATCTCTGTCTATCTCTACAGCAACATCACTGGCATGCCAAATCGTCGCAGATCTTGGACGGCTCAATCGAACGTTCGTGAAGCAGCGGAACACTTCTCTCTTACTTTCTTCCCGTGGGCCAACCCTACGTCCAGCGACCAAGACAAAGATGAAGATCTTGCACGCATCATCACAGACACACTGACGATGAGGATATGGCTCTTCGGGCAGTTGGACACCTATGACTTTGAGTGGGAGGGAGTTGGTGAGAGAGGTATCGTCATCAACCCGAGTTTGTTGAAGCGGAAACGTCAAGAGGGTGACGGCGATGATTCGATATTTCAGCTGGTGGAAGGCGCCGTCGTTGCTATGTAGACCGAATGAGATGTGTTCTCATTTTTGCGATTGAGTCCTCTAAGTAGTCTTATTAGACGCGAAACGCGAATCATCGATCGCAATTGAAATGCCTTACGCTGTCCTGTGGGGCTCCACCCAGCTAACATATCTCCGTCAATCACCATTGGCTACTTCATACTACAGTGTGCCCAGAAACTGCCAATGCGCATGGCATAGACCCATACGGTATGCCGGTCGCTATGACGACGGACGTATGGATGCCAAGTTGTGTATTGGTGGGCTCATTGCGATTGCGGTGTTGATCGCATATCTCACGCTACGGCAAACTACCATGAAGAACCGAAGAACGGTACAAGTATGCGCTCAGGAGCACATCCCAGAGCGCGTCTACGTGATGTCCTAACCGAGGTGTTGCATATTACTCACGAGGACGATGAAAGCTTAGCGCGAATCGCACACGTTCTGCACCCGCACAGCTAACTCGGGTGGTTTTCCAGCATGCCATGTCCAAGGAGTTCCACTATAAAGGACAGCTAGTACAGTGTAAAGCAAGCGTGAACAGATATGGCGACCAGCCCAGCGGTAACAATTGCCGGGGCCTCGGATGGGCCCTCTTCCCCACGCCCGAAAGCTGATGCTTGCAGGCGTCGCGTGGTCAGGCCATCCGCTGGAGAGAAAAGCGTGCGATCAACTCTAACATTTTCCAGATGTGTACAAACTGTAGTCTTGACAGTCCAGTCATACCAGGTGTTTGCGGCTTGTGTGGTGTCATACCAAGCGCTTCGTAGGAGCGTTCGGCATCTTTGGGGCCGAGCTGTACCTAAGTAGCTTGCTGAGAGCTCTTCGATATTGATGACACTGTTGCAAGTCGCGCTATAGACCCAACGCGCTAGTTGGAATTTGATCAATTGCGCCTGCCCGAAGGCTAACGTTCGGTCGCGAAGTTGCGGGCCGGTTGCCTTCCTCAGGGTCGTACACATATGGTGATGGCGAAGACGTGCCCGCACTGATCAACCAACACGTTGCTGCACTCATTTACAAAAAGTGATACAGGGCATTTTGGACATCGCCAATTATCGACAGTCTAACAAATTGACGGCCAGATCGGCACAACAGTACCCTCTGACTGGCGTGCTCTGCTAGTGATCCGGAGAAACGGAGAGCATCACAAGATGCTATCCGTATTGGATCATGGTGCCGCCCACGGAAGGAGTGTGGGCCCAGACAGAGGCCAGCATTGGGATGAGCGTCATATTCCAGTCCCCGCAGCGAAGGCACGCGAGGGGTAGGGCAACATAGCCATCGGCCTGCCAAAGCAGCTGCTCATAAGAGTGCCGTTCGCCCATCTAGCTATTTTGCATTACAAACCCTTCCCTTCCCGCTTCACGCCAACCGCCTCGCCTCGACCCCGGCTCTCTAATACAAACACGAAGCTCCACTTGGACTGACAAGCTGTTCCCCGAATCTTCAGCGAGCAGCTTCAATTTGGCCCCTGCGGCAACCAAGCGTACCGCCGACCCCTTTACCCGGAATTGAGACATATATCTATTCTAGACGTCCGTCGGCCTCTGTCCCGCGTCTTGCCAAACTACGTTTCTACGTTGGCAAAGCTCCTAGACTGTCCTCGTCGCGAAATTCCAGCGCGCCGAAGCCGAGCTCCTTTGCCCCGCCAGACGGCTAGTCCACATCCACAGAAGCAACATGTCCGAAGGAGACGTCAAGCCGCCCAGTGCGCCCGTCGTGGCCGAAGCCCACCAGGTGGACACTTTCCACGTTCCCAAGGCGTTTTACGAGTGAGTTTCTACTGTTTATTTGGTTATTACATCATGTACCAAGACAATGACAGCTGCGGCGTCATCCAAGCTCCAGAGCTCGCGCGAATGGGCGGGGTGACCCCGCGCCGCCGAGCTTTTGGCCGAAGCATCCATCGCGATCGCATCCAGACGAGGCACCCAGCTAACGCGTGCACTACAGCAAGCACCCGCACTCGAAACCGCATCTTGAGAACCTTGAAGAGTACCAGAAGCTGTACAAGGAGTCCATCACCGACCCAAAAGCCTTCTGGGGCCGACTAGCGCGCGAATTGCTCACGTGGGAACGCGACTTCCAAACCGTACAATCGGGTTCATTCGAACATGGCGATGTCGCGTGGTTTTTGGAGGGCAGACTAAATGCCAGCTACAACTGTGTCGACCGCCATGCCTTCAAAGACCCCAACAGGCCTGCCATCATCTACGAGGCCGACGACGCTGGCGATGGCCGCATCATCACATACGGAGAGCTTCTCCGCCAGGTCTCGAAGCTGGCCTACACACTCAAGGAGATGGGCGTAAGAAAGGGCGATACTGTCGCTCTTTACCTGCCTATGATTCCCGAGGCAGTCATCTCCTTCTTAGCTTGCACGCGTATCGGCGCGGTTCACTCAGTCGTCTTTGCAGGTTTCTCGTCTGATTCGCTACGTGACCGCATCATCGATGCCGAGTGCAAGGTCGTCATTACTACCGACGAGGGCAAGCGTGGTGGCAAGACCATCAGCACAAAGAAGATTGTCGACGATGCTCTCAAGCAATGTCCTGGCATCAGTCACTGTCTGGTCTACAAGCGCACTGGCGCTGAGGTGCCCTGGACCAAGGGCCGCGACTGGTGGTGGCACGAGGAGGTGGAGAAATACCCCAACTATATTGCGCCGGAGCCGATGAACTCGGAAGACCCTCTGTTCTTGCTTTACACTTCTGGTTCAACCGGCAAGCCTAAGGGTGTCATGCACACAACCGGAGGCTACCTCCTTGGAGCAGCGGCAACCGGAAAGTACGTCTTCGACATCCACGACAACGATGTCTTCTTCTGCGGCGGTGATGTAGGTTGGATCACAGGTCACACCTACGTCGTATACGCACCTCTGTTGCTCGGTGTGGCTACCGTTGTCTTCGAAGGCACGCCTGCCTACCCCAACTTCTCGCGCTACTGGGACATTGTCGACAAGTACAACGTCAGCCAGTTCTACGTCGCTCCCACTGCGCTGCGGCTGCTCAAGCGTGCTGGCAACGAGCACGTCAAGCACCAGATGAAGAACCTCAGGATTCTTGGATCCGTCGGTGAGCCAATTGCTGCTGAGGTCTGGAAGTGGTACTTTGAGACTGTCGGAAAGGAGGAGGCACATGTTGTAGATGTAAGTCGTGGTCGAATACCCTCGTGGATGTGTTGCTGACTGAGATAGACGTACTGGCAAACCGAGACTGGCTCGCATGTCATCTCGCCTATGGGTGGTATCACACCCACGAAGCCCGGATCCGCGTCCCTGCCATTCTTTGGCATTGAACCCGCGATCATCGACCCGGTATCTGGCGACGAGATTCACGGAAATGATGTTGAGGGTGTACTGGCCTTTAAGCAGCCGTGGCCCAGCATGGCCCGCACAGTCTGGGGAGCACACAAGCGATACATGGACACATACCTGAATGTATACCAGGGCTACTACGTAAGTTTGAGGAAGTTGATGATTGAAATGTATAGGTCTGACATGTGCAGTTCACTGGAGACGGCGCCGGACGTGACCACGAGGGCTACTACTGGATCCGGGGCCGTGTCGACGATGTCGTCAACGTGTCGGGCCACAGGCTGTCTACTGCTGAGATTGAAGCCGCGCTTATTGAGCACCGTACGTTGTTATCTCCCTAAAGTCCGATATGCAAATTGCTGACTGCTGCGTAGACCAAGTGGCTGAGGCTGCAGTGGTGGGGATCAATGACGAACTGACGGGCCAAGCTGTCAACGCTTTTGTAGCGCTGAAAGACGGCACAGAGTCAAGTGACCAGGTAAAGAAGGACTTGGTAATGCAAGTGCGCAAGTCGATTGGACCGTTTGCGGCACCAAAGGCGATTTTTGTGGTTCCAGATCTGCCAAAGACACGGTCCGGCAAGATCATGCGCCGTATCATGCGGAAGATCTTGGCAGGCGAAGAGGACCAGTTGGGGGATATCACGACAGTAAGTGAAATTTGTTTAGATTTTCCGTTGGCGATGAAGATTACGCGTACTCTGTGGGATGGAGTTGGCTGACTGCCCCGACAGCTTTCGGATCCGTCGGTTGTTGATAAGATCATCGACATTGTGCACCAGTCCAAGAAGAAATAAACGGCTCTGCTTGGCTCGGATTGAAGTGGTTGCTATGGTAAGCAAGCAGGCGAAGCTCCTCTAGTCTGGCGGGGGCGGACGGCTTCAGTGGTTCTTGGAGGATGACAAGTGCCGAGCAATGGCGGTTCTATAGTGAGACGCAGTCAGTATGCGCGCTGAGGCACGACCATGCTGTGTTTGTTTGGGCGGCCGCTGTACGCCCATCTATGTTTAGTGCGAATATCCAGACGATAGGTTCTACGTTCACTCGCCATTTTGTGCGTCGGTTTGTGCCTGCGTGGAGCAACGTGTGGACAAACGCGCGAATGACGGCGCAACGGCGTATACAGATACGAGGAGCAAATGCACGGCGGAGACGGTGCAGGGGAGAGATCTGATAGTTTCATTCGTGTCGCGCCCAGACCCCCCTCCTCTTCCGCGAGCCGGGCGCCAAGATGGTGGCTGGCAGGGGCTGTGCAGACGATTACGACTCTCTATTGTCGCTCGCCATCGTTGACACGCCGTATAGCCTTTTGCCTCTGCTAGCGTTTCTTCTGTATACACGTACTTTTGCCTACCCATGTCTCTCGTTGCGTTGTCCTAGTTTTCGCTTTCCACCCCAAATACACCTTCTCCCTGAGCGGAGAGGCACCGCCACCCGAGAATGCGCATCTTCGGCACCTTAAGGGCCGCCATCACCATCGGCCTTGCCACCATAACAGCCGCCTCGTCCCACGCCCGCCCGCCGCTGCGAAGCATCGCGCTTGCCAAGAATGCCGACATCCTCACACAGACACACCGCGTGACTGCCGTATCGACCTTCGACCTTGCCTTTGACGTCTCCGGGCAGCGCATCCGCCTCAGCCTCGAGCCCAACCACGACCTTTTCGTCGATGGCGGCCAAATCACACACCTCAACGCCGACGGCTCGATAGCGCGGCAGGAGCCCATTGAGCGGCTGCAGCACAAGGTTTACAAGGGCACCGCATGGCTGAAGAGGGGGAACCGCTGGGACAATGTCGGCTGGGCCCGGATAGGGATACGCAAGGACGGGCTGGAACCGCTGTTCGAGGGCACCTTCACCGTCAACCACGACCACCACCATGTCAAGACGGCGTCGAGCTACAAGTCGACGCGCCAGGCCGAGGACCCGGACGTTGACCTGCGCGACCGCGAGTACATGGTCGTCTTCCGCGACTCGGACATGGGCAACTTCGACGAGCACACGGAGCTGAGGAAGCGAGGAGACAACATCGGATGTCCCTCCGACGACCTCATCTTCAACACGCAGGAGGACCACCCGGTCTATGCCAGCATGCGCGCCCGCGACGAATCCTCCGCCATGTCGCCATCCCTCATCTCAGCCATGTTCAAGCGCCAGAGCAACAGCGACGACACCCAGTCCGGAGGCAACGGCGCCGGTGTTGACCTTTCCACCACCATTGGCAGCACTGCCGGATGCCCCGGTACCCGCAAGGTCGCGCTGGTGGGTGTCGCCGCTGACTGTACCTATGTCAATTCTTTCAACGGAGACAAGAACCGGACCCAGACAAACATCATAGATGCTATGAACCAGGCTTCCGAATTGTTCGAGAGCACTTTCAACATCTCTCTTGGCCTGGCCAATGTGCTCATCACCGAACCCGAATGCCCAACATCGCAGCAGCAAGCAACTCCCTGGAACCAAGGCTGCAGCGGCCAAATTACCATTCAAGACCGTTTGAATCAGTTTTCCCAATGGAGAGGCCAACAGCAAGATACCTACTCCCACTGGACTCTGCTATCTACCTGCAACACCGGATCCGCCGTGGGACTAGCTTGGCTTGGACAAGCTTGTACAACAGGCTCTCAGGACAACAGCGGCAACTCTGGCGAGACTGTCGCTGGTGCTAACGTTGTCATCAAGACTGGCACTGAGTGGCAGGTCATCGCCCACGAAACAGGCCACACTTACGGCGCAGTGCATGACTGCACGTCCGACACATGTGGAAACAGCGACATTGTCAGCTCACAGCAATGCTGTCCCCTCAGCCAAAGCACCTGCGACGCTAATGGTGGCTTCATTATGAACCCTTCAACTTCCCCCGGTATCTCGCGCTTCTCCGCTTGCTCCATCGGTAATATCTGCTCTGCGCTTGGACGGAACAGTGTCAAATCCCAGTGTCTCACCAACAACCGCGACGTCACGCTTCTCACCGGTCAAAGATGCGGTAACGGTATCGTTGAAGGCGATGAACAGTGCGATTGCGGCGGCACCTCAGGCTGCGAGGGCAACAATTGCTGCAATCCCGAGACTTGCCGATTCATCAACAACGCTGTCTGCGATGATTCTAACGAAGACTGCTGCCGCGACTGCCAGTTCGCTTCTGCCAACACTGTCTGTCGCAATTCTGTCGGAGAGTGCGATCCCGAGGAAACCTGTACCGGCAATTCACCATACTGCCCCGAGGATAAGACCAAGAATGATGGCTCAAGCTGCGGCAATGGCCTTAGCTGTGCCTCCGGACAGTGCACGAGTAGAGATATGCAGTGCAAGACTATCATGGGTAGTTACACGCAGAGCAACGACACATACGCTTGCGATAACAGCAATTGCATGCTCAGCTGCGCAAGCCCAGAATTTGGAGCAAGATGTTATGGACTCCAGCAGAACTTCTTAGATGGCACAAGCTGTACCGGTGGGGGTAAATGTAGCAACGTGAGTTTCACCGAGATTCCTCTCTGCCTCGTCTAATATACTAATATTCTATAGGGTGTCTGCGAAGGCGGCTCCGTCGGTCGAGAGATCACATCCTGGATCGATCGCCATCTTTCCATCGTCATCGGCGTCGCCGCGGGAGTCGGTGGCGCCCTCTTGCTCTGCATCTTCTGCTGCTGCTGGCGTTCCTACCGCCGTCGCTCAAAACTTAAGAAATACGCTGCTGCTCATCCGCCGGTGCCTTACCAGGGCAGCAGCAGGCGCAATCGAGGCGGGCCCACGGGTCCTCCGCCTATGGGCCAATATAACAATGGCTTTGCTCCTCCCCCGGGCCCACCACCACCTCAAGGATCGTCTGGGCCGTGGGCGCCGAATCCGCATGCGCCAAACGGGAACGTCCCAATGCCGCCACCAGTACATAGAAGTAGTGTGCGGTATGCATAGAAGCTTTTTTCTTTCTTAGAACTTGTTTATGAAAAACAATACCACAGTCGTTTACACCCCAGTTGAAAGTTCAAAACTGGGGGTTGAGAGTGCTTTTGCTCAGACTTGCATCGTTATCGGCGTTCTTTATCTCTTTTGTGCGATTCTTCTTCGTGGGCATGAAGCCTATCGTTGCATTTGGGGAATCTTGTTGTATAGCATCGAAGAAGAGTGAGATGTAGGAGCAAGTGTCGATATAGACGCGGTGAAATATATCCCTTGTTGTGTATATGTTCGATTCTCGCATTCCACGCCAGTCGGTGGCATGGTTGTACCGAAACTTTCTTGTCCTTCCCTACTTTGACAGTCATGATTTGTACATCGAGCGTCGTACATCGAAAAAGAGGGGGCATGTCCATTTTATCCAGCCTAGGGATATTTAGTGTTGTACGAGGGTTATGCGTCAGTGATCGTACATGGCCAAGCTTGGTGACAGTGTCGGCCGATATTGCTACAAGACTCCGCACAACCACAGCCTCGTGTTTACGGATATCACGGACACATCAGAAGATGCCTGGACAATCGAGCCGAACAAGCATCGGAGGTCGGGGGAATCATGAGGGAGCATGCTAGGTATCGTACAAGGCACCGGCTGCTGGGGGCCGACATCAGGTAGTCATCAACCAATTTCTCTGTATACTAACGCTCACTCAAACTTCAGAACAGTATAAAGTTCTTGTTAATGTTGACACCGATCCTCCATCATTTGTCGAGCACTAGGTATCTTCTGTCCCTTTCTTTATCACAATACGATGTTGTTGAATTTTGGCCTTCCAAATGCCTGGCTTGTTGTGGCACTGCCGATCATCATTCTCTTAGGTTGGATCATTTACACAGTTACATTACATCCTCTGAGTAGGGTCCCGGGACCCTTTCTGGCCAGGATCTCGCGCCTCTGGTATCTGCGCAAGATTTGGACGGAAGACGTTGAGAAGTGTGAGAGGGCTCTGCATGCTAAACACGGGCCCTTGATACGTATTGCACCGAATGAGGTGTCGTGTTCTGAGTGAGTAGTAACATGCCCTCATCCAGTTCTTCTATCAGAACGCGAAATTAATGCGCATGCAGTCCCGAAGCCTTCGCAAGCATTTACCGTTTTTCCAACGCGTTGGACAAGTCGGGTTTCTACGAGCCGTACAACACGACCGGATTCAGCGTTCATGGTGACATATTCTCCTGCAAGGATGACAAAAAACACGGGCGGAGACGTAGAATCGTCAGCAGTATCTACTCGATGACGAATGTTGCAAAGTCTGAAGAATATGTCGACTCGTGTAGCAATCTCCTCGTGGATCGGCTAGGACAGTTTGCTAAGTCAGGAAAACCTTGTGATCTCGGTGAATGGTTGCATTGGTAATTTATTCCTACTGTTCGCTCGGTTAGAGTATCTTGACTAAGACTGGAACAGGTATACTTTTGACATTATTGGCGAATTGTTCTATGGCAGAGCCTTCGGCTTTCTAGATGAAGGAAAGGACCAGAACGATTGGATCAAGTCGCTAGACAAGATGATACCATTCGTGTGCTTGATGGGCGTTGCACCTCCAATCTTAAGGCCGCTGATTGGTATGGGTACCATGCTTACAGCTGCTGGCCAGGATATCAGGAATGGCGTGTAAGATGTACTGTACTTTTTCTTCCACTTCTGCACACTGACACATCTTCACCAGAAAAAACATAGGCTCCTCTTCCGCACGCTTGATGAAAGAAGCTTACGCAACCCGTCATGAAGTGAATAGAACGGACATGGCCCAACAGGTTTTCGACATCTATGAAAAGAATGGCGAAAAGATGGACTTCACGTGGGGCGACGTCGAACAGGAATCTTACGGCGCACTCTTTGCAGGCAGCGATACAACTGCTATCGCATTCCGATCGCTCTTCTATCATTTGATGCATAGCCCAAACGTCTATGCTCGTCTCGAGAAAGAGATTGACGAGGCTTTCCAAGAAGGTCGTATGGATCTGCCGCCGACCTATAAGCAGGCAAGCCAGCTTCCTTATCTGTGTGCATGTATCAAGGAGGCGCTCAGGATTCATCCCGGAGCACAGCTCTCCCTACCACGAACCGTTCCACGCGGGGGCATGGAGCTCTGCGGACAATTCATACCCGGAGGCTATACTGTTGGAATCAACGCAGCAGTCATGCATTTTGATCGGCGAGTCTTCGGTCAAGATGCTGATATCTTCAATCCTGACCGCTGGATGGATCCAGTGCGCGCGAACCAGATGGACAAGTACATGATGTCATTCGGAGGTGGAACGAGAACCTGTATAGGGAAGAATATCGCACTGATCGAATTGCATAAGTTGTCGCCGCAATTGGTATGGAACTATCACTTCGAGTTCTACGATGCGGGACAGACGCAATGGCATACAAGAAACACCTTCTTTGCCAGACAGGAGGGTATGATTGTACGGGTAAAAGTTCGCAAGCATGATTAAAGTCCCATAGTTCATCCTTGCATTCTTCGTCCGTATTTCAACAAACGTAGCACTAGACTCATTATCACAAGTATTATTTGAGTTGATTAAAGCAAGCAATGCGATTCTTCGATGGCTGATTGCAAGCATAGTGCTAGGAAAGGTAGCGCGATTTGTTCTCGTGGCTTACCATCATGCCAATGACCACGACTGCAGTCTTTTATTACATGACGCAGCAATGCCGAATCCGAGGTTGACCCAACGATGTGCCCCACAGCAACTGCCGTGGACCCTGATCAGCGATGAAGTCATCGCAATAACATTTTGGAAATCACGACGCGTCTCTGACAAAGCAGCAACAAACCTCTCGATCAAAACTGAAGTCTGATTCAGAGACTCACATATACAGTAATCATGGTGTTGGCTCTTACCAGCGCAACAGGCAAGCTGGGCGGTGCCGTGCTGAACGCCATCCTGGACAACAAGCTCATTGATCCCAAGGAGCTTGTGGTATGCGTACGTTTTCTCTTTACCATCTTATCGTGCTCAATGCGAGTTTGATGTAGCTAACAAACACTACAGACGTCTAGTGACCCCAACTCGGACCGCTTCACCTCCCTGCGCAGCCAATCCATCACCCTCCGCCAGGCCGACTTCGATAAGCCAGAATCCTTGACGCGCGCCTACGATGGCTGCACATCTCTCTTCCTCGTTTCTACTCCACGCATAGCTATGGACTACAACAATGCGCCGCTTTGGAAAGGACGAGAGGCGCACCACCGTGCTGCCATTGACGCTGCTATCCAAGTCGGCATACAGCATATATACTATACATCCCTTGGTTTTGCTAACCCCTCGAAAGCGAGTGTCATGCGCGCGCACATCCGGACAGAGGAGTATCTACACGGGTTGGAGAAAGAGGGAAAGTGCAAGGTCACTATCATCAGAGAGGGGCTCTATAATGAGAGTTGGCCGTTGTATTTTGGGTATTATTTTGGGCTGAAAGAAGAAACAAGGAAAGAGGTGGTTATTGCGGGTGATGGAAAAATTAGCTGGACCAGCATTCCTGATATGGGATTCGGTACCGCGAAGATACTCGCAGCGCCGAGTGAGCAGTGGGCGGGCAAGACATTTTATCTCTCCCAGAAGAAGAGCTGGTCGCTGAAGGATATCTCAGATATTGTTAGCAGGGTGAGAGGTGACGAGATCAAGCTCAAGATCGTGGACAGGAAAGAGTATGAGGACTTTTATGTTAACAGTAAAGGTATGGAAAGACCCAGTGTGGAGTGGTGGTCAAGCTCATATGATGCGTTGAAAGACGGAGAATGTGAGATTGACGATCCAACATTGGAGAACCTGCTCAAGGAGGCTGGGAGGACACCTAAGCCGTTGGAAGAGACGATCGAGGAGATGCTGCGATAGAAGGAAGAGTTGGCTCACATATCTGGCTCCATATACAGACTAGTAGCAATCGAACTCTTCTACGACTGTTGTCTGACTACGCTGATAAACATCATATGCTCACATTGCGCCTTCCCTTGCTCGATAACCACCCTTCATATTTGACCCATTGCAGTGTCTCCAAGTCACCGATACAAAGACACTCTCGTGAATTACTTTGTCTTAGTCCAGACATCTTCTGCAACCGCTTTGATTTTCTGCTCAAGACGTTCCCGTGTAGTATGCTCCTTCCATGAAGGTCAACTCGCTTGTCGTTCGTGTTGATATTTTGAGAGTAACAGATCGACTATTCGGTGATCGCGGTATCGCAGGAAGCAATTGGTATTGACTTTGGTATCATATGAGGAATACCCCAATTCTGCTGAAGTGTTGCAGTACCCAATCGAAACGTTGTTGTGACTATGGGCATACGCTATACGCCCGAAAGTAGACATGATAATAGTATAGCGTATAAAAACTCGCGGTCGTGGGTTGGATGCGAAAACGAGAGTGGCCAAGTCGTGTTTTGGTGTCGCAGAAGAAATCAGGGGATTTGTTGGATTTGTTGATGGTGTATGCTATAGGGCTCATAGTTCTTTGTTTGTATTGAAGTTACAGTCGCGTTGTTCGATCTTCTGGTGATCCGGAAAGCCAGAAATTGGAATGGTAGTTGATAGAGAGAACAAGATGCCGAGAGTTGCTTTAAAAGAATTCTCCCAAGTGTAAATTCTGCGTAGAAGACGTAAGACTCGAACCATGGGTAGTATAACCATTCAATTGGTTGAGCCCACTAGAGACTATGGTGGTCCAGTCATAGTAGAAGCTTACAAAAAGCACATGTCCATAACGTAATCGCAGCTAGTACTGTGGTATATACTCATCACTCATATCTAATGTCTACTCGTACAAATATACATGCACCGTCGCTTCTCTTCCTCGGTTCCGTGTTCTTGCTAGTGGTTCCTATATTCTCACTCGCGCGGCGCTCTCGTTTCTTTCAGCAACCATACCAAAGCCAAAATCCTTTCTCCGCTTGTTACCCTTGCGATCACCGTACTGCTCGTCAAACTTCTTGATTGCGCTCAGACTGCTCATGTCTTCGCTAATACTAGCACTGATCTCCTGGAGCGCCTTGTCAAAGTGTCGTGGATGGAGGGTACGCTTTTCGGGGAAAGTGTAGTTTTGACCGCGCACGAGATGTGGCACTTTCGGCGGCGAGGAAGACTGTTGGGGCGATGTAGAGGTTGTGGAGGTCGTGGGTGGTTCTGATGTAGGCTCAGGCTGTGCGGTAGACTTGGCTGCGGCAATAGCAGCATGTTCGTTCTCTTCTTTGACACAAGCGAGAGCTGCAGATACAGCAATGTTTTTAAGATCACTTCCACTGTAGAAAGGCGTACGTTTGGCGAGGTCTGCTAGATCAACAGAGTCGTCTAGCTGTTCACCCTTGAGATGTATGCGCAAGATCTCCTTCCGGTCGGCCTGAGTGGGTAGATCGACTAATAATCGTCTTGGTAATCGGCGAATAACAGCATCATCCAGGTCGAAAGGTCGGTTTGTAGCTACCATGACGAAGACGGAAAGGTCATTGAGGCCGTCCCATTCCTTCAAAAATTGGTTGAGTATGTCGCGATGTGACGTTCGTTCCCGCATGGCGTCTCGGGATGCAAAAACGGCATCTGCTTCGTCGAGAAATACGATGCATGGTGACAGTTTCCGTGCTAACGAGAAAATTGCTGCTACGTTCTTCTCGCCTTCGCCCACATACTTATCCATAATTTGGCTTCCAGAAACTTCGAGCACGGTACTGCCGCTCTCCTTCGCGACAGCCTTGGCAAGAAGCGTTTTTCCTGTGCCTGGAGGCCCATACAGTAGTGCACCAGATATCTTCTCCGTCGCCAGGATACCATAGCTGAAGGCTTCGGGACGTAATAGTGATAAAGAGGTGATGGTTCGTATCGAATCGACTGTTTCCGTAGGAACGTGAACTTGATCGAATGTCGTTTTGATCTGATCCGGGTCCGCAATACCGGGCATTAACCGCTTTTCATGTTTGTTGGCTGTAGAAGCTATGCGCTGTAGATTCTGTTGACGTTTTATGCTTTTCTCATCGGGGCGTTTTCTGCTTAGGTCTGCTTGAAACTCTCCATCTAGATTGCTGAAAGCATTCTTGGAGCGCTTCGGGGCCTGTAAAGTTTTATCAAAATAGGCGTATTTGACGGTATCGCTCGCTTTTAGCAAGCCCATTGCAAGAGCAACGTGTGCCCAGCTGAGCTGCGCTGGTGCATCTGCAGAGACTTCAGCCACACTTGCTGGGCTTGTGATGAGCAGGCCAAGAGTTGTCAACGCTACCCTGTGTACCTCATCGTATGTCAGCACGTGGTTGAAGTGTGACTCGGAGAATATGGGAGCCCATTCACTGAAGCGTGATGGACTTTGCTCAAGGTCCGATATCGTGGCAGCCGCAGATGGATCTAATGAGCGAAGCATGTCTTGGATGTGGTACAGGTTGATGCGTCGGAGTTTACTCTTCTCTGCTGGTGAGACATCAGCAGAAGACGCAGAGCTACCCCCTAATGATGCAATGGCTTCATCAAAGTTTGGTGTGTTGCTAGCGCCAGACTCAGATGCAATTACAATGGTCCTGAAGAACGTGCTCTCGCCTTCAGTCTGGAGAGCGCGAACCCCACTGAGGCTTGTTAGCTCGGCCATATCAAAGGTTTAAGAACTCCTTACCTGTGTGATAGTTCATACGTGAGATCGCGTGAACATGTGCTTCCTACAATCATGATACTTTCTCCAGCATTACGCCGCTTGCGGACAAGCTCCTCCAGCTTCTGGATGATGCGGCCGCCATAGTGCGTAGCGTTGAGTTGTTTAAAGTCCTTGATATAGATAATCTTAGAAGTGGCAGGGACATTGAGAGTGTTCGACGCTGAGCCAATCTTGACAGCCATGTTGATATCCGACCTTGCTGCAGCTGGTAAGGTAGAGTTGAGTTCAAGCTCAGCACCTTCTTGGGTTAGGGAGTAGTCAAAAAATGCTGGGGTCTTGGCAGGTATTTGTGATTCATCAGAGGAGTGAAGTGGAAAGCCGCCATCACCGACGATACCACGACTTTGCTTCACGTCGCTCGAATCGATCAGCGCATCCAAGAGAGTAGCTAATTTCAAATCCTCGAGTTGTACGTCTGTAGGATTCTGGCTACGCCCAGATTCGTCGGTCAACGTATCAGTAGTTGTCCCGAATTGACCTTCTGGAATTCGAAAACCCTTCAAGTTCTGGGTCATAGCGCGCAGGGCAGGTGTGAGAGCGATGATGGAAAGGGGCATAGCACGAGGGCGCATTGAAGTCGGATCAGACTGATCTGTAGACGAAGACTGCGTCCAATCGGCCTCGTCTTCGGGGAAAGAGTCCTCTATGTCCCTCACGAGATTGCTCAGCTCCGAGTTCATTCGGTATGTTTCGTAGCCCAGCGAGCGAACTGAACGTGATGATGGTTCAGCTCCTTCACCAAGGTAATCGCCAGCTAAGTGAGCGAGATCTTGAGCACTCAGGACGATGACGTCGGATCCCATTTCAAAAGCAGTAGATGTTACGCACTCATCTATCGAGGCCTCGTGCTCGGCTGTAGGCGAATGGAGTATGAGGTTCGTCTTTGCAGCAGGGAACGAGTCGCTAGCTGCTGGCTGCAACGAGCAAAGAGAAGCAGCGATAGTGGCGCGAATCTCAGCGATGACCAAGGACGATAGGCGTCTGGAGCTACCCATCTGCCGGGTCCTGGCGATCTCCCGTTTCCTAGCAGCCATGCCTAGCTTGGCACTCTGTTTCCTCATTGCTTCAATCTTCTTGCGCGGATCCATCTCGGTATCGTTGTTTAGCTTGCTTAGCTTAGACCAAGCTTCTGTGAAAGCACTGTCTTCTGTGATTGTGGCTATGGGCACCTCACCAGGTCGTCCTGCTTCGGTGCTGGCGACTGCCTCATCGTTCCGTAATTGCGACAGGTGGGTTTCGGTGTGGTCAGCTGGGGCAATCCTTTCTTCAAGATACTTGTCGACCTTGAGCTTTTCATGGTCGTCCAGACGCCTGCTCCACAGGCCACGCACTAGTCGCGAGAGGATCTGGGCAGCGTCTGAGTCGCGTCGAGCGGGGATGGTGCACGCGGCGTGCTCTCCGGACTCGGCATGAGTGACTGCCACAGACAGAACCGTGGGCGGTTTGGGTATCTGTGGATCTCTGGACAGGTCTTCGCGACGTATTACCCTCTTCTTCAGGAACCAGTCTGGTATGTGTACAGGCGGCAGGCCTTGCGTCTTCTTCCCCCGCTGTTGGCGCCGCAAGGCAGCCGAGTACCTGCGTGAGGATTCGCGTGAGCGCTGGAGTTTCTGGGCGAGAAGCTCGGGGTCGTCTGGCGCTACTGCGCTGTCTGCTGGTTCCTCGCCTGCTGCCGCCTGGTCTCGGTCCGTCTTGTTGACGTCATCTTGGTCGGCGGGCGTGCTATTGGGAGCGGGCGGCGGATCCGAGGCTTGTGCGAGGGTGCGGGTGGTATGGAATGCTCGTGGTCGTGGTCGTGGTGTGGATGGGTAGCGGCGACCGCGGATAAAGCGCGCTGGAGGTCGTTTCGTAGACACTCGCAGTGCGCATCGAATCGCGTACATACGGACGTCGAAAGCACTCCCAGGAATTGGGGAGGGAGGGAGCCTACAGGGGTCGTTGTAGGCTGTGGTGGGCTTGGGACGATGCGCTGGGCATGTTGGCGATAAACTATCGTCAACTTTCTTCCATATTCCCTAAACAAGGGTCCACGGCCAAGCACACGCCGGCTATTCCCGCCCTGCGAGTCTATCTCTACCACAACACATTGCAATAGACGAGCCTGGCAACTGCCATTCTAGTCTCGTCGTACAGACATCGATACTACGTTAAGCTTCCCTGGGTGTAGCTACACTGTATACCACATTCACGCATAGATTAGCAGCCAATGACGTAGCCGATGCAACTCACATGTGCACGGAGAGCAACATCTAGGAAGAGGCAATGAGCCTCAAGTTCGGCACCAAGCAGCGCTGTGACGTCTCATTGGCGCGTCACTCAGCACTCTGTAGAATTTGGTTGCTACGATGGAATATGTGGGTCAGTACTGCAGGCTATCCGATGCAGTGTATATGGTCTCCTCACGCACCCTGGGATGATCTGAACTAGGACTTGACTCCGTCTCAGCTCGCCAACCGAATGTCCCAAGGCTTGAAGTTGTCCACACAGGTTGTAGCTGGTAGATTTTGGAAAGGTCGAGTTTGCCATAGGTGGACAGACAGTACCATGGATCGATAGTGGACGGAGAATTCAACATTGAACAGAACCGTAATTTACACATTGCTGCCTATGGGACATCGACAATGAACAAAAACAACGGAAAGAAAAGCTCAACGTACAACTCATAATCGGTGACATGATACGCATCCTCGTCTCTCCCTCCACCATTCAGAATCCTATTACTGCAATAGAAGATGAGCGTCCACAACTCCGAACAAGCCAGTAAGCTTTACCAAACCCACTGCTTTCATGAACATGGACTGAAATCGATGATAGTTGGCCAAGTCCAGTCCTCGGTCGACGAGAAGTCGCACACCAGAATGTCAATTTCATCCACCGAAATCAAGTCCGAGAATAACGGTGATCTTGTAACCCGGACACAGCAATGCAGGATACTTGCTTCAACATGCCTCATGGCTTTTACGATAATAGGCCTCAACCAGTCTTTCGGTGTTTTCCAGGCACACTACGGACGGCAAGCATCTGCCCTAGAGGGTGTCCTTCTTCAAGGCGATCTGTCAAAACGCCCGTTGATCTCTGCCGTAGGCTCATTAGGAAATGGTGGGCTCGTCGCCGCCTTTGCCCTGTTTTACTATCCACACCTACCTAGGTTGGGAGGTCACGTCAAATATTTGTGTGGACTAGGCACTGCCTTCATCACGATTGGCTTCGCGGCTGCTGCAGGAAGCCATAATGTAAGTAAAGTTCTCCAAGTCCCAGCGCCACAACTGCTTACAATGATACAGCTGGCAACGCTTGTCGCCTGCCAAGGATTCCTGGTTGGCATCGGAGCTGGCATCCTTAATTACGTTCTTGCGCCTATTTTACCCGAGTATTTCCTACAACGGAGCGGACTTGCACAGGGTGCCATGTTCGCTTGTGGCGGCCTAGGGGGTATGGTATGGGTGTTTGTACTAACGGCATTACTCGAAGGCATTGGAATCCGGTGGACGTTGGGGCTCCTCTCTATATTGAGCTTTGCAATCCTGTCCATCTCAAGTGCGCTCGCCCTTCCGCCGCGAAAATTCGAAAGGCGGTCTACGGAGATTGTCAGTTGGAAGGTCTTCCGAGATCCTCTTTTTGCTTCTCTCGCAATCGTGAACTTGACCATGGCGTTGACGCTGGCCATCCCTACGGCATTCGGATCTGAGTTTGCCCAGTCTATAGGGGCCAGCATCACCCACGGATCATATCTCTTGGCCATCAACTCGGGGATTGGAATTCCGGGAAGAATATGTACCGGCTGGCTCTCAGACAAGATTGGTCATTTGAATATGCTCATAGTTGCAACCGCCGTATACGCCATTGCAACCTGGGCGCTGTTCTTGTCATCCGCAATAACCAGCGATCTGGGACCATACGTTGGTATGACTGTTTGCTATGGACTGAGCAGCGGCGTCTTCAACACCGTCATGAACTCTGCGCAGAAGATGCTGTTTGGGGCCGAAATGTACTATCCCAAAAGCGGCGCGACCATTACCGTACGCGGGATCGGCTTCGTTATTGGCACACCTATTGCCGGTGGATTTGTGTCCAGGATCGCTGGTGAAGACTTGGTGGGGAGAGACTTTTTAAAACTTATCGTTTATACCGGCGCGTTGTTGACGCTTTCGCTGTTATGCCTTCTGAATGTCCGAAGGTTGGATGCGCAGGGGAATGGGTGGAAGCTAGTCCGCTGATCTGAGAGTTGGAGTACTGGGTGCGACTTGGGGGACAAATCGCTACCTACGTCTGCGTTGAAAAGTCTGTTCCAGTTGCCTGATAAGGTCAGCTCGTGCTTGTTCGTACTGTCTTGCTCTTGCCATGATGGAGTAGATTAGAATCTGATGTTCGAAAAGACAGGTACATGTGCTTTCCCCACTTTATCTCCCTTCAACTCCCACGTCCCACGTCCCACTCCACTCCGCCGCGGGCATGTGGACACCAGGGACCCGGATATCCACAACTTCTTCTGTTGCTACGCAGCATTGATTCGGACCAGGAATATGGATACGTGTGCTCTGCCACGTCGCAACACTCGGTGCAGATACTGATCCGGCGCGTTTACATGCTAGCCAGGAGATGTATGTGTGGATCGCACCACAGGCGGACACTTGCATCGAGGCGGGTGCCCTGCATGTCGGCATCTCTTGCGATGTCGTCAAAATGTAGAAGTGGTAACGGCGACAGGAGAGCCTTGGGGAAATTGGTGTGGCTGGTGCTGAGTGACGAGAATGTGACGGATGCATGGCGATAGGGTTTAGCGAGTTAGCGAGCTCTTTTACTCCGCCTGTTCCTGGCGCTGTAGATCGTCGCTTCCTTGCGTGTCGTGACCGCCCAAACAAATGCCCCGTTGAGCCAATTCACCCTCAGATGCGCGTCGCCTGTCTGATGCACGACCGCTCAAGCTGCAGGCCCTTTGCTCCTTCACCCTCACCACTCAGGGACACGTAGTCCCCCGCTCAATCGCTCTCTCACGTTCTTTTTGGATAGCTGCCGGGCCACTCCCCCGTAGTCGCAGTAGTTGCGTGCCAAAGATTCCCTCACCAACCACGCGATATTCCTTTCACCCCGTCCCATCGTGCAGGCGCGCCTAGTGCCATGACGTCTTTCTGAGATGTCTGCTAGCCATCGCAAACCTCCTCTACCACTGACCTGGAGGCCGCGATGTCGCTTACGCCCTCCAATCCCCGGATGATGAGCCCAGCCATCGGCTCCGGCATCAAGCTCAATCCCTCTCCATCCCCATTCTTCAAGACCACCCCGCGCTCGCCCGTCAAGGCTGGACGTGCCGAAGCCAGTCTTGCATTGCGCCAAGTCATTGGGACCACGACAAACTCGGCCAATGCCTTCGACAGCCTGCCGTCGGGGAGCAGCTTTGGTTACACGGCGGGTGCTGCCGCTGTCATTGCGTGCATAGACGCCCAAGGGCAGGTCACCCAGCGTTTCTACCGCGCACGACCTACTACGAATCCCATCAATCCCTCGGCATCCATATACGGCGGGCCCTCGACGCCCACTCAGAACGAGAGCCGCAACCGCACTGCCGTCTCCCTGCGCGACGCTGGCTTCGGAGGCTCCCCTCTCCCGTCCCCTAGTGCCCACGACTGGGCAGATTCTCCGAGCAACAGAGCCTGGGGTACCAAAGACAAGATCAAGGCCGCAACCTGTGTCAGCTTCAGCCCTGATGGCAAATTCTTTGCTGTCGGAGAGGTGAGACACACATTCAGTTCACGCTGTATGATTCTAACACAATCTAGACGGGTTACAAACCGCGCGTACTCATCTTCTCTGCCTCGTCAGATGCCGCCTCAGACACCCCACTCACCTCCCTCTCGGACCACACTTTCGGCGTCAACTGCGTAGCCTTCAGTCCCGATTCTCGCTTCCTTGCTAGCTTGGGCTCCGCCAACGATGGCTTTTTGTACATATGGCACATCAACTCCCGCACCGGAGCTGCTACGCTACATGCTAGCAACAAATGCGTCAGCCATATCAACCGAATGGCGTGGATGGGAAACAAGCTGGTGACTGTCGGTGTCCGACATGTCAAAGTCTGGAAGGTAGACGACCTCAATGCGACAATGCGCATCTCCAAGGCGCGTCAAAGCGATGTCTCGTTTCTCTCCGGCTCCACACACAAAACGCTACCAGGAAGGAATTGCATTCTAGAGAGCTTGAAAGAGTCGACATTCACAAGTGTGGTCGCCATAGCCCGAAACAAGGCCGTCGTAGCTTCTGACAAAGGGGATATATGTCTTATTGACGATACCGAATCCAATCATCGCTTCTCGAGATTGGTTGACGCCGGCTTTGCTGTAAGCTCTTTAGCTGTCGACGTTAAAGGGCGACTCCACGTTGCTGGTAGTCAAGGAGCACTCAAGACTTTCAACATAGAGGAGATGATTGGAAGGCTAACTCCTCCGCCCTCACCTCCACCGCGCGTTGAATCTCCCTCCACCTCGGTTACGGAATGCAATCAAATCGGCGTGATAGCCTGTCTGAAAGACTATCTCATCACTGTCGACACTCATCGAGCCATCCGATTATCACAACTGTGTTCCGACGATGATGAAGGCGCTGTGGGTAATGTCGTTCACACCTTACCTGCACATGGAAACGCTGTACTAGGAGTACATGCTGATCTCGCGCAACCGAACGTGTTCGAGGCTTCGTACTACACATGGGCTGCTGACGGTACGGTTATCTTCTGGAGTCAAGGGATGTTCAAGGGCTTGCTTCAAGTACAGCTTGAGCAGCTGGACGAACCTAATGCCGTCCCTAACGAGCTAAGGACAGTCCGTGCCTCCACTGATGGAGCTTTCCTCGTTGCTGGTGACAAATATGGTGTTCTACGTTTCATCGATTGCAACACTAAAACCTGCACGTTAGAGTTCAAGGCACATGCCAGCGAAATCACCAGCATTGCCATACATGAGGAGTCGGATATGACCCTCGTCGCGTGTGCCAGCCGAGATCGTACCGTTCAAGTGTTCACACGTTTAGAAGAAACCTGGGATCTACTGCAAACTCTGGACGAGCACGTAGGAGCAGTGAATGGAGTGTCTTTCTCTCGAAATGGCACGCGTCTAGTGTCGTCCTCAAGCGATCGAAGTCTGGTGGTCCGCGAACTTTTGTCTATCGAAGACGATCGTGGTACAACCCGAGCTTTTGTGATGTCACGAGCTATCATGTTAAAAGCGACGCCGGTGTCATCGGCCTGGGACATCGATCAGGACGATGCTCTTCTAGTCTCGACTATCGATCGCCAGGTACACAAATTTGACATTCGAACAGGTCAATTACTCAGCAACTTCCGTGCATGCGACACTGATGGTGGAGATGCAGTCGTTCTGTCTTCCTTGGTCCATATACCACGCAATTGGGGTGCCCCTCTAATTGCGGGTGTGTCAAGCACTGATAAATCGATACGCGTCTACGATGAAAGCGGCTCCCTGGTCGCTCGCGATTGGGGCCATACGGAGGGCGTTTCCGATATCGCGCTCGTAGAGACACCTGAGCACGTAAGTGAAGAAACGAGCGAGAAGTCGCTAGTCACAGTTGCTGTGGATGGAACCATATTTGCATGGGCTCTGGCTTTGCAGCCTAATCGTCACGACGTATCGAAGTCTATGGATTTGCTCGCCCCAAACACGCCTTCCAACCAGGATTTACTGTCTAGCAAGCCACCATTACGACGCGTCCTCTCGCAATCTGAAATGGCCCGTTTCCAACGCTCACCTGTAGAAGAAACACCACCGCCCAGCGGTAACAAATCACCAAAGTTGCGGAAAAAGGTATCCAAATTCTCCTTGGCCCCAACGCCGAAACTCGAACCATCTCCTATGACCAGTAGTTCACGCGAAGGCCGGATAACAGCATGGCAAGGACAAGGCACAGGGCGCAAAAACAAGAACCGCTCTCCATCGCCACCTAGTCCCAGAAACCCGCAGCTTGGTAAACGTCGTGCATCAATAGATGCTAGAAACCGCACGAAGGCCCCTGTGAACGAATTTGGCAGCTTAGGAGCGTCGACAGAGAGCCTATGTAGAACGCTTCGAGCCTACAGGAAACGTCTAGCAAATACCAGCGATACTATGAGCCCGGAACTCGCAAAAGAGGTCGAGAGGGAGCTTGCCGTTACTGCCAGGGCGATTGGAGACAAGGTGAAAACCAAGGCCTTTGAGGAGACGGTCATGGTCAAGCTGCTGGATCAGTATTCAGAACGATTGGTAAACATGCTCGATGAGAAAATCGCAGCTAGCGTTGCACAACGGGTACGCGAGAGCAGCGTTGGTAACTTCTCGGATGGGGCAGATTCACCTGTTGTTGCCCAACACCCATCAAGGAGTAGAGCGGGCAGTGAAGACATAGGGAATCGTCGTACAGATGATTCTGAATCAGGTACCGAGATCCTGGTCTTAGAGACCACTGAGAAGTTGACGATGGAATGAAGGTGTTAGGGTAGGAAGGTGGGCATGGGGGCGCAACTCGGTACGACTTGGGTATCCCGGATCAATTTCTACAGATGATGTGGCTAAACTGGCGTTCAATGCATTGCATATTCAGAGCAAACGGCGTTTATGATAAGAAAGCTCGTGGCTGAGCATGACATGGCGCATGACGGAGGGTGGCCAGTTGGCCACCTAACAATATTACGTTAGTACTGTAGCATAAGACGTAATCGTAGTCCTTAGTATCACTTTTTGCTCACTTGCTCGTGTAATCTGGTGCGACTATACACCTCGGTATTGCGCCTTTGTTGCGTATCGTGATGTGATCGTGATCTTCGCCAACTCCTTACAGAAACGCAGAACCTGGGTATGATGGAAAGGTTAGCGTGGCACAACTCGGCGGACCTGGCTTATCTGGTCTACATTCTCTACCTGTTCCCCTTTTTGTCGGGAGTGCGCCATCTGAAGAATGATTTCTCCGGCGTGTACAAACGGATAGATCAAGAACGTGCAGCGTATCATAGCCCGTGATGTGACATCATACCCGACGAAGCATGAGGCAACAGGTGGTGAGTGGCGAACACTACAGTGTAGCCGGATGAGGACGCTTGGTACACTCATAACATATGAAGCATCTAATTATTCTTCCATGAAACGGTTTTTAAGTCACATCGACAGTTTAACGCGCATCATGTCACCTCCTGGTACTTCTCTATCCGCCACTTCGCGCCCATCGACCCCCTCGAGACCAGCGCGTCTAAACGACTACTTAGTCATATCGCATTCAGCCTGCACACAAAAGGCATGTGTCGTCAAACCGATGTCAATACAAGTCGAAGACGGGCCTGATGGCTCTGTACCAGGGATCCTCCACCTACCATCCACAGTATCAGCCACATCAGCATCCAAGACAGCGGCTATACTCCTTTCTGGCGCAGGAGGCGGTGTCGTAGGACCATCGGCGATCTATCTTTCTCTAGCAGATAAGCTAGCCTCGCTCAAGCAAGCCGTGCCGGCATTGCGACTCGATTATAGATATCCAGCACGCAACAAGTATTGTGTGAGAGACGTCCTAGCAGCTATGAAACAATTAGAAGAGTCTTACCAGATCGAGCGCTTTGTGCTGGTAAGTTGGTCTTTTGGTGGCGCTCCTGTGTTTACTATTGGTGGCCAAGATAAAAGAGTGGTCGGGTGTGCGACCGTCGCTAGTCAAACAGCAGAGACGGAGGGTATACGCTCACTTGCGCCGAAACCACTTCTACTCCTTCACGGTACGGGTGATCGAACGCTGAGTCCTTCGTGCTCGGAAAGACTATATAGTATGTATGGTACGGAAGGTGATAAAGAGTTAAAGCTTTTTGATCGAGATGATCATGCATTAACAAGAAATTCTCTTGAGGCGGAGCAGCTCATTGGTGGGTTTGTGCTTCGTTGTGCTGGGTTGGATCCGCGGACCGATGAAGACGGTTTGGCAGAGAAGCTGGTGGGTGATGAAGAGAAGGTTGAGTTGATGGAGAAGGGGGGCGACTTACGGCGAAACGAGAGCGTGGAATAAATACAGGCGAGATTGCGGAACGGATGGTGCCTAATTTACTCCTGAATAGGTGATTCGTATCTGGAGGTCGGCAATAAACTATTGAGGTCAAAATAGATCAGGTTTACCACACGACTGCACAGCAACAAAGCGGACCCCTTAGTAGGGACCGAAAGAATGCGAAACCAACACCGCTGGATAAGCAGCTGCGTTCTTCTGCACGCAAAGACGACTGCACCGCAATAAAAGTTGGTTTTCGTGCTTAGCCGGAACGGCGATAACCCCGGTCCCATAGCAGCGTCAGGCGTCTAGCAGGTGCACGATACCATGAGGAACATCAGGGCTCTTTGTTAGCCGGCTGGGTGATTGTACAACTCTAGTGAATCAAAATACTGACAGTGCTTTGGAAGGAGGAACAAACTATTTATTCATAAGAAGGGTGCGATCTTGCACCCTCTTTGTTGTACGTTAAGCAACCAAACGATCATGAAGTTCAACCTTGCAAATTGTCTTATCCTCCCGGCTCTTGAAGCAACCGCCGCATACATTCTGCTTGCCAATACTCTCTCAGACACCTCTTTGAAGAAATACTGGCTCACGCTCACCATTCTCCACAACAGTATCCTCATCTTACACAAATGGTTCATATACCCTTTCTTCCTCAGTCCTCTATGCAATTTACCGCAGCCCAGAGGCTTTATACCACTCTTTGGCCATGGACAATTTCTCTTAAAGAAACACCAGCCGAGCCGAGACTGGCAAGTTCGCACGATGAGAACGGTACCGAACGACGGTATTATTCTCAGACGGGGATTCCTGCATACTACCAAACTCCTTCTGACGACGCCGGCGGCGCTAGCAGATGTCCTAGTGTATAAGTGCTATGATTTCGAAAAGCCGCGCGTTGGGGCTAACTTTATCAAGAGATTCCTGGGGGAGGGATTGTTGATGAGTGAAGGAGAGGAGCATGTGTGGCAGCGGAAAAGCATCATGCCTGCATTCCGTTTCCGACATATCAAGGAGTTATATCCGGTGTTTTGGGGGAAATCAATGGAGTTCTGCGCCGTGGTAAAGAGAGACCTTGGTGTGCAACCAGATAGTGTCTTGGACGTCTGTTACTATGCCACACGGGTTACGCTGGATATCATTGGGATTGCTGGAATGGGCAGAGATTTGGGGTCTCTGTATAACAAGGACGACGAGCTGGCAAAGAACTACCAGGAGATCCTTGAGCCGACACCCGAGAAGGTACTGTACTATCTTACCAACGTTATTTTACCACCATGGCTGGTGAGAAAGCTACCGTGGAGGTTGCATGAGAGGGTAACGGTTACGACTAGGAACTTGCGGAGGATTTGTTCGGAGCTTTTGGTAGAAAGGAAGATGAAGATCAGATGCGAGAAAGCCGAGGGTCAGGAAAGTCGCGATATCTTGTCCATCATGATTCGCGGTAACGACCAGTCGGACAAGAACCTCGTGGACCAACTTCTTACTTTTGTAGCCGCAGGGTCAGTATACCCGATCTCCGAGTCGCCCTGACACAGAGCTAACCAAGACAGTCACGAAACCACATCCTCTGCACTGACCTGGACTTCCTACCTGCTTGCCCAACACCCAGCCATTCAAGCTCGGCTCCGCTCCGAAATCCTTAAGTATATTCCCGATCCAGGCGTTCTGTCAAGCCCTGACTTCGATGTCGCCAGGCTTCTAGAAAGTATGCCGTATCTCAACTGTGTCTGCAACGAAGTTCTCCGACTCTTTCCCCCAGTACCTCTCACATCGCGCGTCGCTGTCAGGGACACGACAGTCTGCGGCCATTTCATACCCAGCGGCACCATGTTCTGGATTGTTCCGTGGGCAATTAACCGAAGTCCGAAGCTTTGGGGACCAGACGCTGAAGACTTCGTACCAGAGCGCTGGATGGATACGACGACCGGTCGCGCGACGATGAACGGTGGAGCAGAGAGCAACTACAGTTTCTTAACATTCCTGCATGGCCCGAGGGGCTGTATTGGAGAGAGGTTTGCGCGGGCCAAGATGAGGTCGCTTGTTGCGACATTCGTGGGTAACTTCGAGATGGAGCTGGCAGATCCTAACGAGGAGATTGTCGTGGGTGGCACGCTGACCAGTAAACCGAGGAACGGTATGAAGCTCAGATTGAAGGATGTGAAGTGGGGGCCATAGCACTTCGATGGTTCCGTCCTTCTATTCAATCGCAACCGCTACTGTATCATGCTATGCTCCTGAAGTGGCAGGAGTAAATCGTCGTCAAGCGATGCAGGCAGGGGTTTGAATTTTATCTTGTTCTTGTCCAAACTACTACATTGTGACCTTGTCGCGGGGATATGGAATTGTTCAACCGATGCAAGCATCTTACGAGCTGCATACTAGTGCCGGTCGCAGGCTCAATAGAGACTAACAACAACTGCACGCCTTGAGTAAGATGGTGGTTGCATGTCAACCCCCAATTCGCTATTCCAAGTTCAGGCCCCGAATCCGAACCCGAAAACTCAGAACATATTCCAAATAGATGGTGTGGAATTGCCAGATCTTTGCCCACAAGGGGTTGATGCGAAGTGGACGTTCTCAAGGGCTTCTTCGGTGCGGCTAAAAACGGTGGGAGATACTGAATCGCAAGCACTGTCTGACAGAAATTGCGGGGAGGGCGCCACCAAGTGTGTACCAAGCACTGAAAATGGGAAGTGTCCGGTGACGCGATTGTGGTCTTCGTTCTTCTCTTGACTCGCTCGCAGGCTCACACCTAGGAATACTGAATTGTCGTATGATGCACTTTCCGGTACCCGTTGCAAGTTGGCAACCGGCGGCAATGAAGGCGGAAGAGCGCAATAAGTGTGCCCAAGGAGCAACGAACCAAGGGTGGCGTAGAGATCGTTACTGAAAGTATGCGACCATTGATGCGAGCATGTGAAGACGATAGTCGTGGATTAGTTACCGTGCGGGAGGAAGAGCGGATGTGTGTTCGACGCGGCCGACTAGCTGGTGTCATCCAAACTTTGGACGTCGGATCCCAGACACAGCTAGCTGTGCCGAGATTGAAATCTGGCGATCTTCTCTTTAATCAGATCGACGTTGGCTAGAGCAAGATTCTGCGATGCATGATCAAGGTCTTATCATCTTCTTTTATGATGGCATAGGACTACTGACCAAGTTTACCGTATTTGCCGTACATTACTGTGCAACGCACACGAGTCGAAGCGAAGTGAGCGACAGCGAGGCGTTTCCAGATCGGCGCATGCGCGCTTAGATCGGCGTAAAGTTCTAGGTACCAAAATTACCGCCTTGCGTACTACCAAAGCGCTGTAAAGACGCGCGGAGGCGGCAGAAGATTCTCTACCCGATGCTGCGACACCGGGAATGAGGCAACCGCATCGCTGTGACCATCTGATAAATCTTCCAGATCAAGACACGAGTTCTTATTTGGCAATGAGTCGCATTCACAACGGGCATGTGGGTCTTTGGTGACAGACCCCACGTGCAAGGCTGATCCTGGCGAATTTACGATTGGCTGGCGTTACTACGGACGCCCAACGTCATGCATCGACTACAGATTTCATAAGGTTTGATACACTCAAGATGCAGGCCTTGAGTCAAATCAGTACTATACTTGTTCCGCCACGCGAGCAAGATGACAACGACCCAGAAATTCACTTACTGCAACGGATGAATGCGAATAGGCTTTGTTTACATTAAGTTACGGACCGAATGGTCCGACTTAATGCTCGCGTACATGTTTTCTCGATACGAGTTTCTAGGACACGACAAGAGGGTGTGAAGGTAGGATGTGGCCTAAACCGACATTTGCCACGCTAAGCAGACTCGCTAGTCTATTCGAGTAAAGAGTGACAGCCGGGCTGAAGGATTAACGGTCGTCATAAGTAGCGATTCACCTGAATGTTATCTTGTGACATCGTTCCGTGGAGCCGAAACGTCCTTCAATTCCTCGAGGTGTTCCAGACTCAAAGTAAGAAAGGTGCTGTCGCGGTCCTGTATGTCGAGTCAGTACGCCCCGCAATACTACTGACACGTCCGATTGTGTTACAGGGCCAAAAAATACCAACTAAAGCCCAAGACCCACGACAGTACGAATGATGTGCTTCCATAATGGCTGGGTAAGCATTACGTGGTCCAGCTGTACTCTTTTTCCCATGCGGGGTGTTTGTACCTGTCACGAATAAGTGACTATATGGCGACATGCAGTAATAGATCCTGTCTGCCTGCCGATCTGCTTTCCCGCGTCACGTAGGATCCTGGTTCGTGGCAATACCGGTACAGTAGACGTTGGTAGCCGCATAAGAAGTGGCCCGACCACAGCGTTGAGGAAGGCGAAGTCCTAATTAGGTATCCTAGTGAACAGGCGGCTGCATAGCATGTGGTTGGGCCCGGGGGAAGCCAGCGTCTTGATTTTGCAATTGCCGAATCCCCGATGGTATTGAATCGATGCCAGTTGGCTCCACGGTCTTCATTCAGCACGTATATTAGGAAAAGGTTGACATCAGCCCACAATAATTCTTCATGACAAGATGTAGGGGCCAGGGCCAGGGCTACAGTAATCGCGCTTATTGGCTACGGTGAAGGGTTCCGTTGGAATTTTCGAACGAGCTGTGAAGAATCACAAACTCTAGCTCAATAGACATCCAGCAGTAACCAGGGCCATGTGTGTCCACCCCAGGATCCAGCAGGCTCCTGTGGATAATCTTCCATGCCCAAGTTTGGATTGATGGCGTTCGCTAGGTCGAACCCGCACGCGATTGAAGTCGATTTCGGGTAGCCGACATAATCTGGGGTTCTCGGATTATCCGCTTTGTTGCCGCGTCGCCTTCATCTATCCTGGACCAACGTTTGGTCTTTTGAACAACAATTCCACGTCGATCCACGGTACATTGTCCTGAATCATGGCATCGAACACCCCCGAGCATCATTATCCGACGAGTTATGGAATGTCCTTGTCTGGGCAAGGGAAAGTTGCAATTCCACGATTGCAAAGACTTGAACAAAGGCAGGGTGGACAGAAAGACAGACGTCGAGTTCCACGGGCCTGTACCGGAGTAAGTCTGAATCGCGCACGGGTGTCTAACGGCAGCGATTGGTAACCGGTTTTACACGCCTTGTAGTATTACCAGGCGTGTTCTTCATCCGATAGGCTGGCATGATTATGAATTGGTACGAGTTCTAACGGTGGCACATTTAGTGTCGCTCCCACAAGATCAAATGCACCGGCGAGAAGCCAAGGTGTAAGCATTGCGCGACGACGAATCGCGAGTGCGTCTATATCCTGCCTCGGAAAGACCGTCTGAAGATGTCTGTCCAGTCCCTAGTCTATTACCTTTGCATTGCTGACGACTAAAGCGTCACCGAACAATGCCACCAATTAGCAGAGTTTCTTAAGGATATAAGAGACCGTGTAAGCGCCGAAGATGGGGACCGAATTACTGACATCCTAGATGAGGTGAGTTTGGTTCAAATCGCTATCATGCAAGGAGTAACGTTGAAACACTCACACGGGTCAGATCGATGAGGACTTGTCAGAAAACAGGCTCACCCCGACTCCAACACCATCGCATCTTGACGTGGACGACAGGCGTGGCTCACAAGAAAGCGGAGAACTCAGTGGTACTGAATACTTCGAGCATCATGAGACCGAAGCCTTGGACCTCCTGGATGAAGACTTGCATAGCAAAGACGAGGCCCGATCAACGGGATTCATTGGAAAGAGTTCAGAGGTACAATGGTTGCGTGCAGTGGTCCTAGCCCAGCATGAAAGAACGGATACAGAGTGGCCTGGATCCGAGCCTCAACGCCGTCCTTCGGTTGCTCCAGGTAGCGAGCAGATAAGTTCGTTTAGCTTCTGGGCTGACTGTGACGATGTGAGTGTCAACTTCTACGTGGATCCATACGAACTGCCCCAACCCGACTTCGCTGAGCATTTGATACGATGCTATATGCTCAGGGTGCACGATTCCTTCCCGATCCTGCCACGAAACTTCGAGGAACAAACTCGCGTGTATTTCACGGCTTTGCGCGCGGGGAATGCCCCACGTCTCAACCTCAAGTGGCAGGCCATCTTGAATCTTGTCTTCGCCATTGGTGCAAATTATTCGTACCTTTACAATAAGGACTGGCCGACAGGAGACGCCAATGTGTTCCAAGCCAGGGCGCGGGCGTTTGGTTTGAACGAAGCTTCTCTGACTACTCATGCTGATGTGCCGCGAATCCAAGGCTTGGGTCTTCTCGCGTTTTACTGGCTAAGTATCGGACAGGTTAGTCGGTGAGTTTCAGTCAACACCTAGATATTTTTCGAAGGACAAGTTTGCTGACTATTGTAGGGCTTGGACGCTTGTTGGGGTGGCTCTTCGTTCAGCCTTTTCCCTCGGCCTTCACGTACGGAACGAAGATCCTTCCGCAAGCGCCTCTAAACGACAGACTTTGGTACAAACGTGGTGGAGCTTATACTCTCTCGAAAGAATGCTGAGTATCATTACCGGTAGGCCTAGCATTATCGTGGATTCTTGCTGCTCAGTGCCGTTGCCCGTGGCAGTGTCGGAAGAAGATCCAGCGGGGGAAATGGAGGCGGCACACAGCATGCGTACGACGAACGCATCGTCGTCAACATCTGCCATATTTTCCGGCTCTTCGAATATCGCTTCAAACGCTTCTCAAACATCGATACGACCTAGAGGAACACATGCCAACTCGGGGCTGTATTTCAGAGCCGTCGTTCAATTATCCATCATAACCCAGAACATTCTTACGTCCCTTTACTCCGCGGGTACGATGATTCGGTCGCCAACCGATATTCAACAGGATACCTCTCTCTTGAGCCAACGTCTCGATCAGTGGGCGTCATCGTTACCCCAGCAAATAAGACCAGATGAACCGTTGCGCAAAACGCTTGACGTGTCCGGCCGTGAGCGCATGTTGCTTCGGTTCCAACTCTGCAGCGCACGAATACTACTCACACGCCCATGTTTGACTGCCAGGCGGCAACCGTGGAGGGATGCAAATGATGCAAGCTTTTCGAGACGCATGGCGGACAGCTGTATCGAGGCTGCAAGCACGATAATTGCTTCACTTCCAGATGAGTATAGTCCTCAGCTATATGAGCAGTGCCCTTGGTGGTGCCTTGTGCACCATATCATGCAAGCTATCTCTGTTTGTCTTCTTGGCCTTTCACATCCCACATCAACATCTTGTGAGGCAGCGAAGATGATCCATTGTGTTACGACGGCAATCCGCTGGCTGCAGATGATGAAGGGCCCGGTGGCAGAGCGTGCGCATCGCATAGCTTTGAGTTGTTTCGAGGGTTTGGCCAGACGGTACGCTGTCGACATTTCGGGTCTTTGGAACCGGAGGGAGCTTCCGGTGATGCAACAGCCGGTATCCAATACCCCTGCAGAAGTACATCAACCGACGCACGAGTTCTTCTTGTTTTGAGCTCTCTATCTTCAAATGAGGTGGGGAAAGTCTGGTAAGAGGTAGGGCAGGCACATACATGTAATTGAAAGCGATCTTTCCCACTAGAAGTGATAAAAGTCGGGCTTGCTGCTGTCCAAGGTAGCCATGTTCCTGAACAATGAAATGTACCAGCCGCTGCAACGGGTAGTGCCCCTCACACGCGCAAGGGAGGTAGCGGGCAGTGCAGGATGTAGATATCCGATAAAAGTGTTGTCTCTATGAGCAGTGGTACCACTGGTAGTGTTGGTGAGTACGACGTTTAGCGAAGTAAAGCAGGAGAAAGGCACGCACAGAACATCACGCAACGGGAGCACATACATGTATTATATCCTATGTTTACGCCCTCACGCATCTCTACAAGCGAAGCTTCGTTTCGAACGCGATCGGCATTTGGCACCGAAACGACTCGGGAGTTGGATCCGCCTTTACCCTAGCTTTGGCGACCAACAGTTGCCGCGGGAGGTATAATAAAGCCTCACAACTTGTGGCACTCCTGACCTATACTGGATAATACTGCAGCTGACAGTGCCCGGAGTGGAATCCTGCAGCGACTGTGGATTCAAAAGGCTCCAATCCTGACTCGGACGTGCATAACCATATGTCGGGTCGTGTACCCAGGCTTTGTCTGCTCTCCAGTTGGTGTTCTCTGTGAGCACTCTGCAGGCGGGTCCAATAGCAGAAGATGGTGATTAGCCTCCAAGCCACAGATCAGTCCATGTATTTAATCCTTCGTATTTAATGTTCTGAGCATGGTAGTGGATCCAGGGTAATTGGATGCGGCCGCGAGAGTTGCTTTTGCTACAAGTGACGAGGTTAGTGTTGATGCTGCTTCTCTGTATATCTTGGAATGCAATACAAGAAGCTAGCTTGACAAGGTAAGCGACTATGACTAGTGTATCTTTCCTGAATGGTGTGGAAGCACGCAAAGGGATGCTGGTGCTCAGCTCTTGCATGACCGCAGAGCCGAGCCTGCAATTTCTCGGTCTTTGCAACATCGCGCCTGTATGTAGGTTCTCTGATTGCGCAAGCGTCTTCTCATAGGAGCGTGCGCATACCGCGCGTAAGAATGGCGCTCATGCCGCGCTCTTGACTCGTGTTTGTAGATTGAAAAAAAAAAAGTCTTGTGAGCTTGGACTGCGGGTAGGGCGTACTCTGAAGAACTGCAGCTGGATGTGTTTATGAGCAGGCGGGCCAATGAAGGTAAAGTCCTACGCTTGAATTATGTTGGTGCCTATGAAACCACAAAGCAAGACCTTGTGCAGGCTGAGAAAAGCGTGAATTGCTGCCTAGCTCCACCTTCATCGCACTGCGGTCTTGCCATTGGCTGAAAACGCCCTTGCCGGCAGTGACCCGCTGTTAGGCGGACGTGCCTGATCATGTGACTCTAGTGCGCCAAGTCTCTAGCGCTTCTGCTGGCAGTACTTAATCTCGCGCCCCCTCGTCCTCCTTTCTCGTCTGCATCCAAGTGCTCGGGCTTTACGCTTACCAGTGAGGATTCGTCCGAGGTAGCGTTTTTGCTAGTTGAAAACTACAACTATGACCGCTCCAGTTGGCCTTAGGGTCGGCTGGGAATTTTTGACACCCATTGCTAGCTTTGCGCTGCTTTTCGTTGATTTTTGCGGCTTGCCGCTTGATTGAAGAAGAGTTTGTCGGCGCCCGAACCACCACCACTACCGCCTACGCATCCACTCGTCTTGACAAGACTTTCTTAGTCCTGTATGCTGAAGCCGACCTGACCGGTAATGCCGCTGTTTTTGCCAGCTTGCACGCTCTGAGACTATGCTAGGCACCAGCTTCCCTGATATCCTACATTAAGTGTGCGCGCCTCTCCCTCGTCCTTCCGCGCTGAAAGTACTCGTCGCTTACGGACAGTCAGCATCCTAGCCAACACAACCCATGTCGCTAGTCTGGCTGCTGCATTGTATCACCATCGTTGGCCGCTCTTCGGCAGGCATGCCCGCGCTTATCACACACTCGCACCGGATACCCACGAAGGGCCATACCAACGATAAGCAGAAGGTGGGCGTGCATCAGTACTGCCCTCGGACAACGCAGTGTCCGTTACCGGCATGGCATCGGCGTTGCTCTTGCTTTGCGTGTGAATTACGTGTCGCATCCACCGATACTACCACACGACGATCCTTCAGACGGCTCTCCACAATCCTCCTTTGAGTCATAAGAAAAAGCACCCAAGCTTTTCGCAAGGAAAGTGTTTATCTATGTACCCCACAAATAGGTACTACCGGGTAGATCCATGGCCATGTGCTTGTGACCATCACGAACATCGTACATATCGAAGATCTGTAACCTTTTTCGGAGGCCGCAAAATGCGGCCAAAATTGCCGTCTTCGTTTCTAGGCTTCCGTGATAGATACAGCTCTCTTGGCTATGCACGACCTCTATACAGCTGCTCTATAGATCGATCCCTTGCTGATTGCAAAGACCCCTTTGACAGTGTGATAGGAAAGTATCTTTCCGCCAGATCAAACCGAGGGCCAGTCATCTTCGAAACGTCAACGCCGAGCCCGCCACACTACGGAAGCTTACTGTTCTCGTTCTCGTTCCCTTCACTCTTCACCCTGACAGAGCTTTTTACTCCACCCGCCTTACACAGACGTTAAGGCGCTGCACCTATATCGCAATGTTACGGCTACAACTGGGACCGAGCCTTATTCGGAACTTTGCGGACGTGGGCGGCCATGGGAAGATGCGGCTACTTGCTCGCTCGAAAGTCCGGTCGCCCCAACTGTTGCATCGTTCCTGTTCAATACACTTGTCGCCTGAATCGCGAGATTTGGAAGTGACACGACCGTCCGAAGATGCAAAGAAGGTTGTGAGCCAAGAAAGTTCGTAGTCGGCCAAACTCAACCTACATCTGAGGCCGGTAAGAGCCGTATATCGCGCACAGCGTGACTCGGATGTGTGATCGAACAACCGAATATCAGCCACAGTCGTTCCCTGCCTGCCGAAGAGCAAAACAAGCTCCAAATTGCCGAAGCTAGTCGCGTGATCTTTTGGCTTTGTACGGTACCGAAAGAGGTCAACTACCCATCAATATCGTCTATTTCCGCCAAATCTACCAAGATGGTGAGGGATAGCCACAAGCTGCCTTGAAAGAAAACGCTATATGGTGGGGAGCGCGCCGATAGCCTTAGGGTCGTTTCAGACCAGTAAGAAAGACATCAAGGTTTCGGTGCACGGTCTGCGTTCGGCTAGATCTGCAGCAGGGTCATTAGCCTTGCGCCATCCTACGCGAACTGCTACACTTCCAGTACGGGACATGCAGGTACGCGGTCTCTGCTGGACCAGCCGCTTTCCTGCATGCAAGACTCGCGCGCGACAGACATTGCAATCACACGCCACAGAACAAAGTCACCACATGACATGTTCACATATGTACGACACTCTTCAGGCTTTCGAAACGGATCTGTCAAAAGCGGCATCTAGTCAATGACATGCGACATCAACAGTTCCGTAGCACCGCCTCAGCCATGCTAACCTAGAACTAAGCTAACCCGGTGGCTTCCTAACGGTGGCTGCCACGAGTTGACCCTAGGGGTATAGTTGTGACATTATACCCCCCTTCTTCGACTATTTTCGCACGTTCTCTGCCAAACCTGGTGCCTGGCCAGTTACCACAAGGCGCCATTAGGCCAGTGCCCTGCGGGATCTGCATACTGCGACTATCGTCACGTATGAGACGGTCGTTTTTGTAGGAACGTGCCCATGGTGGGGGGAGTCCACGCGATATTGGTCCTGTTCGCGCTTCCCAATGCAGCATGAACGTCGGGAACCTGCGTCTCACTCTCAAGCTGTGCGGGGGTTAATGTCGTCCGACTTTCCTTACCAATGAGGACTTGTTCTTCCTGCAATCCCACGAGCCATATGCACTAGCACTGTTCGTTCCCGAGACTGGCTCAGTCTTGTACTGTACTACCGACCTCACACTGCATCTCCTATCACGACCAGCTTGCGAACATCCTAATTCTCTATTTTCTCCGCATTAGCCAATATGAAGGCTTGAGCCATGCGAGCCTTCGCAGGTCCTACGTCTCGGCTTTCTTCTCCTTTCTGTTCTGTCGACTCGTCCATCTAATACTAAGGCCATCATGGATCTCGATAGCTCTACGCCCGCTGGTACCCGGGTTAATATCATTGTACTTGCTTTCACACTAGTTTCTGGTCTCATAGTGTTTCTACGTCTTTTTACACGATTGGTAATATCGAAGGGAGCTGGGCTTGAGGATGCGTGCATCGTGGTTGCTATGGTAGGTGAACCTGGATCACGAACTGTGCACTTCTAGCTGACCACGTACAGATTCTTTCCGTCGCACTTGCCGTGCTGACGGCGGAACAAGTAATGAATGGGTTGGGCGAACACAAGTCGCGGCTTGAACTCAATGAGCAAGTTACTCTACGTACAGTAAGTTCCTCAACGCTTTTATCCTTCGACAGTGCCCTGTGCAAGCTACACCGTATCTGCTGCAGGTACACAGCTTACGCTGACTGAACGAACTTCATTCTCCGTGCTTCCCTAAGCTTTCAACTGACAAGAAGTTAGGCCTTCTGGGCAAGCGTCTGGGTTTACAACCTCACCCTTGCGGTCACAAAGATCTCTATCCTCGTGCAATATCTCCGCATATTTCCTGTGCGAGGCTTCCGCATAGCTTGCTATGCTATGCTCAGTATCGTAATCCTTTATGGGGGGTGGGCGACATTCTCGAGCGTGTTTATCTGCAGCCCCGTCGCCTTTTCATGGGATAAGTCCATCGATGATGGGCGTTGTGTGAATCAGCTCATCATATGGGTTGTAAACGCCGGTGTCAATATTGCACAAGACGTGGTGATCTTTCTCATGCCGCTATCCATCGTTCGGGCTCTTCATCTACCTAAATCGCAAAAAGAAGGCTTGGTGGCCGTGTTTGTGTTAGGTGCTAGGTGAGGCAGGACCAGACATTGCAAGGTCAACGAATGCTGACACCAATAGCGTCACGATGGTCTCTATCATACGGCTGTACACCCTAGATAATATCGCCAATTCGACCGACATATCATTCGATAACGTGGATCATGCGACATTATCTGCAGTGGAAGTAAACGTCGGCATTATATGCGCTTGCATACCAGCTATGCGACCTCTTTTCGCTCTGCTGGCGCCGCATTACTTCTCAGCAGTGCCGCAATACACCAACGCTAGAATTCTCGATATCGAGCGCCAAAAACAGAGGACTGGTCGCCAAGGGAACACCCGACCTACTACGGCGACTCCCAGGACGAGACCGAACACGGCACGGACGACCATTATTCGTCCAACTACTACTACTACTACTAGGACAAGACCCAGTACGGTGCGCACCACCATGACTGGGCCGGGTACCGCCACCCATGTAACGAGACCCAGCACAGCACGAACAACGACGCGATCAAGCACTTCCCACACCCTCAAGCTCGAGACAACCATTCCGAGGGCCGACTCGGTACAAAGCGACATCCCTCTTCAACCCCTTGTGCCAACGCTCTCTCGCACCCCAAGTGGTCGCTTCTCTGTCGCAAACAGTAGTCGTCCACCAACGCTACGTCTACCTAGCTACAACAATCACTCTCGCAATGCAAGCGGTAGTTCGCAAAGCACACAGAGCTCGACGCGAGGGCGATCTGCTACACGCTTTCAAGGAAGGCCTGATCCTCTGCGCATGTCACCCATCACACCATTCAGCCCTCCATGGCCCGCCCCGTTGCGAACTGGATCGCCGTTGGCCTTGGGTTCCCACACCCGACACCCGAGCAGCCAGAGGGCGCCTTCTCCATTACCGCCACGAACACCTGGAGCTGATAAGCAGCTACCACTCACGCCTTTCCCAGTCGGCTCAGTAGACTGAATAGCCTCTAGCTGACCTTTCCGCATAACAACTTAATCGGATGCCTACACCCATCAACCTTAAATAATACGCTCGTTACAAATACCAAATCCGCAGGATATGTTCTCTCCTAACCCGAGAACAAGACTGGACAACTTCCGAAGATATGAAGCACAGCTGCTTCGGGTACGCCAACGGCACAGGCTTTGCACGACCAGATCGGAGGTCATTCTCGATCACGACATGCCTCTATCGCATTCGTCGTGTTACCATACCATGTGTATATAACGACACATGCAACCCTAGAGGTCTTAGTCGTGTGGACAGGCGGCATTCGCCTCTCAACGCGGGAATCAGTCCACTGGATTCACGCGCCCTTTCCTTTACACACTCTTATCGTTCAATAATCGGAAAGCTGAGAAGGTCACATGTGTTGTCACTCCTTAGACGAGGCTCATAGCAAGACCCCGCCATTCTTTCCATGTTTCTTGTGCTTCGCTCTGCGACACATTTCAAATACACTTTCCTTCAGGTTCACTCTAGACTTCGAGTCTTCGCTGTCACGACAGGTTTCTTCCCACAGCAACGTTTTTCCTGGGCGATTTACAGCATGTATCTTTCTTTCGGAACGCATAACGATTTCCGGGTTGTTTGAGTTAATTGTAATAGCTCCTGGCTGGAAATGAGCTTCGCGTGCAGCCGCAATATGGCGGACGTTTGGGAGTAATGAGACGTAATGTAATACGCGTAGATTAGATACCTAATGTCTTAGTAAAATAATTAATGCGTATCAGCGCACATAAGGTCACAGCAGAGTTGCAATTTATTGTACCCGTGATAAACTGCTGCCCCTTGAAACCATTGAAGTGGATGCCATTTGATACCTAAGCCTTAGCTTCAACACCCATCCGCACAGCGTATTATACTCCAGACGCCAGGCGGAAAACGCTTCTCGAACGTAAGAACAATCATCTAAACTTGCTGTAAATGACAGCGATGATAAGCAGCACCAGAACAGTAATGATGGCAATCGTGATGATGCGGTTTGTAGCCATGCTAAATCACAAATCGTTAGCACTCTTGTCACCTATATCAAAAGGGCGTCCATCTACACTCCACATCAACTGGAGTAGGGGACAGGTGGGAGTGGCAGGTATACATACCGTCTCGCCATGCCCCTCAACGTCTTGATGCTCCGATCAGTGTAGCTTTCACTCTCCAGCAGTCTCTCTCTTGTGTTTGTAATCTGCTCCCGCTGTCTGTGCAAGTCACTCAACGTGCCTGCGCCGATCTGCTCCGTCTCCAGCGCGATTCTCTGGCTCTCCCTCAGTCTTCCACTCGACCGGTTCAGACGATCTGTTCCGGAGAGCAGTTGTTGGCGCTGCTCCAGCTGGGCATCGCCGCTCTCTGGGTCGTCGGTATAGCGGTTGCCGAAGAGTTTGGACTTGTCCGAGGTGTAGGTTTCTAGTTTGCGCTTGTGGGAGTCGAGGTCGTGTTCGAAGTTGCGGAAGCGCGCGTTGTATTTGGACTTTAGGTTTGCGGGGATGTTGGACTTCTCAAGGCGCATTTGACCAATCTGTCGCATGTCTATGTCAGTAACCTGGTCTTGAACATAGTCTTGTCATGCGTTGTTGTTGCTGTTGTTGTCCATACGCGCGACATGAGTGTTTAGGCGACAACTCACCAGCTCCTCGGCTTCTTCCAGCGCGCGCTCTGCTCTGCTGATGGCGGCTTTCCTGGGCTCTCCGCTTGTCTCTTTGATCTGCTCTATTTGCTGGCTGAGGTCGGCCTGCACCAGCTTCAACTCGGCTTCGTAGCCGCTGAAGCGCTCGGTGCCTGCATCTGCGTCGATGAGATTGGACATGGCTGTGGTGTGGTATGGGCAGCACCGGTTCGGGTCGTGTAAGCTCGGCGATGTCTATTGTCCTGTGAATGCGAATAGCGACGTGGTTGGATGTGTTTGTGAATGCAACGTCGAGTCTGGAGGCCGGAGTCCATGAGGCGCATTACGCACTTGCCAAGGTCATCCCTGCCGTGTCACGTGTGCCACTTCCATTCTAGAACTGGGGTGCAGGACACCACGAGTTCCTGTGCTCTAGCAACATCTCCACCTCTCCTTTGTTGCTTTGCCGATACGTCTGACGCTATCCTGTTGACACAGTATACTGTCAGATTCGCTCCTGGTGCTGTCGCCGTCCTTACGTAGGTGGCGTTCTGGCCGTTCCAGTGCCGTGTGCACAACAGCCGTGTCACAGCATTCCCCAAACGTCTCATATATTCAACATACTAGCAACATGCAAAGATGCAACACCGACTCCACAATAACTCTGATATTGCCATGGGTCAAGATCTGCGGTGTCCACATGAGAGCGGGCCCCAACCCCAGGGCCAGTGACAGCGTGCAATGCCGCCGACTTCTTTGCCAGTCGCTGTGCTCCGGACATCAAGCTGAGAGTTTACGATACCTACAATGCCTACACTTTGAACGTGTTCGTTTTCCTTTGGTACTAGTCATGCACCCACTGAAACGACATCCGCTTCAGATCGATGACATCATGACTCGGAGCTCTGCGCAACTTCTTTTCTTTGCTCAACTTCTTTCGTCACTCTGGTGCGTCAACTCATATCGTGTACCTGGCCGTTAGTATACCCGCCACAGATACGCGCTAGTTGATCATGAGCGGCAAGATGGAAAAGAAGCGCATAGCCATCGTTGGTAGTGGCATATCTGGCCTGAGCGCCCTCTATGCACTCCGTAATACCCAGCATGAGGTGCATCTTTTCGAGAAAGAGGAACGTCTTGGTGGTCATACAAACACTGTGACATGGACGCACAATGGCAAGAGCACGCCCGTGGATACGGGCTTCATCGTTCTCAACACCGCTACATACCGTTCGTCTCCTGCCATAACTTGCGCCCGTGTTGTTTCGGTACTAACAAAGCCCAGCAAATTTCATAAAGTTTCTGTCAGCTTTGCAAGTCAAGACTGTAGCCTCAGAGATGACCTTTGGGATATCTCGTGACGCTGGTGCTTTTGAATGGTCTGGCACGTCAGGCAGCTCGCTCTTTGCGCAACCTGAAAATGCACTCAAACCCTCGTTCTGGCGCATGATCTTCGACATCATCCGGTTCAACCAGTTTGCTCTAGATCTACTGGCCATCACTCCAGGCTCATCTGCAGCTGTCGCCGCTACAGAGATGAGCATTGGCGAGTATCTTGAAAGAGAAGGATATTCAGACGCGTTCAGAGACGATTATCTAATTCCAATGACTGCGTGTGTATGGAGTACCGGTGCCGATAAGTGTGCTCTTGAGTTCCCGGCATTGACGTTAGTACGGTTTATGTGGAATCACCACCTGCTCAGCACGATTGCAGAGAGACCGCCATGGTTGACCGTGGAAGGAGGATCTAGCAAATATATCGATGCTGTATTGGAGTTGGCTGGAAACTGTGAAGGCCATCTTGGTACACCGGTCCTGGCTGTGACTAGGAAGAGCGGAAAAGTGGAATTAAGGCTGGGTGGGAAAGGAGAGGGAAAGACGGAGGTATTCGATGAAGTGGTGCTTGCTTGTCACGGAGATCAGGCGAGGTGGATGCTAGGTGACGACGCGACAGTGGCAGAGAAGGAGATTATGGATGCATTCGAGACCACGCCGAATACAGCATACCTGCATTCCGATCTTTCGGTAAGTTTCAAATGCCCCACATATGCAAGTGTAGCTAACAATGTCTAGCTTATGCCCCATCGACGCACAGCTTGGTCCGCCTGGAACTACATCACCACATCCAAGTCTAAAGCTCCATCGTACGCAAACCTGACCACTTCTTCGGGTGCTCTCGAGACCGTCTGCCTGACCTACGACATGAACACTCTGCAGCATATCCCGCGCGAAGTTTACAACAACGTACTTGTCACTCTCAACCCTCCACATCCTCCCTCTCCGGCTCTGACCCATGCAACCTACCAATACCGACATCCACTGTACAACTCCCGCATGGTGTTCGCGCAAGATCGGCTTCATGAGATTCAAGGAAAGCAAGGTATCTGGTACGCAGGCGCATGGACAGGTTATGGCTTTCATGAGGATGGTTGTCGGAGTGGATTGCAGGTTGGAGAGGCATTAGGAGGTGATGCTGGGTGGGAGGTAATAGATGCCAAGTTCATGCGTGGAAGGAAACCACTCCTTGAATGGAAAGATCACGTTGCGAGGATAGTCATCACGTTGGTTCAGATGTGGGTCGGTATACTAGAAGGCTTTGCGGGTGTGAGGAGACAAAAGGGTATGGCATTGAAGGCAAATGGGAAGAAAGAACTATAGCCCCATTATCAGCCAACTTCCTATACGTAGTAACCTCTCCCACTCTTGATCTACCACTTGGTCTTGTCCACCAATATCCACCGAACGTATCATGCCCACTTACTACCTGCGATGCAGTACAAGTTCTCTCGGCTCAGGTGTCAGCAAACCACTAGGCGCATCCGACAGCTCTTCCGAAAGTGGACTGGTGAAGCGCATATGGTACTCGGCGGTAGTCTCTCGCTTGCGCTTCTTTTGCAAAGGGCTGAAGGCGAAAATGACAGTCTTCTTCCTCTTGGGCTTCTTAATAGTAGTCACAGTCCTGACTGGCCTTGACGGAGTGACGGGAACGACGTCTTGCTCCGGAGTTGCCTTGCGTGGCATAGGCTCAGGTTCAGGAGAACTTGGTGGGATCCAGACATAGCCAATCGGCAGACCACCTCTAAGCTCCGCATAATGGCTGAGTGGAGGGTCAAATTCGAGCTTCACCTCTTCTCTAGCATGCTCATGTGTATTTTTGGGCGCTTCGCTTCGGTCGAAGTAGGCGGGGACGTGGTAAGCATGGTCCTTAACAGTGTCTAGGAAAGCATCGTGTTGGGCTGGTGGCTTAGCCGCAAGGGCCTTGTAGTCGCCAATGTGCTGGTTGGCGTTGTTCTTGATGTTGTTGAGGAACTCGTACTCGTACTGGCCTTGGTACAGGTAGTCGAGGTATGGGTTTCTGATCATGCCGTAGGAGTTGATTGTGGTGTTCTGCATCTGATTGTCAGTTTGTGATGCTCGAGAATGAAACTCTCAGAGGTTGGACGAGGATGAGGTTGAGCAAGAAAACTGTCTCATTCGAAGAGTTCTGTCATGGCACAAGGCTTGCCATATGCTCATAGTGAATGGTGAAGCATGCTAAAGTGTCTTCGAATTGTAGAGTGAGAGTGAGACATACCTCTCCAACTCAGGCCCATACCTCCCATCATTTACACTGACCATTCACTCCCCGCTGAATTCCTCCTCACATTACTCGGGCGCCACACGTTTTGGTCTTGTCTTTCCATGGAGGCAGTGCGGCTACTCCTTGTAATTGAGACTGTTCTCGCTCGAGTCTTTGCATCGAGGTGTCGTTTGATATCGTTATCCCATCTCAGGTACTGCTGAAAAGCAGTGATGACGTGAGGCGACATGATGGGCATGGTGCTGTGTTCGAATGACGAAGATTAAAAAATGAATCTAACAATATGACGGTAGGGGCAGATGTATCGATCGTTCTCAAAGTGCGAAGTACAGGTTCAGTTCTATATAGTCGCGTCCCCAGATTCGAGATCCACTCCAGACAACACACCGCTATGGGGAAGACATCACCGAGCGGTCTGCAAAAGATCATTGCATCCAAGTTTAGCCTTGTCAACAGCCTCAACGATCGCGCACGTACGATAAGAGTCATTCCGTGGGAGCACCCTCACGCGTGGGGCTCATCTGCAGAGTCGACGTGAGACATAAGCGTTTGCATCCTTGGTGCAGCGCCCTGAACTTCCAAGAGCTATCATTGGTGCGGTCCTGCATTGAGATCTACGTTTCTGCAGGTTGGAGGATCTAGTGAGCGATCGTGATGGAAATGAGGCTCAAGCGGTGAGTTTGATGGTTGGGCTGACACGTGTCTACGGATTGCCTATGCCGTTTTCGGGTAGGCGCAACCGGCATCGCGCCGCGAAGCATTCTGTCGCGCACTTGTCACCTACCATCCCACTAAGACTTCCATGGATAGGGCATCATCTCCCCACAGGTCATCTATACCATGTAGAGGACTCCGCGGCCGTACACTTGATACAATATTCCGCGCGATACGCGTTATACCCTCCGCTACGCCCATGAGCCACTTATGCCTGGATCGAGCAATACCTCGCCGCGCAAGATTCCCATGCTGCCCTTTACACAGCTGGCTAGCTACAGCTTATGACCGATTATGCTCCTTAGCAACCTTTAGCAAAGAAACAGAAGGTCGATTGAAAATATGTGGCTGTTAGGGCTGATGCCCCGCATACCAATCTACTTCATGGCACGGTCTGTGGGGTCAACTCGGTTACGCGGAAGATCATGCTGGAGTTCGCATCTGTCCTGTGTCATATACAGTCGTGTATGATACGCTCGCATGGTTTTTATGGCATACGGTGTGAATGTCCCTCAGGCTTGCGCTATCCTCCTTTCGCTACTATCTTCGCTTTCTTCTCATGGATTCTGTGCGGTTTTACTGAGTAGCGAGTGGACCCCAACAATTGCGGGTTATCAGCCAACATACCCCCCTTCTGGACTGCCGAATGATAACAGCGTGTGAGCTGGATGTCACTTATTCGATTCACAATTGCAGGGATCTGAAAATTGATTCCAATGTGTTCGACAAAGCCCAAATGAACGCTGATCCATCAAACCCGGCACTTGCTCTGAACAGTACAGTACATTCGACAATCGTTCACATATATTAGGTGGGGCTAATGTAGTTTTCGAGCCAGGCATTGGTAGCACTCATGTCCTTATCGGTTGAAGCATGCAGTCGGAGTAATGAATTGCGCTGCGGCCCGTCCGTAGCGTCGTCTGTTACTTCCGTTCTGTTATGAAGAGTTGATGTTTCTCGAACACATAAGTCGGAGTAGCTCCTGCAAAGATATCTCTCTATACTTGCCTGCAGCTCACGAAAAACTAGCTCGAGATGCTCTTGAAGTCTCTTACCGCGTTGGCGTTCGTTGCCCCGACCCATGCTCTCATCCGGTTCGGGTGCTCGCAGCTCGTGGTAGACCGTCTTGATCCCTTAGTTGAGCCTGGAAACGCTCCGTCAGCCCATCTCCACCAGATCATTGGAGGAAACTCTTTCGTCCCTGACATGAGCCCGGATGTTCATGATCCACCAGCAATGTCCACCTGCACCACATGCCAGCCTGCAGACGATTTCTCTAACTACTGGACCGCTTCTCTCTATTTTCGCGCTAGGAACGGAACCTATAAGCGCGTCAGTCAGAAAGGCAATGCAGGGTTCGAAGGTCAGAATGGTGGCATGGTGAGTCCTAAAAGCACAAACCAGACAAGGGACGTGTACTGACTGTTCCCACCTATGAAGACCGTTTATTATATGCAGAACCAACTTGCCGACTACCAGCAGAAGGCGAAAGTGAAAGCTTTTCAACCGGGCTTTCGCATGCTAATCGGTTCACCAACCGCAACCACAAAATCGGAAGCGGATAGGTACCCACAACTCACGTACACATGTCTACAAAACCCAGGCACCCGCTTCCCGGAGACTAAAGCGTTTCCTACCAAGCCCTGCCCCGCAGGCATCATGGTTAACTTGAGATTTCCAACGTGAGCAATGACATATCTCCTTGATGCCAGAGCCGTGCTGATTGTAGTAGCTGTTGGAATGGTAAAGATCTCGATTCACCAGACCACATGGCGCACATGGTAAAAGAAACCCTACCTCGCTTGGGATGATGCCATCTAATGTACTGTAGGCCTATCCAGTATCTGGTACTTTTGAAAGCCAAGGCCCTTGTCCAACCTCCCATCCCGTGCGTATGCCTCAACTCATGTACGAAGTCATCTACGAAACCGCACCGTTCAACGACCCTTCGCTCTGGCCAGAAGACGGTAGCCAGCCCTTTGTCTACTCTTTCGGTGACCATACCGGGTACGGCAATCACGGCGACTATGTCTTCGGATGGAAGGACGACTCATTGCAGAAGATCATGGACGAAGAATGTTACGTTGGATGCTCGTCTATGAAAACACAAAGCATGGAGATGATGAACAGCTGTAGCGTGCCGCGTAAGGTCATCGAGGACATCGGTGATCAGGACTGGATCCCCGCGCTTCCAGGGCACTTGAACGCGACGCGGGCTGTTACTTCGACTTTTAAGGCATTTCGTGCGTAGATCACCCCCTGTCATTCCTTTGTCTTACTATGCTTTTGTCGACAACGCAGAAACCAACTGGTCAGAGAAGCATTGACGGTTGCTCACATGATCACGCGTCAGGGAATTCAGTGTAATTGCTATTTCGATAGGTAGATCTTGTAGATCTCATCTACCAAAGAGTACTCCACATTTGTGCATCCGTTTTGCTTCTTCGTTGGGCGCCTCTTCCGCGAAGCCCCACTCACACCTGTGATGGTCGGTGCAACCCCACACACCCTCTTTCTAACGTGCAGTAGTTGCTGATGCTTACCGATTGGTCTGTGTAGGCTCAGTAGACTAAGTCATTCGTCACCCATGCCTTGTATATATGAGAAGATCTTCAGGAGTAGCAGATACCGAAGCATGGCAAAACGCAGTTCACTACTTGAATGTGCTAGCCTGAAATCTACATTAGCCTTCCCATGTAAGCCACTTAAGCACCCTCGCGTGAGTACACGAGCGCTCTTCCTTTCCTTTCCAATCGGCGTGATGAAGTTCGCTGCATCACAGTAAGCAATCGCATCGTCATACTCAACCCCATAGTGCACATGCTGCCTTAAATTCAAGCATCATGGCAGTATGACACACCGTCAACGGCATTGATGATCCAAGTGTTCGATCTAAAAAGTAAAACTAAAATCCAGCCGTACATAGCACACATTTCGATGGTAGTAAGGGTGGGGTCGCAGCGGTACGTGCCGGGGGCGCACTTGCCAGGGGTCCAGGCAGTAGCGTTGGCGCCAAGAAAAGTGACCAAGTGAGGATTTGCCAGAGCAGAGTGTGGATTTTGTTGCGACTGGTATTGTGGATTTTGAGTGTGTAGGGAGAGTGTCACAGATTGACTGGGCGGGAGAATGTCTATAGCGAGAACCTACAGGAAGAGTGGGTTCTCGGAAGGGATTGTAAAAGAGCATGATGACCAAACTTGGGGAAGAGGTTTCAAGGGTGCAGCGACATTGTAATTACAGCATGAAGCCTGGTCGCCAGATCAAATGACCAATCAGTCAAACACAGCGTCATTACAAGCCCTTTCCTCACTGCAAAAATGTTATTGGTACCTCGAGTGCATTCTGAATAGTCAGCTTCTGACCCTTGTACGAGCATGCGAACCATTTGTACTAAACTCAATTACCGAATAAACCATCTCCAATCATGATCACACCCAATGATTAATCGGCAGCCCTTCTGAAGACGCTGCTTTTATCATCTACTGACGTAGCTATCTCACCTCTTCTCCCACGCACCAGACAATGTCTCTCATGCTATATGTTGCTCGGCTCTCGGGAAGCTGCTGTTGTGTACTCGCTGCGGTGCCCAGATCCTAACCGAACAGAACATGTAGACGAAGTAGGCGCAGCTGTCGAGAAGGCCATGACTTGCGCATATGGCGTCTGGCCCGGTCTACGGAACGGTGCATCGTCCCGTCGGTCGAACCATGGCACGCGAGTCTGTGACCACTCTGGCTGACGTTCCTTGTCGAATTGGACACCTAGTGGAGGTAATTGCGGAGATGACGGAGCGGGCTCGTGCATCACAACGTGCTCTCCCCGCCTCGCTATGCGTTTCGGAGTTGTTGGTTCTTTGTGCTGCTCTGGTGTGGCGGGCAGCCTAACGAGTGGCCATGCAGTATCGATTACTTGCGTGTTGGTTTTGGTCTCCTTTGCAAGACGTGTTCCTGCCTGTGATGCGTCGTGCGACATGTTGAGCTTCTCCAAGCGAAACTCGCTCACCGGAATTTCGCGCATGAACATATAACCATCCAGCGTACTCTCCTTGCACACCGTGATCAACCCCCGATAACTGCAATCGATCAGGTCACAATAGCGGCCGTGATATCCTATGCGGAGGCAATCGTTTAATGTACGCTGTAATTCGGACAAGGCTACCGCTTGGGCGAGGGCGAAGGTGTGATAAATGCCGATAGAATGTACGATGAGCGGCGAATCTGGATCCAAGGAAGATCTGTGATAATGAATGACCTGGAACCCCAATCGTGGAATCTGGGAGAGCGGTTGCTCATCAGTAGTTTCTATCAGAGTGATCGGCGTACGGCAGGCATGTTGAGGTTCCCGCCAGGAAGGTGCCATTTAGACGATGTGTAGAGCGAAGATGGAAGGAAATAGCATTAGGAGTAAAGTATTTGGATGATTAACAACTTGTTTGTCAAGGGCTGTTTTGCGTAAAACATGTTCGAAGAATGGAACGTCTCTAAGGGTCTCATTCACCATGAGTCTCCGTTTGCTCACCTCTCTTTTCCGAATATCATGGCCAGAGGGAGATAGTTCGGCATGTGTGGACGGCGTGCAAGGACGAGAAACCTTTTCTACTCGAGGAGTGCAGTAAAGGGAGAATTGGAAGGAACACGAGAGATGAATAGAAGTTGAAAGTTATGCAATACCATGCTCTTCTGATCACAACACGCCATCGCCATTGGAAATCGACATGATCATTGTTCGTCGAACAATCCGTTGCGAAAGGCAGTTGGCGAGTCTACGCTTCCGTGAGATGTACACACCAGTGGTACTATCGCGATGTGACGATGATTTCTAATCGTTCGTGTCACCTTCTGTCGTCGGATGCAATTGGTTAGCGTGGCAGATGTCACCGAATGTTCCTTCAATATAGATTCATCGACACGTTGCCATTGCCTCTATCGCTCAGCATTGACGCAACGTGCACCGAGCTGTGCACTCACCTTCACGGACTGCAACGCATGGACTCGGCTCGCGACCGATGTCTCTATCGCTAGACCAAGCAGACGTACCCAGCTACCTGCCTGTTTAATATATCGCTGGCGCCCACCAAGAACGCCAGGCGTACGGGATTGCATTTGTGTTTGTCAGCTCTTCAGCATACAAGCCGCTTGCCGTCAACTCCATAGCAGCTTCTGCAGCATCGGCCACAAAGCGGTCAGTCCTTTAAGTTGTCTGGAAGCTGGACCTAGGTCGAAAGGAAGCCCACGATCGTATGTGCGCACGGGACGGAGATGAGGGCATGGGATTCTGCAAAAGACGGGCCAGCGATATGCGCAATTCCCATGTGCCGCTCAGTGCACCAATCACGTCACACAAGCTCACTTGTTGGAGGCGTCACGCTACATGCCAGTCTACGCGAACATCAGTTTTTCCCCTGAGCCTCCCGCTGTCGTCGCGTACACATGCCCTCTTTCCGGTTGTTCGTCTGTTGAAACGTTCGGTGCTGCGACATGGAAGTTCCTCAAGGAGGATGTTGCTGGTCGATGACGTTTAAGGGATACCGAGCAGCGGGGTACAGAGACTTACACCATAGGCTCCCTGGTATACAGTCGATTAGCAAAGATATACGACAACAATCCTGGCTTGAACCCATCTTATCGGTACGACAGAAAGCATTCGCCAGATCCAGGGCTTCGGAAGTAATAGCGAGGACGTTGCACGGGAAGAAGAAAGAAACAACTCCATGCAAACACATCCCGTTCGCGGGCTGGGTGCACAGGGTCCAATGCGTCGAGGTACAAGCCACGCGTAGCTCACATCGCGTCAATTTCCCAACCTGTGGGTTGAGTCCAATCGGCGAGGCCAAAGCGCGTGCCGCTAGAAGCAGCCTAGATCTTAGCATCGAAAGTCCCACTGATCGGGGGCTGTTGGCCTGAGCGATTTGACAAATTTGACCGGCCAAATGCGTAGCGGGCTGCGCGATGTTAACGAGGTTTGAGATCATATTTTGAAAGTTTGCGGTGGCGAGTATCGTAGGACGCCTACAAAGTTGCTGCTGCAGATCATGTCTCGCATACCTTGTTTAGGAAATCCCTGAAGATGTGAATCCGCTTTTGTCAGTGACCGATTGCGACTCAGTGTCAAAGTTCTGAAATTCTAAAGTTTCGGCGGATCTAAGCTCTAGCGCTACATCTCTACCATCGTACGGCATATACGAAGCGTTTGAGCTAGCAGCCCAGCACCAACGCGCAACACAAGGGACCCACGATTGGGGCTTGCTACAGATAGTTTCGCATCTCGTACGCTTGTTCGTAGCCACATGATCGATCAACATTCCGCGGGGACAGGGTTTGACTTTCGGCTATCCTCAGAATCTGGTGCTGGCATCGCAAGTGTTGAGACGTGGTGTCCACGATTCATCTTTGACGTCGACGGGTGTCGGCAGAAAAGGCCCTTCATGCATCGCCGAAGACGATGCTGTTTATAGGGGTAGAGTGGAATATAGGATTCGCGCGACATATTCCACCGAGTAATACCCATTTGTCTCTATCAGCCTGGCACCAAAGGAGTCCGGACTTTGGAGGTTCCAAGGACCTGACCATGGTGGCGTTCTCCCCCATCTCGGTTGTAGCTTGGGTATGTTGTAGGCGGCACATTTGCTTTTGCCGTTGCTGCATACCAGATTGGCAGCGGGCTGGGATCCGATCAGCTCTGCTTTTGCCTTATCCACCGGTTCAACGTTATCACAATGACTCGCAAGCCACAAGACGACTCTAAGTGGTGAGAGCGCGAAGCAAACTTTTTGTCGATGAGGTGTTGCAGAATGGCCAGGCTTAAGCGAAGCAGTGGTCGCATAGTTTGGTACGCGTGGTGACGATTCGAGGCCGAGCGCGACGCGGGCAAAGGCTGCATGCGCGCATCCTGACCGCTAATCCCGACGATGACGGCTGCCGATTGGAGTGTTGGCGTTCGTTTGCTGCTGGCATTATGCATGCACTGTCGATCGCGTACAATTATGAAATTCGTGGCTGTCTAAAAGAACATTGTGGCTGTCTGAGAGAACGTCACTCCGCGTTTTTGTAGCTTTTGCAGCTTCTCAAAGTAGCATCGTGACTGTCGCTCGCTTCGGTTCTCCACCCGCACTTGCGAACGTTGAGGTATCTCTTGCATCACTAGAACACCAAGACATTCTGACAAGGTGGGTGTGTCGAGTCTTCATTTCCCAACGGCTGCATCGCAATGTGACATTTGACCGTCGGCGCCATGGTGTGTTTTACACAGCCAGAAGGTTGGTAAACCGGGTAGAGATTTGCAATTGTGGTAGGGGGCTAGTCCGGGTCCAGACGATCGACACGGGTTCTGCCCAGATTACCGACTCCTCACGGCGCGTGGCACTAGTGCATATCTTCATGTCCCGGTATGCTAGCCTCTGCCATCTGTCGCGGTGCTGCAGTCTACGCTTGCTGTGGGGCGCGCCTACTCGTCGGCGACCTCGAGGATCCCATGTGCAACCAGGCGTTGACGTCCCCACGCTACAGCCGATTCTCATTTGGGCAAATGCCCGTACGCGGCAGGAAGCAGTAGAGGTGGAGAGCCATGTGCCTGTCACGAATGAAGCGCTTTCTGGCCGAGATGGGCATGGGTATACGGCCATGCCGAGAGTCGGGTATAAACACCCCATCATCTCTACATACTTGACCTCTCGAGACGCACGGCGCAAACTTCCTCTACCTCCATTCCACTTTTTGTTCGCCATCACTAGTCAGGTCCGCGCTACGACCTGTCTTACACAAAGGTCGTCTCTGTGCGCAGCTACTGGACGACTACCCCAATAGCTCTCTTCCAGTCTTCCCTTAGCTTGGACTCGGTACTCCACTCGCCCCATCGATCGAGTAGGTATATAGCACTCCATCTCTACGCGCGGCTCGGTGCGTATAAACGGTTGCTCTTGCCTATCACCTACAAACGACCACGCGACTTGACAAGCGTTGTCGTCACTGCCCCGCAACATCACCACGTTCCTTCTTGATCAGACCCTGACGCTAGAGGCTGCTCAATATGGTCTACTCACTGTCCTATCGCCGTCCTGAGCGTGTGCCTCGTCCTGGCACTGCCTCGACCAACTCGAGTGAACATCAGCGAAGGTCGATCCATGAATCAGTCAAGTCTGGCAACAGCGGCATGTCCAACGGTATTCCCGAGGCCTTGTCCTTTGACACCATTATCGCAGGCGGTGCTTGCCCTGTAAGTGCCCACTCTTCTCCGCATCACCTTCACGAGGAGCAATGCTGACTCTTGCCAGCCCTGCACGGTCCGTGACTTTATGAACTTCCTCAAATACATTGAGCTGTCGGCAGAGAATCTGCAATTCTTCCTTTGGTACCGCGACTACGTCAAGCGCTTCAATGCGCTACCAGAAAGCGAGAGGGTTCTGTCTCCCGAGTGGACTGGCGAAAAGAACTCTGACACCAAAAACGGCCCAGCAAACTTCAATGCCGACGCTGCAGCCATCTTGAAAGGAACCGACTTCGCCAACGAGGGCAAGGTCGCTGAATCGGAGAAGGGCAGCAACAACCCCTTCTTCACCCCACCTCGTACACCTACCAGTGTCGAGCCTGCTGGGCGCGAGTATTCTCTTGACTCGTACGATGAGAGCATGACCACCGGCAAAGTTGATCACACTCAACGTGCTGCTGGTGCGTTTGACAACGCAGGACTAAAGTGGAAACCACGTGAGTATAACCTTTGCTAATCTCCTCTCTTCTCTAGTGTCCAATCGCTCATCCGCCACAGTATCTGTCCAGCCCTACCGGGAAGAGATCAATCGCATAATCTCCATCTACATTGCCGACAATGGTTCGCGCCAGCTGAACCTCTCATCAAAAGAGCGCACAGCACTGTTGCATGCTCTGCAGAACACGACACACCCGTCCGCATTCAGTGACATCATCACTACTGTCGAGTGGTCGCTCCGTTGCCAGGCGCACCCTAACTTCATCCGCTGGACCATTTGCAACGGCAACCGTCCTCGTGTCATCTTCGCTCGCGGCCTCGGTATCTTCGGTATTGTGGCCGGCTTGATAGTCGCGATCATCCTTACTCTTAGCAGTGCCGGTCGTGCATGGCGCGTCATCTCTCTCATCGGATTCTTCATCGGTATCTCAACATTGATCGCAGCGTGGAAGGGCATGTGTGTGGTCTTGCACGGCATGCATCACCGACATTTGCGTCCATGGGAGCTTTTTGCATCTGATGACGAGCCGCAAAGCTATGACATCAAATCCGACTCTTTCCAGAGCATCGACTCACATGCATCAAGCAATTCCTGGGAAGATGAGCCATGGGTCGCCAGATATGAGAAGCGCAATGTTATCCGAAAGGTGTTTGACCGCGAAGTCTGGGTTCAAGAACCTGCTCTCCGCCAAATCCAAGACACCATCTTCATCCAGGCCATCATCGGTGCCCTCATCATCTCCGCCGTGGCCGTCGGCATCTTCTGCGCCATCCCCAAGGGCAACTACTTCTAAGCTCGGCAACTAAGGACCAGGCTATCTTGTTAATCTTCTTAATCCCAGACCACGTCCAGCGATTTCTTCTCAATTCCCCCTTTGGCTCTGTGCCAGCTGCTTTTGATACCCTAGCACATGTGTATGCGGCACATGTGCGCCCGACATTTTGGTCTGTGCGGAAATAGCGATCAATGGGGCATGTTGGTTCGGCGCCGGCGTCTGGATTAGAAACATGTTTCTCTGCGATAAACATCTCGTTATGTGATAAAAAAGACAACAAAAAAGATGATGATATTGGAAGAACGATAGCAGAAAAGTTCGTTATGTAGCCGATATGCAGTTATGTCTTTACGGATGCAACACTTTGATATCCCCAGTTGTCCACAACATTGTAGCCTTCCATGTCTTGATTTTCCACAGTCCCTGGTCGTTACCGTCTTTCATTACTTCGATGTCGTACAACGAACTCGCTGTGTAACTGGTATCGGCCTCGACAAACGCTTCTTCCCCTCTCACGTGGTAGGAAATGACATGTGCCGTCATTCGCGCCGTACTCGCGTTTTCTCCTTCTAGCTCAATGCGTATGTTGCTTGCAGTATGCGTGGTTATGAGGCCGAAGACACGATCGAACATGGGGTTGATGGCATCCCAGCCGGCCAAAGTGGCTTGGTTGCCTGATGGACCGTATATGAATGTCATCTCAGGGGTTTTCAGACAGGCGGATTCCATCAGAGACCGGCTATTACTGTCGAGACCTAGGATGCAACGGTGGAGAGTGTCGGCTATGGCTTCGCGGGTGGTTAGGTTGGAAAGGTGAGCTTTGTCGGCCATGGTTGTAATGAATACAAAAGATTATGATGTCTTCGATTTGGTCTACGATACCTGAAGTCTTGCCACGCTTTATATAGGTACCTCACCTGTGTCATTGCAATGATATGATCTTTCTCAATGCCTTGAATACATTGTGTGAAACTGCAGGTGGAGTTATCGGGCTTAAGACGACGAGGAAATAACTCATATTTCTTGGAAACTGGATTTACCGGAGTTACCACTACGGCTGTCCATGTCGAGATCTCGTCGACCTCATGTTCCCGAGTCTTCCCTTTTATATCGGTGCTTGCTTACTCCGTCATCGGCCGCTTCCGGAAAAGATGCCTTGCACAGCCACACTGCCTGCAGCTACATGCATCACGCGGATGACTTAGCAAATCTTTAGTCCTTGACGTGATCGCAAGAAGCTCGAAAGTGTATTCCTTGATGCACATGCAGAGCCGCATACCCGGTGAGAGCTTCACTGGGCCTTGGGCTACCGGTGGGATTAGCCCAAGTACTAATAGTAGGAGATTGAGACGCAAGGCAGACTGTGACCGGTCGGTCGACGACTTCGGAAGGTATTGTGCGCCGTGTGGTATGATTTGGTGTCGAGTATGAACGAAAGCGCGTTGTATGTGACAATTGCGCTTGATATGGTTGTAAAAGGGCTAAGAAAGTGGTGAGGCGCGTGACGAGGCTAGTGAGGGTGGCTGCAGACAATGTGGCGGTGTTAGAGTGCCGTTTACCGCTTTTCCGGAGGCGGCCGGTTGTGCGACAAGGGGAGATTCGGTACCTGAAGAAAGCATGCAGTACCTGTACTTGTCACTGATAGAAGAAGACGACAGATAGAAGAAATGTCCTAAAGTTGGGGAGATTGCCCCTGAGCATGTCGAGGTGGCGCACAAAGGGTTGCAGGCTCATAGACGATGTAGCGTAACGTCTGCGCCAATAGTGCGGCATGTTAAGTATAGGGATATGTGAAGAGAAGAAGTGCACTTATGTATTGTGAAGTCATAGTGTCACTGCATCGTAGCATGATGGCGAATACTGCTATTTTTGCTTGGGGCAAGGGTTCAGAAGGTGCTAGAGGGAGCGTCCGATGCTTAATACGGCACTTGTATAGTACAGAAGGCAAAAGTACCATATGTGAACGATGGCACCAGCAAGTGCAGAGTGAAGAAGATGATATCGTAACGGTACCTGCAAGGTCCTACCTAGGCATCTTTGCAAGGCGAAGACGGGCGAACAGGCGGTGGGCGTCGTGTAGGGAACATGAAGCGAACAAATAAGGGTCCGCCAGCGGTGGGGACGCTGCGCGAAGAAGGCGCGACCCGCAATTCACAGACGGGGCTCCATGCGTCACCAAGCATCTTTGTACGTCCAACATGCCCGTTGTTGCCGCGCTATGTATACCTGCCCGGCCCTCAATTCCATCTCGTTACTCTTGAAGCCGCCCTAGCTAACCACCAGAGCTCAATGCATAAGATAGCCACTAGTCTGACACTGCTCGCCTGACCATCTCTCCCGTACCCAAATACATGTCTTACGAATACGACAGCCGGTACTACCAGCGCCCGCGCCATGACTCTCACTATACATCTCGCGACAGCACCGCCTATGCCTACTCGCGGCACGACCAGACTCTAGCTGAGGCTCGCGAGCAGCTGGCAGACATGCGCCAAAGCAACCCATATACGTCGTCCTACAACACCTACAGCGCCTACGAACCCCGCACTTCCCCACCCCGACAGTCGGCGCCGCATTCATACAGGCCGCACCTGCAGAAGAGGACATGGCCGCCGTCTCCAAGTGTCGAGGACGAGAGGGAGGCGCTAGCAAAAGAGGCGCCGTCGTCTGTGGGGTCGTCAGGGCAGGCCGAGGGTGAGCCGCCGATCAACACGCGGGGCACCGTCGACCAGGACTCGCTCCTCGACGAGATCGAGCAGCCGAGAGTCGTACAAGACCATGACCGCCGCTTTGTGCTCGTGTCTGAGAACAGCCCCGACGACCATGGCACGCATACGACCAGCACGCTTCGGGACCGTCGCCGGAGGAGTTTTGCTGAGCGTGGGGGCATGTCGCACATCAACACTGACGTCCCGGACCCCCCTCTGTTCGTCGAACGAGAGAGGACCCCCTATGGCTATTCCAAGCCCCAGAAGGAGTCTACCGCACCGTCTACTGCCGAGTACATGCGCTCTCCAGAACCCATGACCCCCTCGAGACCGAGACCAAGTGAAAGCCGGCACAACTCCTACACGACGTCGCGATCGTCCAAGAAGGAGTACGTCTTCGACTCCGAATCCGAAACCGACAGCACGACCCACCTGCGAACCGAACGAAAGCCTGCGCGTTACAGCTTCGTCAAGAGCGACCTACAACGGGAGGACATAAGGACAAATCTGCGCGAGACACACGAGAGGCCTGAATCGCATCGGCGGGATTCTGGACAGCGTCCACTGCCGACGATACGTAAGGGTGATTCGTTAGGCTCCTCAAAGGAATACTCGAATGCTCAGTCACCGCGCTCATCCTCGTCCTCGCTGAACAGCACAAGAAAATCAAGACCTGTGCCTGTCGACACTATCTACGCCAACAGTTCGCGCCCATTATCCAGACCAGGCTCACCATCGCAGCGTGCACCCTCGCCTCAACTACCCACACACCTACGCGATTCTCCTCCAGACTCTCGACCATCCTCTCGCGGTGGCGCACGACCGGCCTCTCCCCTGTCTTTCTCAACGACATTCCAGCCTTCTTCGCCAGGCCGTGGTCGGGTACCCATATCAGAGGCGGATTGGCATTCCACGTATCCTCCTGCACCTACCAACGACAGATCAAGACAGCCTTCTCGGTATGGTAGATACGATACCATGCCGCTTCCAAGGCCTCGAATCGATGTTCACAGTCCGTCCCCAGCGAGACAATCAAGTTCCGACTCTGCTTTACCATATCCCATAGACGATCAGCTCATCGATGTCTTCATGCCGCCCGAAGAGCACTATCAGTTCGATCACTCGACTGTCGGATCGCCAAGAGACAGCTATGTGGATATTCCGAGAGCGAGTTCGCCGTCGGTTCCTGGCTCACCATATACGAGAGAATTGCCTTCCCGGCCTAGGAGACAAGATCCTGAGATAGTAGAGGAGCCGGCACGTACAACAAGGACCAGATCGGATAGTCTTCGTTCACAGGACGGCCGCCGTGATAGGTCGTCTCGGAGGACTGCTTCTATGGACAGGCCACTCCCTGATTGCCCAAGATCTGTCAAATCTGGACCTTATGATGATTGGTATGCTTTACAAGGCCACAAGAACTTTAACATCTGCCCTAGCTGTTACGAAGGCGTCTTTGCTGGAACGCCTTTTGACGTGGATTTCAAACAGATATGGTTGGGCGACTGGCCGGCCGAGCGGACCTGTGACTTTAGCAGTCCCTGGACACGTCTTGCATGGTTACTTACAGTAAAGCAACGTCGTACATCACTCGATCTGATCTATGCAATCGCGGATATCATGGATTATGTAGTCAGTCCATGCCCTGGAGATCGTGAAGCCGGCGCAGAACGTAATGTCAGCTGGTACGGCATTCCTAATCAACGGGATGGCACCCACATAGCCAACTTTGCCATATGTTCAAGTGATAGGAGAATGATCGAGGCTTTATTGCCATCACTTCGGGGTTGCTTCACCAAGATTCCGCGTGGTTATATCGATTCTTCGGATACATGTAGCTTACGTACAAGCTCCTCTCGCTTCGCCAAATACCTGGACCTACTCGTGGAACTTGACAGGGAGGCTGAATTGTCCGGTCAACTACCCGATTTGAATCGCTTCATCAAGTTGATCCGGGAAAACTCTTTCAAGGGCGAGTGTGCAAGGTCCAGGACTTTGTTCCGCAAACCATGGCATTTTGTCCCCTCTCTACCCGAGTTTACAGTGTGTGAGCAATGCTATGATGAGCTCATCTGGCCCGCCACCCAGTCCAAATCCGTAACGTCTCCTATACCACATTTATTCAACAAGTCGATTCAGCTAGTACCCGGTGAGGATCCAGATGTCGGATCAAGCTGCTGTCTGTGGAGCAAGAGGATGCGCGAGGTTTGGAGGGAAACGCTCAAATATGACGACTTTTCATATCTCAAAAGCCAAGCAAGAGAGAGGAAGAGGGCGGAGGCTAAGTATATGAAGAACAGGAAACAGATAGCCGAGTGGCTGGGCGATGCACCAAAGGGAAGTAGGAAGTATGCGGAGGCAGAGGACGCAATGAGGGAATTGAAAAAGAGCTGGTACACTTATGAGTGACGTTGTAATGGGACTATTTATCTACGTTCAATTGAGAAAACAAAAATATCATTACTACCTCTGCTTCATTGACATTGTGCTTCCCTTGTCTGTGATCGGAGACAGCGAGTTGGCTGACAAGCACGGCCCTTTCTTGAAAAGTGCACATGGAGGCTTGTCGACGGTGGACTGGGACAGCCACATAGTCGCGTCGTTGATGCAACTAAGGCGTGACAAAGCACATAGCATTGATGGGAATTGTGCTTCGGTAGGCCATAACTACGGTTGAGAAACACTGATGGCTCTACTATCTGATACTTGGGTCTGACGATACCCTGAGGGTATCAAGCCAGCATAGTGATAGATATCAATGAACTTTGATAATGCACTGAAGATGTTTAGGATTGAGTGGGCCTGCTAGCTGTGATGTCATGTCCGATCGGAAGTTTAAGAGCGCAGCGGAATAACAAGATACCGAGCCTCGGCTCAACCCCAGCTTTCAGCTTCCGGCGTAACCCCCGATGACGACCCTCTACCCGTCTGTCGCGATGTTTTATCTCATCCTTGTTTCCGCTCTATCTTCCTTTCCTGTACTATCTTCAAGTATTCGAGATGGATAACAGCTCTCTTTTCGATGTCAAAGTACGTCAACGTTGACATGGACTCTACCCTTTGCAATTGACAACTAACGAGTACATAGGGCAAGGTCGTTCTCGTCACAGGCGGTGCCAAAGG